GCCGAAAACCCGGAGTTCCGGCCGTTAATCTGGCAGATTCGACCTCAATAGAGCCAGTTCATGAAACTAGGCTCCGAGGATCCTCTAGTTAGCAAGTTCGAATCCTACTCCGTAGGTCGCAGGTTCGGAATGTTCGATTAACTGGGGTAAGAGTTCCGGCGAAGTCTCCACCGACGAGACAGTCTGGTTTAAATCAAAGCTACTTGTGCAAGTTTGACTTCCCTAAAGCGGAGGCTACCCTTCCCCCTCTTTTGCCACTAAATACCGGTGCACTGCTTTATCGGCCCGACGTCGAGTGAATCTCAAGAGCAAGGCTTCAATGATGTATTATTAAGGTACAGTACTAATAATTCGAATAATGTTGGACACTTTTAACTTTTGGAGACATATTATCCTATGATATACTTTCCTAGCCCGTATCTCGGGAAAAACATATCCACTTTCAAGGAAGGCACCGACCTATATCACGATTCGTATATATTTAGCTTCCGGGAACTCACTGCCCGGGTCTCTAGTAACCTAGGTAAATGTACCAACAGCACGATCAAACTCCTTTGATAATATTATACTATGTCGAGCCCTATTCCTCTATTCTTAGAACTTCCCCTGCGTAATGGTGATCCTCCTTACTCGGTCTAGGGACTTTATGGCTCTAACGATGAGCGAGGAACGCTTAACCGCCTGACTAAAGATATTGTCCTGCAGGCGAAGGAAGAAATCCAAACAGGAGAAATAATCTCGCTGAACTTACCGCTTGATGCACTAGCCAAGAGTAATATAATTGGCCGCCAGGGGTTTGAGATAAAGCAATACGCCAAACTTCCCCGGATTGTTTGCGATAACGTCTGGACTTTCAACAGTCAAGGCAGCACGCAATAGGACGGTCTCCGCTATTAGGCAGATCAAAAGACAGGACAATTCTACAACGACCGAACTCTGGACGACTTCTTCAACGAAGACAAATCCATCAGATCAAATATGAATAGAATTCAAAACTAGGAAAAGACCGGCATCGTCGGGCGAGGTATTCTTCTTGATTTCGAGAGGTAGCGACGTGTCAAGAAGATTGATTTTAACCTACTTCCCTTGAGTCTATATCCAATCACTCTAGATCAATTGAAGGAAGTTACAAAGTTTTAGGAAACTGAAATTAAATTCGGTAATATCCTTTTCATTCGAACTAGGTTTAACCTAGCTTATCAGAAGCTAAGCCTAGAGGACAAGGCTAAAATTAGCACACTCTAGCAGTCTAGTGGAATTGTGCAGAGTGAGGAAATACTCGAGTAGATATAGAACAACTTTTTAGCGGTTGCTGGTGATAGTATCACTTTTGAAGTTTGGCGTAAGTGTATTTCGAGGACCCGCTATAACTCACTGCAATATCTAGTACTAATAGGAGAGACAGCATCTAAACAAGACTAGTATATACACGACGTTCTGCTGGCTGGATAGGGAATACCTCTCGGAGAACTATTCGACTTAGAACGGGCAGCAGAGTATTGTGAGAAAATCAATCTGTGGTCCTTTTTCGTGAGCAGCGAAGTATGTTCTATCCTTCTCGGTCATATAGTACATTGCTAACTTGTTCCAAAGCCTTGTAATATACCAGGTGCGGTCGCTAGTCCGGCTAATTGTTTAGCTATTTTTTGAGTTTTGGAGGGCTTTTCCTTCCCGAATAGGGAGTAAATAGATTTGTATCAAACGGTGTTTGCTAGGTTTAATCCTAAGCACAGGAAAATAGCAAATTCAAAATATCTAGTAATACTAGTAGTGACTATTAGGAACTAAAGATCTTATCTCCTCTAGACCTTAGTAACTGCTTGCCTTAATAGTACCAACAATCTATGCCTTAACAAAATATATAGTACCTCTGAAATTATTTACCCGGACCTATCACTAAGTTGGACCCCGGATTGAGGTACAAGTGTGATGATTATTGTCTAACTATACGAGTAAGCAGAGCTATCTATAGTCAATAATACGTAAGTGCTCCTGAAGTTATACTATGAGCGAGAAATTTAGAGCCTCAATCTATAGTCTTCCTCAAAAACAACGTAGGCACATTGCAAACCCCCTTTAAGCCGTTAACTCCCTATTCAGTCTCGATATCAGCTTCCTTTTGACTACACTTTGATCTACATATTTCCGGGCGAGTCGATTAGCCGTCTTAAGGCCATTAAATTTAACACATAATCCAAGGTCTATCTAGGTATTTCTGGCATGAAAATAATATCCTTTTCTGATGATTGTGACAGTAATAGTATAGTTACTCTCCCATTTTCCTAGCAGAATAGTAAATAGTGTGATGTGATTATGTTGGGCAAAATTACGGGCTCTTCAATAACTTTACGAAGAACTTGTGATGGCCGGTCAATGACTGTTGTGATGATAAAATACTCTTGGAGACATCTCTAGTTCGTCTTCAAGCAACCTGCAAACCCTGAGTCTTAATGTCACCGAAAAAGGTTTTAATATGCTTAAATAGCGTCATATTTCTCAGTCGCCCATAGCTATCCCCCCAGTGCGAGCCATCCCCAAAACTATAAACACGTGGATAGGCACATATTTTAGTATAATAAACCCTCATTGGACATTCCAAGACATTTAAAACAGCTGATTCATTCAGATAAAATACCTAACTACTGTTATTATCACTAGCAATTTTGGTCTCTGTCAAGGTCAACTAAAATATTTTGCTATACTACTATCGAAATTTAGCTAAATGAGATTATATCTTTAGCCTTTAGGCCTATATTATTACCCGACTCGGTATTGAAAGAGTCAATCCGGGCTTAAGGGGTAGTTGTAGTTAAGTAATCAGCCTTGTTCTAACCAATGCCGAGGAATCCCATAAAAGTTTTTCGTAGGTACAGTCTTTTATTACCTTGAATTAGCCTCTCCTGGGCATAAGAGCAACTAGGATGTCTATTAAATACTAAAAGAAAGGGAAATGTCAAAAGTCTATGTACTAAGAGAGCATAATAAAAATGTGGAGTACCTTCGCAACATTTTGAGTTTTAGCTAAACTGATTCTATCCAAGATTAATATTCTCCTATCTCAAATATCCCCATAATGTCGGCGAATTTCAACCCTACTGCCCTTTTTTCTTGCACTAAACGACTGCATTCAAACTTTGCAGACTCCCTGTAATCGAAAGCTGAGAAATATCTCTCGGTTTAGCTAATATCGAAAAAGAGTATCACGTCACAAAGGTGTGAAAGGGTACGATGTCATTGATGACTCAACTATGTGAACGAACGGTGTGGATTTTACTGCCGATGGAAAACGAAAATCTCCCGACACAACACCACCGAGTTATCCGACAAGTACTGTATAAAGAATGCCTTGTTCTTGTTGTGGTGAAGCTACAGTACGATACGCCGATACGAATCTATTCATATCAGGATCTGTTCTTCCCTGACCGACCAAGATACAGTATTCTATATAATCGCTACCAGGAAGTTTTGAGTCTTCTCCCGTATGGTAAGTTTACTATGTTATCAGAATTGCAAGATTCAAGCAACTCTCTTCGTACTCGGATAGAGGAGTTAACTGAATGTTCCCTTACAGCTAAATAATCACGGGAGGAAAGTTACGTATAACTACGATCTCTTAGTATAAGAGATGCTCCTATAGTATGAGCTATTTCTCCTCTTAGAGTTCGAATCTTATCGTATATATCTATAGTATAATATCCTAGATAGTCTTTAGCTTTAAAGACCCTCGTCAATAATAATAGATATCCCGAGTAGAGTTAAAGAGACGCTCTATCCCTAATCTAGTTACTAGGATTAATATATGTTGGAATTGCGTCTGGTGCATAAAGCCGTAATAGAAATCGTTCGTGCGCACTAGTCTTAGTGCCACGATTATGGAAGAGTGACTAATCAGGATAGAACACAATCGGCTGATCAGACAGAAGAATCAAGCAGTAGAAAGTTGATTCGGATGGTCTACTATGCCCGGTAATTCTTCCCGTGATAAAAGAGATGTCAAACTTGTTCAATTTAGATAGTAAATAAGGCAGATTTATAACATGAGGTACATAGCAAATATCACATGGAGAAATCAGGAACATCCGAGGTCATTTTGGAGTGTTATGCGTTCTCCAGCCTAGATAGGCAATGTTGACGAGATCGTTGAAGATCAAATTGATAGATCAGAGAGGGGTAAACAAGATGGTGTTTTCTCCGCGGTAAAACCAGTAAGATTGCTTAGCAAGCAGGCAGAATTCAAATTGGCTAGTTATCTGGACCCACAGGCCACATATGCCGACAGATTGTATAGCAGATTGTATAGCAGATTATATGCAGACTATATGCAGATTGTATGGCAGATTGTATGGCAGATTGGTTTGGGGCCACGCGTAGAGAAGAACACGCGTTGATGACTTAGCAGCTAGTGGAACCGTAGTATCCAATAACACTTCAAATATTTTAGTCTGCTAATCTACTGGCTAATATAATACGCTAATCGAAATGCGCTAAATGGACTTCCGGGACACACTAGGGGATAATATAGAGTAGGATTTAATATAAGATATCTCTTAGCCCGGGCCCTATTAAAAAAGTTTACGGAATTTCAAAAACTCACTATACCCTATCTAGATATCCTATAATCTTGAAATTAGATATATAACTAGATTTAATATAGTTTAGAACTTCCTAAAATTTTAGCTTGATATAAAGTCCGGAAATAATTACACCTAGCCTACGAAAAATTAAATCTACCTAGCCCCTTCCCCACTTTTTTCCCTTTTCTTAAGAAAACCCTAATTCCACCTAGGCTAGGTGTATACTCCTTTTTGTTAGGGTTCTGAGAATATGTTTCAACTGGAATCTACCCTGGCCCTTTTAACAGATAATAGAAATCAATTTCTCAAGCACTAAACATAATGCAAACCAAACTGTCAATTTGAAAGCGACACAACGCGATGCACGTCGATATGGTATGCTTCGCAGAGGCTTTATAACAAAAAGACCAAGTGCGTACTTCTGAATCAGAACATGGCAATTGGGTTGATGGAGTTCGCTGGCCTGAACTGGATAACATCCCAATGTTCAACAATACAAGTCCCTTCCATGCGATAAATATCTGCGAGAGCGGCTGGTTCTGGATCTTCATTCACTTTCACGTGCGCCAGGCCGATATTATTGTTAAAGTTCGATGACAGGATGGTCATATTTGCGAAAGGAATGATTTGTGATAACCTCGCAACAATAGCGTCACGGTCTTGGGTATCATCTGGGTCGTGTTCGATGACGTTGAGATCGACGTAGGTTTCGAAGGCCTTGCTGACATTCTTCTCGCCATACAATGTTTCGAGAAAATCTGCAAATATTTTTCCTTGAAGTCTCTCGTCTACTTCGTGCCCTGGGCAATATTTTTTTTGCAAACAAGCTTCGACATAATTCTCTTCCGTTGGGTCTGTCGTAGAGCAAGGCAAATGCACAGAATATTGTGGGCTCACAGCGAAGGCCAATGGGAGCACAATGAAGAGCACAAATCGGACTAGATGCATGCTGTATTGACGTGTAATAGGCGTCTCAGGGCTTAAGAGGCAGTGGCTCAAGATAGTTTTGTAGTCAGATGCTATAGTTCAATCAACAGCGCTAGGGGCAGATTTAGAGGCACTTATAGGGACCTGTGATTCGGATTTTTCTGGATATGTTCAGTTAAATCTTGTTATTGGGTGATCATGCTACATTATTGTTATGGAATGGTGGAATTGTAACCTGTCAATACCAATCAGCGATCTACATAGTTAGGTCACTAAATGGTACCCTAACAACCCGGGCCTTTTATCCACCAATCATAAACTATACAATCACAAACAATACTGTACATGAGAAAAGAATCTCGGTAACCCTACGGAGATATTTGATTTGAATAATTTTACTTGTTCCCAGGCTCGGCACATTCTTTAGTCGCATTTATACCTAGAGAAGGTATACATATCCCCTCGAAACCTGGACAACGTTGTTGTATTGCGTCGGGACTGACGGCAAGCCAGGGGTAGGTGCTTCTCCTAGTACGTATTTGACTTCTTTGCTACCTTTGTCTGCGCCTGCATATTGTTCGTTCTTATTCAAAGGTCTATGTAATGGTTAGACTTAGTCAGCATTCCAATATGACAGCAGGCTTCCGAACATGTCAAGATCATTCCACGCTTCTGATTCACGCCCGAAGTACGCAGCCGCTGACTATGGCAGCCATTGAAATGTGATAATCCTATTATTCCCGCGTCTGTATGAGTCCAGGACGGTGAGGTGAAGGTATATAGTGCAATAGCCAATATGATAGATCATAGGATGACCTAACCGAGAAATAGTGGGTGAAGAGCCCTAGACACGATAATATTTTGGCCAATGGATACAAAGAGACAACGCAAAGTCCGACGTCGTGATCTATTCGCGTCCGTGACGAAAACTTAAGTAGATCGGGATAGCAACACGAATAGGTATAAGCCCTTGTTTGTGTGCATTTGATTCTGCTATCGAACATGTATACTACTACTTTCATTGAAGATAAGTAGAGATAACAAGCCATATTAAATAATTATTATGAATTCCACGTCGCAAGCTGAATTATACGAGATAGATAGCATATAGATATTGTAGCTTCGGCACAATAAACCTCGCAGTACCTTAACGACGACATCGGTAGATGATTGCCCCTTAACCTCGACTAGCACTGTGTTTCTCCTCCCTCGAGTTGCCAGACAGGACCAGAAACAGCACCTTCATCAATCTCACCACCGGCCTTCGTGGCCTTAGGCACTAAAGCCCCGACCTGAGTAGGGCCTCCTGAGATAGGGTCATATCCCTGGTTAGGAGGGGTAGGTGGCTCATCGTAAACGACCGTGACATTGGAGGGTAGATTAAAATTGGAGTACAAAGTGCAAGTGCGGCGTGTTCCCTCGTCGTTGTACTTCCAGACGTAGGTATCACAGAAGCCTGGAGCTTTGATGCATTCCTCGATGCAGGCACATTCGTCGTTGACATTCGGGGTGACTGTGGTGAGGACGCCGGTAACATCGTAGCCTCTAGTGTAGCGAACACAGCCCTTATCCTGGGTCTTCAGATGTGTGCAGATTTTCTTGAGGCCTTCGTTACCCTTTTCGGGGTCGCCATCGGTCTTGAACGCGGTAGCCACATCACTAGTAGCCACAATACAAGCGATAAATGCGATGGTGCAACGCATCTTGTAAAGTTTTGAGAACAAGGAGTAGATGGGAAGTAGAATCTTGTAGAGTTTACAAAGTCCTGGATGGAATATAATTATCCTCGAAGATTCCGTAAAATCTGGGGAGCAACTGCGATATAAAGACATTGGCAAAGAGGACGTATGGCTGTTGAAAAAATAAGGGGGATGGAATGCCGTTCGAGGGCTAGGAATGAGAAACCGGGACACATTCTTCCCCTTCTCGTTGAGTTCCACGGACTAAACCCTACAAATGTTTGTTGAATGGTCGTATTTTGCAGTAGCATGGGTTATATAAACTTTCCCTCTGGAATCTTACTGCTCTCCAATTTTAGGAGTTTACTTGTTTGCTACTTTCAACACCCTTTGCTTAGAACCTTCTAGCTGGCTAACCACCCTCGGCGGTATGTTCATATCTTCTAATATACACATCTCTCCACGTCCTCCTTCCCCTAGTTCTTGTAGGCTCATCAGTTATCACGTGAAGTTTATCGGGACCTAGTCTTGCAGAGTAGTCTTAGTGCGGGCAAATCAGTAGCCGTTTCCCGTGTCACACTAACTGCGCGGTCTACCAGGTAAGGAACTATACGATGACACGGTTAGCCGTATGATGATTCCGGCTCTCTTCCTGAACGTTCTGCTCAGCGACCTCGGAGACCGTGCCTGCGCATCAGGAGTTCACGCGATAGTGCCAATACAAAGCACCCGAGAGTTTCTTGGTAATTATGTATAGGAATGTTGTTTGTCTGCCAAAATATGGCCTAAATCAAGAGCGCAGCAGTCGAGCCTAGTCTACCTTTAATGCCTCACCAGCTAGCCTTTAAAATGACATGGAATAAGCGGGCTGCATAACACTCGATAGATACAAGCAACCGAAAGCTACCACTATTAGGCACGCAAAAGATGGCGCATTAATATAGCAACCCCATTCTCTCGGGGTTCTACTCCGGTCTTCCTGCATTTTGGTTGGTGATGCCTTTTATATGCTGCACTCGAGCTTTCACTTTTTCCCGGATTACCCCTCTATATGTCAAAAGATCTTATTATCTCTGATAGAATTTCATTTCAATCTCCCACTTGCTTTGTCTAAGGGGAAAATATAACAACTTTAATAAATCAGAGCTGTTGGGAGGCGTAGGTTTTAGAGTACTTAGCGGCGTATTTTAACGCTAGCACAGAGGGAGACAGGAGATGTTCAAATGGGAGTATCGGAAACTCTAAATCTAGAATTTTATGATCTTCAAAGAAGCAGAAGACATGCCAACGACAGTAGTCATATGGAGAGCATCATCACTCCATCCGAGCTCCAACTGTGCTATCGTTCTCGTGTCGAGACTCGCTGGGAGAGACTAGCGCACATACTCCTTGCAGATATCCCATCACTTACACGAGGAGCTAGCATCAAAGAGCATCCATACCAAGTGCAGAAATTCGGTTTTGACGGCTAGTCATTAAAACAGAATCCACGGATCTTCCTCAGTCGGCGAGATCTCCAGATTTCGCGAAGTATAACATGCATTCTTGGGTGCCCCAGGAAGGGGGAGCTTACCTAGCTTCTAGAGTGCCTGCAATTTAGGCTACGGTCGTACCAACAACATGCCTAGTCATCCGAAACCGAAGACTAGTTCGAAGAGACGCCTCCATCCAAGGAAGAACATAATCTCCCGCGATAGACTCCACGAATTCGAACCCGCACTTCCGCAGAACTCTGATAGAGGCTTCATTCTGGGCATCGCAGTAGGCCTCAAAGATATCAAATTGTGGCTTTTCTTGCCAGTATAGCTGAACAAAGGCATTCAATGCTTCGGTCGCAAATCCAAAACCCCATGCCGATCGATGGAAAATGAAGCCCACTTCGGGGTTTGGCTCTGACTTCCAAGTTCCGACCCATCCAAGAAAGCCACCCGGCTGAAGTACTGGATCAGATTCGGAATCGTTTTGTAGCTCATCGATCAGGTTGATATTGGATCGTAGTAACACGGCGTAGTTCTCTCCTAGGGGATTCACATCAAGCAGTAGCTCCGACATCCATTTTTCGCTAGCCTCGATAGTTTCGCAGCGGCCGTGGGGACTCCATCGGGTCGCAACAGGATCTGACCAAATTGCGTGGTATCCAGGGAGATGATGAGCCGCCAAACGGACCAGTTCTAAACGAGCTGTATGCATTGTGGAATCAGAGAACAAGGTTGTTCAACAATGATTATGTGAAAAAAGAGAAGCTTCTGAATCAGTCGGATTTGGAGAAATCGTGCTGAGACCTGCTAGGGTGATCTCCATTTATAGCATTCTCCTTTTGAGATGAAAAAGCAATTTTCAAGTCAACGCCCCAGTCGGGGTCCGCTTTTGGAAGTTCAGGAGGCTTTTGGCACTCGCCAAGCCCCTATTGAAAGTCGGAATACTGCTTAGTAAATCATACTGCGCACCAATCGGATATCAACAAGTCTAAATTGCTACGATGCCCCTTTGCTGGCAATTTGTATGGGCAAAAAGATGACTAAGCTAGGCGGGTGTTTAACTAGTAACGTAATTCCCGCCCGAACCGCGCACCCGGCCGAGTCGCGCACCTAACCAGACTACGGAATTTCAAAATTAATTATCTCCATCAAAACGCATTGAATTTACTCCTGCTGACGATTCTTACAACGGTTGATCTTATGGCCAATCTCCCAGCACCCACTACACCTAGGCGGAGCCCTAGTAGCCGGCCGATCTGCCTGAATAGGCAATTCGCCTTGCGTATGCGATTCTACCACCGGTGCTTCTTCTGGCAAATCTAGCTGCGCAACTAGCTGTAGGCCCTCTTCAACGGTCAAACCCTCTTGGCAGGGTATCCGCTTATGCGACCGATTGCGCTTCTTGACGATCTTCTCATTGGCTGCGCGTAGATTCGCGTTATCCTGCATAGCTAATGCGAGGGTGTGTAGCGAAAGGTAGTGGCCCTTGAGAATCTGATCTACCACTAATTTGAACGGGCTTGGAGGGCTTTTTGACCGCCGATCTAGTAGATCCTTCATCATACTAGCTTGCTTCTGTAGCTGAGCTACCGTTCTAGGCGTTTTTGGTGTGAATTAGCTAGAACTGCTGCTTGGCCGGCTGTTTGGTAGTGACGGAGTTCGTAGAGAGATATTAAGCTTCGAAAGCACTCTTTCTGCATCTATTAGCACTAGGCCACTAGCTGCGAAGCTATTTTGAACAGTGCTTGATTGGTAGGCTTCCTGCCGCGCGCGTTGGTAGTCTTCTAGGAAATCGAATTTATCGATATGATTATATCCCCGACGCGCAAGATCGCTTACGAAGCGACCGTACGCGCGCTTTAGCACGCAAAACAGCCAACATCTAGTAGTTGTAGTAGATGCGATAAATGCGCAGGCATACAAAGAGGTATAATATCGTTTTCTGCGCATAATCGGTCGAATTGGGGCGTAAGGTGGCTACCATAGCCATCAAGAATCAAAAGCCGAAAGCGGCCGCGTACGCGCGAATTCGTTGATAGGATAAATAGCTTTTCTAGCCAGCGTAGGCCAATCTCATCGGTAGTCCAGCTATTATTAGATACCTCAAATCGCCAATCGCGTGGTAGATTATCAAACCAGCCAGCAATAGCTACTTTGCCTTGAAAAATCACACATAGTGGTAGCGAATAGCCATCTGCGTAAATTGCTTCGATAGCAGTAACCCATTCGCGATTTCCTAGCTGTAGTATCGATCTCCGACCGTAGTATTCAGCCCTAGTAACTACCTTCTACGAAGATATAAGGCCTATTGCAAAGCCTGTCTCATCAAAGTTGTAGATATCCTCCGCTTGTATACCGTTCTCGTCAATCACGCTTTGTACGGTAGTAAACCAGGCTCGTAGGGCTTTAGGGTCTTCGTTTAATGCACGTTGGTAATCGTATCGCCTAGAGAAGCGTGATCGAATCTCTTCGCGTCGATTTATAAAGGTTGATGACCAATTCTTGCCAACGGTAGGCGGAGGATAGCTACCGCGTGCAGCCAGTAGGATATTAGCCATCTCTCGTACAGTAGCCGGTCTAGGCGCTGCTCCACGTGAATCCATAGAGATTATCCAATCAACAAGCGAATCCTCTTCCAATTGGGTCAATTTATAGCCGTTTGGGCGTATATCAACGCGAGATTGTACACCATGTGCGCGATCGCGTAGTGTTGTTTCAGGTACGCCGAATAGCCTAGCTGCTGCGCGAAGAGATTTGATCTGGCCCTTTTGAATAGCCTGTAGAGCTAATAAGATATTGCCCTCTTGCTTAGCCAATTTAGGCCGAGATTCAGTGCGAATTGGTGGCATGGTAGGTGGTTGAAGATGGTAGGTAGGTAGGAAGACGCGATTTTAGATTAGGTGCGCGACTCGGCCGGGTGCGCGGTTCGGGCGGGAATTACGTTATCTCCTTTTCCCAGGGGTCCACCCATTCTGCTGTTCCGACATTGAAGAAAGAAATGTCACGTGAGCAAACAAGTCCTGGTTTTCACAGCCCGACTCTATTTCCCATTCTTGTCAGCATTATGGTATGGGGTGCACTATTTCCCAATTCCAGCTCGCAAGGGTCCAGACCATTATTTGAGAAGTCATTTTGCGTCAAAGACTGACAGAAAGCGCTAAGATCCATCCAGCACTGCAGTATATGATTGGTCATGTCTGTCGTAGCCATGTGGGCAATGCTGGGGGCTGGAGCCATCGCTCGATATACTAGGTATTCACCCAACGAATTTACAAGACTTCGGACTGTTAAACTATAGACTACGGTGCTGGATTCACTGTCCAGCCTATCCCATTGTAAGACTGTGTTGGGATAGCAATAGTAGGGTTATATACACGCCAGGAGTCAGAAGGCCGTGGGCCTGCATTTCCATCGGCCCCACTTAATTCTCGTCATCAGGCATAGAATCACTGATATTTGTCGGTTGCGTAATATTTTGTGGGCAAAACAGGCGGCGACTCGGCATTTCTTCGGGAGACAGTCTCAATACGCATTATGCGGACAAGGAGAATGGTGATTTTTACCAGAGGTAGGAAGCAGGGTAGCCCATGCCGATGTGGAGCCGATTTGATAGATCATACCCCCTGATAGACCTCTCCAACGTTTCCACCCCCACCGTCTCCGAGCCTTTGACTTTCATTATTTGCGTGAGCTGAACTAACTGAGTTAGTCTCATTAGCTCCTATGGTCTGTTTAGCTTTCTTTTACCCCGCAGAACACGCAAATTGTTACCCAGAAGATCGAAACTATATTCAATATAAGTTCATACCTTTAGTCTACATTGTCTACTCGGTCCCTTGCACTGCTGTAATGCCGGATCTCAGGGCTCATCGGCTCCACATCATTCACATTTGCATGGATCCTGGTCACCACGAAACGGCTTTCGCTGAATTGCAATTTCGGCAGGGAAAACTGTCTAGGTATGGAGCACCATGGCTGACTTCAATGCCCCACAATCATGGGAAATAATTCTTGTCAGGATTCACTCACTATTTCCTATTCTTAGTGGACAATTTGTGTACCGAGTCAGTCAGAGCGGCTGCATTAACATCGGACACATTGTATAAATCAGGAGGTACTTCTAGCTAGATCATCGCCTTATTCTGCATTTTTGGGGGGTCTATAGCCCGCAAAATATGTACATCATCCTAGAGACATCAATTATGTCCTTTCTCATTCTTTTATTTGCAGCTGTAAGCGCAGCCACCATCACTATTCTCGATCCTAGTGACTTTGCGAGTCTAAAATCAGACGCAGCAGATAATGTACTCACTGCGAATTGGGATTATGCGCCACTTTCATATCAGGCATACGCAATCACAGGGCCCTATTTCTACAACAACACGTCGAAGGGGGTCTCGCACAAAACGCTCAGTGTTTCCAAAAACGACACCAGCGTTGTTGTAATCACAGAGGATTCCCATGTCAATATCTCTCAGTCCACTGTGATCAAGCATGGCTATTCCAGTGATTTATACCAATCAAGCTTCTATGGACTGAACGCTGCCGTGAACATAGCTAATGCATCGGTTGCCTATCTTGAGAATATCAATGTGACAGTCCATAATGGAGCCGCCAACATTTATGTTTACGGAAACAACTCATATGCATACATTTCGGACTCGTCTTTATACAGCTCTGGTCCGGTGTCCCATGGATTGTATGCTGCTGGTTACGGTACCGTGGTCGGCAAGAATCTTCGTCACTACTCTGGGGCATACCGATCGTCGTCTTTTGCCGGTGACAGCCCTAAGGGATACGTCTATGTCTACGACTCTATTGCACACACCGCAGGCATTGGAAGCGCCATCTTCTACGGCCAAGGAACAGTCTATGCGGAAAATATTCTTGGCTACGCACAGCAGGCTCCGATTGCTTTTCTGGACGGTTCTCAGATTGACATTCATGGATCCGATCTCACCGCCGGACTACTTGCTGGTGCTGTGATTTTCTCATCTGGAACTCGACAGTCTGGGTCGGAGATCAGTTTTACTAACTGTCGCCTAACTGTCTTTCCTGATGACGCAGCTGGCCTTTGGTTTGGGAACGTGATAGCAAGCGCAAGTCTAGTACGATCGCAGATCCATACTACGTCGGGCATTTTGGTCATTGCGAATCATTCTCAGGTGACCCAGGACTTTAACTACTTTGCCGATTCTACTGCAGCTGCCGATGCTACGATTACAATCTCCGAGTCGTCACTCACTGGGGACTTGGTCGCCTACAATGGAAGCTCAATTAGCTGGACCTTGGGCAACTATTCGACATGGACTGGTACCGCATACTCTGGCTATGGAAATGCATCGTTTTCCGTATCACTCGATGCTTCTTCGTCATGGATGTTGACGGGGAACACGGTCTTGACAAACTTCACTGATGCGGATACCACTCTGAGCAATGTGCATAGTGCGGGATACAATCTCTACTATGATTCTAGTAGCTCTCACAATCGCTGGCTGAAGGGTGCTACGAAGAAGATGCATGGTGGGGGGTACATCAGACCTGCAAGCAAGTTGCAACTCCAAGGATCTCACTAAAGTTTCAGTTAACTCGCACACGGAGGCGACTTTAACTGCAAGTAGAAACTATTATGAGTATTTCAAAGGCGATATTCAGTGGAAGACTTTGGGGAACGGAATATCCGAGAGCGTGTACCTATCCAAAAGGCTTCCCGATCCTTTTCCTAGCCAATCCCTAGATGCTTATGTTGTCCCCAGCTGTTTTTTAAAATCGGTCAAGTTACGTTGAGGTGGTAGAAGTCTGGGCAGCAAAGGTTATGAACCTCCATATTGTTGTTCTGTGATACAACCCTCTAGGCTATCAGATGGCTAGCATGTATGCCTATATTTCGGATGCGACAACGGACAAAGTGACTTATAACATACGTAAGGTAGTGTGTGGGCGTATGCGGCACCCAGCCAGGGCAGACTAGGCATAATTCCCAGAATTATAGAGGATTACACCAAGACTATCCCCTCGTCCGTCCGGGAAGGACAATTAGCGCATTTCAATTAGCGTATTATATTATCCAATAGGTTATCGGACTAAAATATTCGATGTGTTATTGGATATAGGGGCTCCACTATCTACTAAGTCATCAACGCGTGTTTTTCTACACGCGTAACCCCCTACCAACCTGCCTACCAACCTGCCTACCAACCTGCCTACCAACCTGCCTACCAACCTGCCTACCAACCTGCCTACCAACCTGCCAATAAATCTGCCATGGCTCCAAAGAAATCTACTAAGGCTACACGGAAGCGCACGCTTGACGAGATTACTGCCGAATTACCTACTAAGGAAGAACTCTCTCGGCAGCTAAAGCCCTTGATCCCTTCCTCCGAACCTCCACGGCTGCACCTACCTACTAGCATTGACCTAGATAGCCCATACGCGATCTTTACACTCTTTATTAGCGAAGAGATTTTCGATCGTATCAGCCAATCTACCAATGCATACGCGCAGCGAAATCTAGCGAAGCTAGCTACCACTGCCACTACTACTACTACTCGCGCGTGGAAGGATACTACAACTGCAGAGATCAAGGTCTTCTTTGGTATTCTTATTTATATGGGTGTTCACCCTGAGCCACGCATTGATCTCTACTGGGCGCAAGATAGACGAGAAGGACCACTACATACTCCTCCGCTTTATATGACCCTTAAGCGCTTTGAACAGATTAAGCGCTATCTTCATATATCTCACCCTGACGAAGATGAGATACGATCGGAGAAGGATAAGAAGCAGTGGTGGTATAAGCTAGACCCTCTGGCTTTCTTCTTCAAAGAGGCTGCTGAAAAGCACTACCAACCAGGTTCTAATATCTCTATCGATGAGACTATGGTTCGCTGCTTTGGCCGTACGAAGCATACTGTCAAGATGCCTAATAAGCCAATTCAACAAGGTTATAAGATCTTTGCCCTCGCAGAACATGGCTATATTTGGACATTTACATGGAGTAGCCGCCTATGGGGGATCGCGGAGATGTTTAAATATGAAGGCCTTAGCCCTACGGCAAGAATGGTGCTTAAGATGGTCAAGAAGCTTCCTGGCCTAGCTAGTTCGATGGCTAATCTTCCTGCTACCCCTATGAGCAATTCGCATACCAATCTTATAGCCAATTCGATGGCTAATCTTCCTGCTACCCCTATAAGCAATTCGCATACCAATCTTATAGCCAATTCAATGGCTAATCTTCCTGCTACCCCTATGAGCAATTCGCATACCAATCTCATGGCCAATTCGATGGCTAATCTTCCTGCTACCCCTATGAGCAATTCGCATACCAACCTCATGGCCAATTCGCCGGCCAATTCGCCGGCCAATTCGCATACCCTAGCACCCTATATTGTCTACTTAGATAACTACTTTACCTCGGTAGCCCTTTTCAAAGAGCTTCGAGATATTCAATGTGGTGCATGTGGTACTACCCGCCCTCAAAATGGGATACCTTCTCAGCTCGTTGAGCTAAAGGATCACATTAAGACGATCCCATGGGGTACACTCTATGCAGCAGAGGCTGAAGGGGTTCTATGTCTTGCTTGGCAGGACAATAATATAGTCCTTCTACTATCTACTATCCACTCGCCACAGATATACACTCCTACTAAGCGGAAGCGGCCATTACCAACCTCTACGAATGCAGCTATCTCGCGTATACCTTTTGGTGATGAGATAACTAAGGAGCTCGAGATTCCTACTGCTATCAATGACTACAATCACTATATGGGTGGTGTGGATATTGCAAATCAGTATAGGGCTTCTTATGAAATTCATCGAAAGTGCGAGCGTGTCTGGTTCCCTCTGCTTTTCTTCTTTATTGATGCTGCAATTATTAATGCTTACCGCATTCAATATATCTTTAAGAAGCAACAGGGGGATAGTGAGCTATCTAGTCAGCTAGATTTTCGGCGAAAGCTCTACCAGCAGCTCTTTGCCTTTGCACCTTCGCCAGTACCAAGGCCAGTACCTGGTATAAACCACCAGCGAATTCAATTCGATAGGCGAAAAGCTTGTGTGTGGTGTCAGTATAAGAGAGAAAAGGGCAAAAGAGGCCAACAGGCCAATCGGTCAAGATCTGGTTGTTTAGAATGCGGCAGTGTAAGCCTATGTGTAAAAGGGCAGTGTTGGGACGAATTTCATAGAATTAGCTAGTCGATTAGGCCTGATTAATTACCATACTGAATTGTGACCGCGATTAGCCAATTAGTACGCGTTATTCATATACGCTAGTATAGCCTAGTAAAATACGCTAATTGTCCTTCCCGGACGGACGAGGGGATAAGCCAAGTAAACGAAAGTTTCATTGGTATCCAAAATTGACTAAAATTAAAATTGTACGGTTGGTGATGCTTCAACACACCTCTCCATACCATTACCAAAAAGGTGGTCAAGCCACTACACCAGCAGCAGAAAGTCTCATAGCCAAGCGAGCCCAAAATATGATCAAAGGTATCACAAACAGTTTGACACCTCTTGGCCACATTCCCGGGCTTGCGAGAAGGGCCAATCAGCCACCAGATCCATGAGCAAGTGTGCCGCACTACTCCGCATGGGTCGCGGCGGCGGTCTCCTTGTCGGTAGCTCGAGTGCCAGCTTCCGCCTGCAGATCGGCCATCTTCTCGGATTGGAGGGCACCCGACTCGAGCTGGCGAACATGCTGGTACTGAACGGTGGTCTTCCATGGCTTCATGCCTGGGGTGTTGAACATGGTCTCCACATCTTCCAGGGTCTTACCAGCTGTCTCAGGGAAAGCAAAGAAGACGTGGATAGTCATGGCGAAGCAGAACACACCAAAGACCAAGTAGGTCTTCCACTTGATATTCTCAAACGCTGGGGGCACGAAGTAGGACAGGGCAAAGTTAAAGACCCAGTTGGACGCGGTCGAGACAGCGACAGCCTTACCACGCAGACGCAAGGGGTACAGCTCAGGGGGTAGATCCAGCTGACAGGGCCCCAGGTGGGTGCAAAGCTGGCAACGAAGAGATAGGTACAGGCAATGACACCCTTGGCAGCGGAGGGGGCCTCACTCAAATCCCACGATTGCTCAGGAGTGTTGTTGAGACCGCCGGGGGGCGCGGGCTTTCCGAAGCTGGCCATGATACCACCATTGGCAAACATAAAGGTCATCATCAGGGTGGAGCCAACCAGAAGGGGGGTACGTCGACCCCAGCGGTCAATGAAGAGCAGGGCGAAGATGGTCATCACCACGTTGATGACATACTGAATAGACGAGGCAACCAGGTTGGCGTTACCTGACAAACCGGCCATACCGAAGACATAAGTGATGTAGAGCATCATCACGTTCATACCGGTCAGCTGAGACCAGATCTGAGTGAACATGCCGATGTGGGTTCGGTAGATCATGTTGCCCTTGAAGAGATCGAGATAGGAGGCATCCGCATTTGCGCGCTCAAATTCGACCATGTCGCGAATTTCCTGCAACTCCGTCTGCACGAAGGGGGCACTCTTGTCGCCCTTGGAGTGGACCAAGGCCAGCACCTCATGGGCCTCCTCCCAGCGGTCGTGCTTTGCCAGCCAACGGGGACTTTCGGGGAGCAGGAAAACCATGCCGAAGAGGAAGACGGCAGGGATCATCTGCAAGCCCCAGGGGAGACGCCACGCAGCATTTCCAGCGAGGAAGCTGCTACCATAGGAAATGTAGAACATGATCAAGATACCCCAGGTAATGGCCCACTGTTGAGCGCCGACGACCTGACCACGTCGACTGGGCTGTGCCAGCTCTGCCACGTAGACGGGGACCTGGGCACTGAGAATACCCACGGACAGACCGTTGATGAAACGACCGGCGACGAGTTGACCGATGCTAAAGGAGGAGCAGACAATGGCACTACCAATGCACCAAATGACGGAGCCAGTCTGGATGGCCCAGCGACGACCAAGCCAATCAGTCACAATACCCGAGATGAGAGCGCCGACAAATGAGCCACCGGGCATGGCGGCTGAGATCCCACCTTGGGTGGACGAGGTGGGACCACCGCATGAGCCATCATCGCCAAGGCCAGTCTGGTTGAAGAAGCATTTGTACTGTTGAGTGCCGAGACTGTGTAAAAGCGGAAGCGGAAATTGGTCAGCTACTTATTGAGATATATTCGGAGCTCCGAAGGGATGCACAGCTCGAGGAGTGGGTTTGGAATAAGAGAGAGACTCACATGGCAGACATGGAGGCAATATCGAAACCAAACAGTGCACCGCCAATGACGGCCACCGTGGTGATGACATAGATATTCCCGATCACGTAGCCCATGATGGACTGGATGTGAGGGTAGGAAGGCACAGGAAGGGTGTAGTAGTTGGAATCGAAGAAAGGAAGCCCAGAAAGGAAGCCCAGAAAGGAAGCCCAGAAAGGGAGGGGGAGGGAGGGGGAAGGTGGAAGAAGGAGGAAGGGGCAAAGGAAAAAGCAAGCAAAAGGAGGGAGGAGGACGAGAGGCAAGGATTCTTATATACCTGGCAACCTTGCAGTTAGCAACTTCTCGTCCCAAAGTCCCGTCCGAATCAGATCAGCTGCCGGCAAGCATTCGATGGGACTTAATTTGGTTGGCCTACTTTACCGTCTGAGGGCCGAACCAGGGATCTAAACCATCCAACTTGCTGTAGAAATTACTATAGTGTGTAACTAATCGTCCAGAAGCTGTCATCAAAATGGGTTTCTTTCATGTGCTTCGTCGAATCAGACGCGAGATTTCCATACAACGACGGCTACTCAGGTACCAAATGTATATATTCACAATACCGACGGCGTTCTTGAATACTTACATAGGTGATGCTCCGATAATAATGCTGATGCTGTTTATGTCTAGGAAGAAAAGAATACGAGCATATTTGTCTGACTGGATCCACAGTCCAATCTTGGATCCAACGTGGGAGAATACGTCGGGAATACGTGGAGAAGGATACAATGTACAGGACATACATAATACGGGAGAGTCGATCCTCGACGGGAGTATCGTTGCCGTTTGCGGAGATGCGGGGAAGCACCAGACCACCACGCGTCGAGGGTCCTGTCATCAGGAATCAACCTCTACAATCATGACTGGTCCAGAGTCTAAAGGAGGAGTGAGCAGAGCAGGGCTCCTAGCGGGGAATTAGTGGAATTGGGAGAGATATTTTTTTTTCTTTTTCTTTTTTGTTTTTCTTTTCTACAGTAGAGTAGAATCTTGAATCATCACCAATCCAGGAAGAGCCTATGATGATCCGATCAAGCATTCCTGGAATCTTCAACTATACGAGTTATGGAAGAACGCGTATAATTCTTAGAATTCCTCCCGACCGTATACAAGATTACTCTCCGGAGTGCTGAATCTGGAGGGCATATTGATATAACCATCACAACAAGTCACAATACTCATCATCATTCATGAGCTATCACATCCCCAAACGGCAGATGATCTACAGGGTACAGGCTCTCTGGAATATTATTGTTGTTATCGACTCACGCTAACAAGCTCCAGCTTCTTGGTCAACTCCTCCACCTCCAATCAGCAAGCCGTGTCAGCGCCTCGTCAGCCCGTCTCGGGCGGGGGGCTAACCGTTTCCCTCGTCCACTCTGGAGCATCGCAAGGCCGTCCTAGCGCATGCAACTTCGAGGGTCGTCTGGCAAGCCACATGGTTTCCTCGCGTCGGCCAATCACTGCCGAATTGCCTGATTGGGGTCTCGGTCTTTAGGACAAAAACTACAGAGAGTTTAGTAGTGAACCCACCGTTGAGATCCGTGAGTCTCGCGGAATCATGGCAGGACCGATGACTTCGATGGCGTCGGATGGCGTCGAAGATAGGCTTGAGATGGGCTGATGGTGGCGTGAACTCGGCCATTGCTTGCTTGTCACGACTCTCAATGGCCGACCGAGTCATCATGAAAGGCCAACCTTCGGCGACAGTCACGAGTCCATGACCACTGCCACCACCGCACATGTACAGAAGGAGTATGTGGCCAGACAGTAGTGTACACTTTCTATTCGTTCTTCTTCCTCGGGGGGTGGTCAGAACTCCTCCTCCTCCTCCTCCTCCTCCTCCTCCTCCTCCTCCTCCTCCTTCCTTCAGTCGTAGTAATAGTCCTCCTGTGCGGAGTACATACTACTCCCCTCCTTCCGCATCCCCCTCTCCCTCGAGTCCCTCCACAGTCAAACTCAAAAAAACCCACGTACTGTACCCGGCATCCGATCCGTGGCCATGATTGGCGTTGGATTCAGGCATTCCACTGCGTCCCCGCTTTTCCTAGTCATCGAAACGCCCATTTCCCCAGTCCCGCATCCCCAGCGTGAGCAATCCTCGGATAGGCAACTCGGGTCCATACTGTACTCTACGGATCTCCTCCAAAGGGGAGCGGGGCCAGTCAACTCACGCAAGAGGTATCCAGCCAACCGAATCTGGGTTCCCTGGTTCACGGCCTTCCAGTGACCTTCTTTGTCTCCCTTCCAACCTATGAAACCAAACCAACCATCAAGAGCAAACGAACTCGCCAGCGATGGAGCATCGCTACTACTACGGTAGTACTACAGCCCCTACCCGCCCGGCTCTTTCGCCCGTTCTGGTGCAAGGACCGTCTCTCGATCGGTATACGATCTACAACGACCCCCTCAACCAGCGGCCGTGAACCCGGTCAGCCCGTCACTGGTCCGCGACCGTTCGGTATGTCGATGTCCCTGTCTGCCCCTGCCTGGGATTTCACCTTCCGTACGACTCGGTCGGGCAGCCCGAACAACGAAGGTTCCCTCTCCGACTGCAGCGTATCCATATCATTTCCTCCGTGAATGACGAGAGACCTAAATCAATTCTGAGGAATGTCTTGGCTCGTCTCAGAGTCTCCCTACAGCCTCAACCCCATTATTCGGGGTCCACTCTGGAACGCCATACCCAATGATGGAACGCGCCCTCGCAAAACTGACGCCGTGGGGCGCCCTCCCGGCGGGTGGCTCTCGCGGGTGTGGCTGATCAGAGATCTCCCGACGCCACGAGAAAGCTTCAGTTCTGCCCTTCTGTTAAGCTTCGGTTGTCAAATTCCCCCTGGATCCTTGTGGGCTTGGGAGTTTCAGTTTGTTAATGGCTCAATGGTAGACATCCGACTGTTTTCACGATTGGCTCTCTTGTTGAGAGTGCGTGTTCCCAATCGGCCGGTGTAACCTCAAATAACCTCGTTTCCAACACAACCAAACTCGAAACGCGGATCAAGCTGAGATGGCATGAGCGACGGTACTCTGTCTGATGGGCATCTTGAATTTTCCGTACTGCTGTCGTCTATGATCACTGACTCGCGTATAGCTCATTGTCAGTGTCCGAGATCTCTAGAGAGAGAAAGAACCTGCCGCCGTGTGTAAGCCAAATCTCCCGGTCGGGTCAAAGACTTTCAGAATACACTGCCAATCCCAGAAGAGGTGGGCGGCGCAACGCTACTTCCCAATGCTGCTGCGATCCCTGCAACGTAGCCAAGTCTAGATAAGGAAAACCTTTCAACTCGTCGATCCAATACTATCGAGAGCAACTTCCAGCGCCTGGATTTTTTTCAGGCCTTGTAATGGGACCTGCAGGAATCCGAAGGGGTGGGGTATCACAGAATTCGCGCTTCTTTTGCTCTACTCGGGTTTAGTCACATTGAAGCATGAAACATCTATGCGATAGCCGTCTTTCTTCCGTACGATGAGCGCCTGCACTCGGGCTCAACTCACTTGCGATAGTGATTATACATCATCTTTCCAACGCTCTTGGATATGATACGATCTGAATTTCCGATTTATAGATATTATTAGTAGATAATGTCCCCTAAATCCAGATATATGGCACGTTCCACATGCACGAGCCACTCCAATCTTGACCCACAGTTCGTCCTTACTTGCCAGCTGTCCGGTTGACTTGGCCACTCTTCGCGTCTGCAAAACGGCCATGCCATGAGCCTTCGTCTAAACACAGATTTCTCTGACAGGCATATTCCAGGAAACAACAAAACCCGGTAGTTGAACTCTTGGCCACATTCTATTGGCATTCTCGAGCACATAACCAGGCATTGCGATCATCCTTTACTAAGACTTAGCAGTCGCAAATGATTGCAGGCTCTGACAACAAACCAGCATCTCCGCAGATGAGACCTATCTCTGTACATATGCTGGAATATTTCAAATTATGCTCCAATGAAACCCACTTCCTTAAACTGTGATCTAAACATGGTAACTTTGGGTGAATCGCGTCCTTCAAGGTTGCTCGAAGACCTAATTCCAATACATCATTCGATGCAACTGACAATGATTTCTACGGCGGATACCATTTTAAGCGCGATAGCTAAGCTTAGGAGGTAGGTATATATAGAAATATACACCTACTTTCACAATAAATCCTCTGTGTAAAGCTCTTCCAAGGTGGCCTAGACATTTCTATCGCCAGGGTACGGTAGGAGCCCTTGTACGAATAAGGGTAGGTATGCCTCGCTCAAGAAGACACCGCATTTTCTGAACCTTGTGCCTGAAAAGGATACACTGCCCAGTTAGAATGTAATGTCTGCTAATATAACCTACCTCCTGGCGTAAACACCTACTGTGTCAACAGATCAATAAAAATGAGGTGGTGATGGCGATGTTTCCCGGGCTATGGATCTTGAATTTGAAGTATGAATCTGTTCTACGTCAGTATATACACTGCTGTGACAGGCGGATCTGTTGAAGGAAACTTCCTTTGCAGCGAATTCTAACGTAGGCATGTTGACGGTATTGTATTTCCGGTACTCCACTGGATTTATCTGCTCTGGTTTTCTCAGTAAACTCTCCTGTGAAGATATCGGAGTGGGCAAGCAGTACCTCACAGGTCCCTAATGGCAGGGGCCATTTGTCGCTACCTAACGAGATGCTGTATAGAAGACGAACAGGTAAGCCCAAGTCTATGGGGAATAATAATAGAAAGAAAGATAGGCGCAGAAATTGAAGAGACACCGTAGGTCAAGGCCAATGAAGCTAGCTCAGTGCAGAGCGGAACAACTGCCTAAATCTGGAAGATCAGACCACTGCCCAGCAACGCCAAGCCCAAAGCGGATTCTTAGGCTTCGCCCCCAGCTTCATCTTGAGGCCTTCCTTTCGCGCACGATGGTTTCCAGAACCACGATCATACAGGGCAGCCGGCAAAGATGTGGTTGTGTTGATTCTGCCTTAGAAGCTGAAATGGATCTCTTTTCAGCAACATAAAAGCTGCTCCTACCCTCCTCACTGACCATCATTCAGGCCAGCTCTTATCCATCCCCCCCCTCCAAGGCACACCCGCGACGTAAAATCCTCAAAGAGGCCATGGATCCCTCACCACCTCCCTATAGCGAACATACTCAGTACAACCAGAACCATGAAGAGCAAGTTCCTCAGTATGAAGCACCTACTTACCATCAATCCTCCAGCAACTCGAAGACTCTCCAGGAGGCAAAACGGCCAAGTTTCCGCCCACAATGAACGGCTACTTTCAATGGAAGATAACCTCCACATTTCATCTGGGCCCGACCGCGGAACAGAAACTGTTCGCAGCGTCAATCCATGCTTCTGTCTTCGGGAACAAGCCATCCTTGATTCTATATGACGGTCCGACCAAGGAATATCCCATCATGGCAACGCTCAAGGCCGACAAATGGGGTCGCACCAGACCTGTTGACATCACACTTCCTCCACGCCCACACGGCTACGACACGCATGCGATGGACGTGCAAATGGTTCCATCATCCACGAATCATGTTTCCCCGACCTACACATTTGAGACCCAACGGGCAGGAAAGGGTGTTGGGCGGGGGCGATTTGAGTGGCGGAAAACCCATGGAAATGAGATCAAGGAGCTGGCTACTGGTCATTCATATGGTTGGAAGCTAGTATGGCTGTCGGGACCAGTCAACAGCGCCGGTGGGAGCAGAAAAGAACGAGAAATGGGGGTTGCCAGCGATGGGACGGAGATCGTGGCCCTCCTCGCGCACAATGCCTCGTGGAGTATGACGAAGGGGTTTCGGTTTGCCTTTTTGGGAACTGGGCTCACAGGCACCTTTGGCGAGCTTTGGGAGATCTTGACTGTCACATCGGCGTTGCATCTTTGGTATTTGGACTTTCAAGGTGCAACGGCCGCGGCCGCCGCTTCTTGAGTCGCGAACTACACTTGGCCTTTCTCGTTTGGCTAATCCCTGCGTTTCATCCATTCTGTTCTGATCATCTTGGGGCGCTAGATGGACCCTGATCACAGTCTCTCAGTAGTTGACGATGTGAGGGCCCGAAGGGCTTATGTGCGAGTCAAAGGACTTGAAGTAGTTACGTGCCGGAAGATTCGCTTGAGACTGACACCAGAAAGCATGGGTATGACTGACAGAATGTAACAGAGGATGGATAGGGACTGGTCAATCAGCCTGGCAACCTCCAGCTGGACTGGCATGGTTGATATATAGCTTTGGAGAAATGGGCGGGATTGGTGCCCAAATTAGTCTCTCGAATGCCAAGCGTTATGGGAAAAGCTTACCCAAACATAGCATCAAAATGCGATCTTGAATTTTGTCATGGCCTATACGAAGCTTCAGAATTGATGGATATGACCACCCTGGTCTTCTATACGAGATCATCTACACGCTCGATAGGAGAGGAGATGACAATAGATACGACCAACCATCCCTCCTGTATCTGTTCATTGGATTGAAGACGGCGCCAATTGTGGTCATTCCTGGGGCCCTTTCAACATTCAACAGGCTCTAGTGGAATAAAATCTCCATCATCCCAGTCATTGATTGCTTTAGGTCAGCAAACTTTCATGCGCTCTGCGGAGAGAGACTACGAAGGACACTCTATTGCTATCATGCTCAAGGTACCGGGCCGAGACTCGAATCTTTGACAAAGTTCGCCTTCGAAAACGTTCGAGTCAACCCTGAGAACGGAATCTGCGTCTGCCTCGAGGAACACGAGGTGGGGAGAGAGCGGGCGTTGACAGCCACTGCGAGGCTCGTGCGACGCGGGAGAGCGCATCATGCGCTCCACCCAGATCTTCATCGCTCAGACGAAGAAGTCTTGTTCAGGTCCATCAAACCCCTTGGGAAACATGCAGCGTGTGCTGTGCTTTCGGAAAGGTTATGTACTTATTGATATTCGCTTCCAATGGACATCGACACCACAGTCTTCCATTTAACCAAGTCACTCATTTTGACATTATTGACCTCGGCCTGTCTATAAAGGTGGTCGTCCACAAGGAATATGATTTCCCAACCACTCAGCTGGCTGACCTTCGGTCTTCTGTTACCTTCTCTTTGCCAAAGGGTTCTATCATTTGAGCTGCACCCAATTGGGTCCACATCCATTGAAACCGGACGACATGCGACTAGAGATGATGACTTTTCCGTTTCTTGACCTTCTAAGCAGCGAAACCTTTATCTGGGGCTGGGTGAACCATGATACTAGATCCAAATGGAAAAGAAGAAGTACTAACATATCTTCATGCAGGATCTCAAAATGGTCGATCCGCGCTGGGGAATCTGACAGTCCACATGCCTGGAGACGAAGAGAACATAATCTCAATGGAAAAGTTCGAACCCCTGCTGCAGTCCACCGAGTGCACCAACAAGAGCATGACGATGGATTTCAAAGATGAGAGATCTTATCAATATGGCCAACGCCTCTGGCAGTGGGTCAATGAGGCCGATGAACGAAAGTTCATTTTGGTTGCTGGGAACGGTCATTGCGGTTGGAACCAACATCGGTTGCCCTTCGTCGTTTTAAATGTGCGTTTCAGTGATGCAAATAATACGATCACTGTCATTGGATATGGTTCGGACTGGAAGACTGTCGCACATACGTACGAGTTGCTTGTCGGTGGCCATCCTTCATCCGAGAAGCGTGATATCGACCATACCTTCTCCTTCGATTTAAACCACGCTTTACCTATGAGCAGCAAGTCCTTCTCAATGGGCGATTTTAAGTTTACATATGACTGTGATGACTGCGGGACCAAGGGCGAGTTCGACTTCCAATTCGAGCTATAAACCGAGCTCTTCATTCCCACGGGAGTGTCCATGACCCGCAGTCCCCAGGGAGTCTCCGCCAACTCCAACCCTCGTTTGGGGCTCAGTGCCAATTTTACCGGCACGACATCTGACGAAATGGAGCTTGGCAAGATTCCCATTGATGGACTGACCATTCCTGGAGGAATCCTGGATTTAGGGCCCGAGATTGTGTTCAGCTGGGGTTATGCATTGGGTCCGATTGTGGGCACTGCGGGCGTCTCGACGGGCGTGTCCATCGGACTCGAAGACTCGGCAGAATTGAAGATTGACTTGACCTCTACGGATGTGTTCGCAGGTGGCTGGACGCCCAAGGTTATGAAGAATCCGATCAATGTAGACGCTTCCATCAGTGGTGGAATCGAGCTCAATGCTAAGGCTGCTATTGAATTGGCATTGGAAGCGTTAGGTAAGTCCTTACGACTTGATTCGGGCAATAATTTTGTTTGAGCGCAGTAGCTATCTATCGAGTAGATACCGGCTTTGAAATTTGTCTGGACCTGGAGCCCTGAGCTGGAGCAACTCTGAACGTGGCATCGTGTTCGTTACTATATCGACTCATTTATTTACTTGATGAACGGGCAATGACAAGGAAGTTTTCGGCTAATTGATGTTGATCCATGACAGCATCCGGCGCCGTTTGTCCAGAGCACCCGGAAAAGCACCATTTCGGCGTCAAGGTTGCGCCGTCTGCCGGTGTTAATCTGAATGTCGAAGCCTCCGAAGATGACGACGAAAGTGAGCCATTCTTGAGCAAAGCCATTGCTGTATGTACACCCTTTATCCCAATTGAATTCGTACATGGCCTGTGGCTGCTAATGATATTGATAGCTCCTAGTCTCTCACGATGCCTCTCCTTTCCATGTGTACCGGCTTCGGTTCGCCTCCAAACGCACCGGGCTCCCCGAGAAAGACTATAACAAAGGCCACCTCCACCCCTCTGCCACGACCTTCTACTAATTACTCGTCCATCGCCAACCCGCCAACATCAATGGTCTCAGAACTGACTTGGAGTTGAGAAATCAGCCATCCTGTCTAGCCACCACCCTGGACAATGCACATTGGGGAACCCGATCGATGTTGGCTTCTTCGGGGACTGGGGATTGATAACGGATGATGTACGTCTCCGAAAGCTCTCTCTTTGCAGTGAAAATGGGGATGGTGATGATAATCATTGTTTGTGAAGAAACATCGGAGTATCGGCGGACTCCGGTCCCCGGACTGGCCAGTTGGTGGGAAATGCTCGGATGACTCAACCGGACGGGGTGGATGGCCCGCTTCCCGAGGTGTTCAGGTGTCGAGGTGTCGAGGGTGGTTGCCCCGCAGTCTTCCTGCTCAGTTCCATCTTCTTTCTTACTCTTTCGACCTCATTCCTACAACCCTCCGTCTTGGTCGATCAACTTTAAAAAAAAATAGCATCCTCAAAATGACTACCCTCAAGCCCGGTGACACGTTCCCCAGTGACGTCGTCTTCAAGTGAGTACCTCGGTCCCCCCGAGTCTCGGACCCTTCTAGCCATCCCCGCAATCCACCCCCCAGGGCTCCGTTGACCACCCACACCTTGTAGATACATCCCCTGGTCCGAGGAGAGCGGTGAAATCACCGCCTGTGGCATCCCAATCAACTACAATGCCTCGAAGGAGTGGGAAGGCAAGAAAGTCGTCCTGTTCTCTGTCCCTGGTGAGCTCCTGAAATTAGTTCGCATCAAATCGCGTTGGCCAATGGACCAAGGACTAAGGACTAATCACTGAGGCTTCACCACCTCTAGGTGCTTTCACCCCAACCTGTTCTGTCAACCACGTGCCCGGATACATTAAGAACCTGCCCCAGCTCCGTGCAAAGGGTGTCGATATCGTTGCCGTCGTGGCTTTCAATGACCCCTTCGTCATGAGCGCCTGGGGCAAAGCCAACCAGGTGCGCGGAGACGAAATCGTAAGTATCTCTCGACCTTTGTGAGCATATGGTACAATTGTTGACCATTGTTCCGGTAACAGCTGTTCCTTTCCGACCCCGATGCCCAGTTCTCCAAGAGCATTGGCTGGGCTGACGAGGCGTCCGGACGAACTGGTCGCTATGCCATTGTCATTGACCACGGCAAGGTCAGCTATGCGCAAATCGAGACTGAAAGGGGTGCTGTCAAGGTAAGAGGGCCCGTGTTGCTCACTACTCTGCCTACAGATGAGCTAACGTGAATGGACCCAATCTGTAGAAGTCGGGTGCCGACGCTGTCCTGGCGTCGCTGTGAACTAGGACCTTGTGAATGAGGTGCATCTTGCTAGAAATAACACTAACGAGCAGACCACCATGCATTTCTTATCTCCTTGTCCATGATTGTTGCTCACCGAAAGAGCCCATAGATAGAATACCGGACCATCGCAATAGTCGACGTATACCATGATGAATATAAGTGTAAATTCGAAAAGAAGCTTCCAGGCCCTGTTGGAATATGTACGTCACAGGGAAAATCTATATGCAGAAAAATCAGATCATACCCCCGAAGAGACAGAATGCCCCCTCAATCAGAGAAAACAGAAAGAATTTCAAGGGTATCTTGTCGCTATCCCACATAGAGACAGGAGTCACAAAATGGGTCAACGGGCATGATTTTGAGAGAAGGCGCGATCATGAACATGCAGTTCAATCCCAGCAGAATCACAATGCTCGTGCAATGGCTCCGCGGCTTGCATAATCTTCGATTTGATGGTGTCATCCGAGGGGTCGGACGCCGAGGCCCTAGTGTCACCAAGCTCCTCGGCTGAGGCATTCTGAAATGCCCCCTCAATATCCAAGCAGCGAAGGTGGGGGAATCGAGAGTTGCGGTTTTTGAGGACGGTCTGTAGCTGCGAGACAAGTGTACCCACGTGCCGCTCCTCGCATCCTTCGATGTAGAGTGTCTCAAGCGAATGAGGCAGGCAATTGATGAGAGGTGTTGTCGGCTCGGTTTGATATCGGATGTCGAGAAGATTGGTCAGCCGAATGCGAAGCTCTTGGAGGGCGGAAAACTCAGCTAGGGACCCAAACCATTCGTCATGAGTTTGATTTAGTCCAGCAGAGGTGAAGGGATAATGGTCGCCGTAGTGATCAAGCCACAAGGTCTGGAGCGTCTGTTTGCTGCGAGTCAGAGAGCGGTAGAAAGCAGTTGGTTGAAAGCCGTGGGAAGCCAGGTGTGAATCCGAATGCTGATATTTGAACGACTTCAGGTCTGCGCACGAAGTTATCAAGGCTTCCATGCCATGGTTTCCGCTGCTGTGTCGCAGGTCTATGTCGGTAATTGAAGAGAAGCCCGAACACAATTGGTCGGATTGCTCTGCGTCAGAATCTGGATTCTGCGAGGCCGAGGTCGGATCCACAACCGAGTTGGCAACAATCGAACGCAAGGAAGATAACTGAAAGAACGACAGCAGGAAAGATGGCGAGTGTTTATCAGAGCCATTTTCTGCGCTCTCCTGGGCCGCAGGCTGGTCAAGGTCTTCTTGATGATATAGAACGACTTCGCGCAGGTTTTGGAAAACCAGCCGCGGCTGAAATGGCCTCTCGCCATTAATAGCACGTTGCATGCTTCGGTCCAGGCAGGGGGTAGGTGTAGAATATACGAGATGAAGCTGCCGAAGCTGGCTCAATAATGGCAGCGTTAACGCAATCCATGCGTCACCGCGGCCTTTTGCAAGATGCTCTTCCCATTGCGCCGTCTCCTCGCCGGAATATGAAGAAATTTGCACAGTATCCTTCAAGATCGCAGAGTCCCGAAGCACTTCCCAGTCTTCCGAGGCGATGGGCTTTCTCTGCCAACTACTTAGGTCAAGCTCATGTACTGCTCGGGCGAGGGACGGTCGATTTGTGATCGCACAAAGAAACGAGTAAACGTCACGCCAGCTGTTCAACCTTGCCTTCCTGTAAACAAGGGATAGGAAGAGCTCATGAAAGTGATGAGAGATGAATATCAGTTTCCAGCGGTCTCCATGATTCTCCAGATGTTCACCAACTAGAAGAAGGACATCGTTGGGTAGTTGGAGTGAACAGACCATGGTGGAAGGACACACAGTACACTCAGGAGTCAAGCGGGTGGGGTCTCCCACTGGGGCTTCATGTTCTTCATAAACAGTCAAAAGACAGAATAATAATCAAATTGTTTCGGGCATACAAGGGTGATGTCGGAGAGAGAATGGTGAAATCTTTCGCAAAAGGCAAAAAGTCAAAAACTGTGAAGCATCCACTGATAAGCCGCTTATCAAGGGGGGGACAAAAGTATTCGAAGCCACAAAACCGTGCGGCAGAAGAAGCCACTCTGCCCTGAATCGATCCACTGCATTTTCGCTCAGCGGATGATATTGGCTCTTGGTAACGTCGGTGGATGTATCAGCGTATAGGAGGGGCGGTCTTTTGGATCACCACGGGGCGTTGGGATTGTCGGCAGCGGAGCCTTCGGTGGAATTGTGGATGAAATTTCTTTCATGCTCCACCATGCGGTCATCATATTCGCCGCTGGACGGATATCGTGAAACTAAATACATAATCATAGCAATTGATATTATTCTCTACCTGCTGCTCGCGCTGAAATAATCAGAGGACTATGTACAATCTGATCCTTTCCACCCTTGGGTCCGTATGCCAACGGAACAGTTCGATGTACACGATAATTGTTGGCACAATTGGAACTCTTGTATAAGGGCTGCCATGTTGATGGGGAACCTAAAATCTTATATCAATCACTGAGGGTTTCAATATCACTGTCAGTCGTTCATCTTTTACAATTCTAAACTTGATCACATACACTTTGCGCCATTCATCCTCCGGATGTCCTTCCACCTTCGTCATGATCGACCTCTAACGCTGCAAGCTCCCGTCAGGATGCCTTGGCGGCTGAATTAGTCAAGTCTGCCGAGAATCGGCTCCAAATGAAACCCCCATCCTCATTGGCTGCGTTTGGGCACAAGTGGGCGCGACACGCAGTATTGTTCAATTGTTCAATGATATTCCTCGGCACTCGGAAGTGAGAGACATAAGACCCAGACAATTTGGAGATCATTGCTACACCAAATACTGTCCGGAGAATATGTGTAACGAAAGTGCACTCAAGACCGCGATAATGTGGTCTTTTGCTTGGTAAAACGCCTTGCTATACAGAGTGGGCAATTGCACCCATATGTAGTGGTGTTAGTAGCAACTATTATTCGACACCCGTTCTTGGTGAATGTCTGGTGATGTCTCAAGAGTCCGTAGTAATACACAGCAGGAATCAAAGGCCTCTAATGCACACAACATGATACGTGGAACTAGCAAGTAAAAAAGGTCCAGTCACTGTGCCACGACTGGCGGAAAACAGTGAATGAAGTCTCAAGCACGCGCATATCCATTTGGTGGCACAATGTGGCGCTTTCTGCGTATATACGGATAAGGTGTTGATATGGGGATCGATGCACTCGAGCCGGACGAAGAAAAGGTGCAGGTAGTCGCGGCAGCGGTCATCGTAATGGGGGCGATAGTGGGCCTGTGAATGGACTGCATTGAAGAACAACCGTCTTCGGTTTCTCCGTGCTCGTTTCGGTCTTTCAATATCTTGAGCTTGACCTCAATAATGAGTGAGATGCGATATGGTTCTATAAGCTATGCACTTATCCCTGAGAGTGCAGGCATTCCGGTCCCTTTTTAAAAATGCCGGCCTGCGGGGGTGGAGTCTGGTGGTGCGGGTCTATGCGGATATTCGATCATCCATTCACCTGCTCATATAATCGCCGTGTTGACAATCATCAAGCGATGAGCGCAATCTTCCCTGGGTCTTCGAATCATACACTATGGCGTCTATGGCGTCTATGTCGACCTGGCCCCCTTCGACCATGAATGAGTTTGGTATCGCGACTGTGTCTCTTGGAAACTGGAGGGAGCATCGGCTTACTCCTCGACTCGAATCAGCTGCCAAGGCCGGTTACCAATGGATTGACCTTTTTGACGAGTGCTGGGCTGCTTACCTGGAGGAACGTGGGCTCCCTGGTGATCAGCTATGGGAACCAACTCCTGAAAATCTTCGAGTCGCCCGCCAACTAGGTGACCTCGTGAAGTCGCTGGGAATGCGCATTGCTTGTACGCAGCCTCTTCGCCAAATCGAGGGTGTGAAGGACCCTGTTGAACGCCGAGCGACTCTTGACTTGGTCGCCAAACGGTTCCCGTTCATGCGAGCCTTCGACACGGATCTTGTCTTCATGTGCGCCAACATTCGCACCGACGATGGAGTAACCTCTGATCTGAAAACGGTTTCTCGAGACCTTGCCCAGCTTGGCGACATGGCTGCGGCGTATGCAAGCAAGGATGGAGGACGGATGCTGAAGATTGGCTATGAGGGTCTCTCCTGGGCCACGAGAAACACATGGTCAGCCTCGTGGGAAGTTGTGAGGTTTGCCAACCGTCCAAACGTTGGGCTGGTCGTCGATGCATTCAATGTTCTAGCGGCAGAGTTTGCAGATCCTTACAACCCAGCTGGGCATGGGCGCATCTATCCAACTCTAGATGAGTCTCTCGACATTCTCACTGGGTCACTTTCTTCTCTGGCTCGCACCATTCCGGGTGATCGGATTTTCTTTTTCCAGTGCGGTGATGCGGAACTGATGAATCCAGAGACATTCCATCCACCGACTGACCCATCCACCCCAGCACTTCTTCCTTGGTCGAGAAAACATCGCCTGTATCCGTTGGAGCAATCACTCGGGGGATATATGCCCGTGGAACTCGTCGCTGCTGCCGTGTTGGCGACGGGGTATACAGGACCGATGTCCCTCGAGGTCTTCAACACGTCTCTGAACCAGCCCGGAGGCGACGTTGCAAGGGTCCATGCCTCTCGGGGGATTGTCAGTCTTCAAAGGCTGACGGAGGCTGCGAGAGCATTGCCTCCTTTTTGGGAGAGCCAAGCCGATGCACAGCAAGCGATAACCGACGTCTCTCGGCGGTTGCGTGCATCAAGTCAAAGGCTATAGGCTCACTGATCCATAGCAATACGTTCGAAGTATGTATGTAGACAAAGAATGCCTCTATACCACGAAAACTGAATGCAAATGATTCTTTCGAACCAGCTTCGAAGTTACGACCAAGATCCATAAAATGGGTCATCACTTCCCTTTTAATCAGATACCAAATGTCAACTAGTGGATCTCCCGAAGCCTTGAGTAGTCGACCGACTAGGAAATTTTGTTTCGGTGTTACCAATATTTTAGCCGTCAATTTTCGTGCGATAATCATTAGATATAGTAAGCATTAGGTACTATCCCACCATGACATGAAGCAGGATAGCATAGAATGGTTCACTGGGCTGATACCCCGCCGTATGAGCAAATCGATTTTCCAGGAGATATGCGCCTCAGGGGCCTTCCTCTTGACGGCTTTTGGTTTATCCATTTACTTCTAGAGACGGCCTGGTGTGGAGAAGGTGAGATCCCCCAAATAGATTGTCTCTCGACTGATCAATATGTGGGGATAGGTCCATCCGGTCACTTAATTTGTCCGCCGACGCCGAGGCCATACATCAACCAAACTGGGAGCAACGTGACTTTTTATAAGTACTTGCAAATCTCTCAAGGGCATGATTAACCAAGATAAATATCATTCTTTGATATAGTTTACTGGAGCTTATACAATGGATGCCCTTGAAGTCGACGTTCTGGTTTGTGGCGGAGGCATGTCCGGCCTTGCGTGTGCTGCATTCACCGCGGAGGCTGGGGCCAAGACGTTGGTGGTAGAGAAACAAGGAACCATTGGCGGATCTTCGAGCCTCTCTGCGGGCATGTTGTGCGTATACTGCCCTCTTTTTACTGCCTGCGACTTGTTGACAATTTCATAATGCAGCTGGGCACCACACACCTACGAAAAGCTGCGGTCTTGGGTGCCAGATGGCGATCCTGCATTGCAACGCACATGGTTAGACGAGTATCTCCCAGCGGTACAATGGATGCGTGAAAATGGTATACCCACTGCGAAACGATTTGACGGCATTATGACTATTGGTAAGCTGTGTGTTGGTTGATATTTTTTCGGACTCGGCCGTACTAAAACCGATTTAGGAATCGGATTTCCGATCCAGATCCCTGTGCTCCACAAGTCTCACCAGCAGCGTATTGCGGCCAGCGATAATGGATCTAGGATCCTGACCAATACATCTGTGGTCAAGCTCATTCAAGCAGATCCTGTGGTGTCTGGCTCTCGTGTTAATGGCGCCATCATATGCGAACAAAAGCCCGGGGAACCCGCCACGTATTACGAGGTGAAGGCCAAGCTAGTCGTTTTGGCTACTGGAGGTTTCCAAGGGTCTCCCAGCATGACAGCCAAGTATCTTGGCCAGGGTGGTGACAATATCTTCGTGCGATCTAATCGCGGCTCTGTGGGCGACGGTCTCGACTTGGCTATCGCAGCTGGAGCTGGTACAAGCAGAGGTCTGAACACCTTCTATGGGCATTTGTTGGCAGCCCCTGTACGAGCCGAGGATGTAAGTCCACAGGACTATTTACCTTTGGCTCAATACCGTAAGCAATTCCATGCCTTTTAAAGATGGAAAAGTCCGGCGCTGACCACCCATTAGAGAGCAAATACTGTATGCTTCTGAACGAATCCGGTCGCCGTTTTGCAGATGAGACCATTGGTGATGAGATTGTGAACCAGTACTTGGCCAAGCAAGAAAAGCGGCGTGGGTTTTTATTGTTCAAGTGAGTACCGCAGATACGGGAGAGGCATTCCGTGACTAAATTGGTTGATAGTGAGAAAACCCGCCTTCAGCACTGCATGGGAGCACTTTTCCCTAATGCAGGTGATGTTGATCGATTACAGAAAGCTCGCGAATACGGCTGCAACGTTGGAAAAGCATCCACGCTGAGCGAGCTCCTTGAGACCCTTCGTGGTTGGGGCGTTGATCACATTCAAGCCGCAAAGACAATTGAACGATATCATCAAGTTGTGCGCCATGGCCAGAGTAACCTGGGTCTCGAAGCCCCGGTTGGTCGTGTTGGGACTCCTCCGAAGCCGTTGGTAGATGGAGAAGGTCCATTCTATGCTATGGAGGTCCAACCATCGTAAGTCTCTAGCATACAGAACCGTCTTGAGCTTCCCACGAGTCTAAATTATTGCTTCAGTATAACCTTCACCTACGGAGGGATTTCCATTGATACTCACGGTCGCGCTTTGACGGCCGACAAGAGCATTATTCCGGGTTTGCTCGTGGCAGGAGTTGACGCAGGGGGCTTCAGCAACCTGGGATATGCCGGAGGCCTCGCACTTGCCTTTGTGACTGGTTTGTGGGCTGCCCGATCAGTTACACGAGAACTGGGATTGAAAGAGCCTCGTCTGCCAGCTGCCGATGCAAGAGACGCAGCTCCCCTTCAAAGCCGCCTATAGGCATTCGGGTTTTTTGTCTTGTAATCAAACTTTAAATTCATTAGACAGACAGGGGTTGTATCTCGCCCTGGAAGACAAGGCAAAGAATAGGTAATAAAAATTGAATGGCCGAGGATGATGAAATTATCCGCCGTGGCCCATAAGCCCATAAGCCCGTGGGGTCCTCGCTTTGACAGCACCAATTCAACAAACTTTTCTAAATGCGATCTATTTCTCTCAATATCCTTTGCAGAATAGAGCTTAACAGCACCTTACCTTGATATACATTTGAGCGGTTCCATTTGACTACGGCCCAAGAATGGCAGGACTCCAAGATATATTCTGTTTCAGTACAGGAGGTTCTCACGGGTTGTTCATCAATAATTCCTAGCTATTCCTTCTTGTTCAACTTAAGTAATTTGTGGAACTATCTTAGTTTTCCGCGATAAGGACACCACGGTACCGCATCTTGCCTTCCTGCAAGGTCTTGAGGCTTTCCTTGACTCCCTCGAGTGTCAATGGGAAAGTCATTTTGACAGGTTTAATATTGTGAATGGCGGCAAATTCGAGCATTTCACGATGTACCTGTCTTGCACAAACGATTCCTCCTTGAATGCGGAGACCATTCAGCAGCAGAGGCATGTACGGAATCTTCAAGTCGTTTTCATCGACGGAGAGGGGCGAGATCACGCCGTTTGGGGCCATGACCTTCAGATAAAGCTCCCAGTCTGGTTGACTGCTGGTAGTCTCAATCAGATTGTCGAGGGGTTGATGCAACTTCAGATCCTTCGCGCCCTTGGTCGCATAGAACTCCTTTGCGCCTAACTTAAATGCCTCTTCTTTCTTGCTATCGGTACCCGAGAAGACCACCACCTGGCAGCCCATTTTTGCAGCAAACTGAATAGCCAGATGGCCCAGACCTCCCAATCCAAGGATGCCAACTCGAGCTGTAGGACGGACTTGGGCAACGTTGAGCGCGTTGAAAACCGTCGATCCACCACACATTAGGGGAGCAGCGTCCTCGTTGCTCATGTTCTCGGGAACTTTGAACAAGAATGCTTCACGCCAGACAGCGTGAGTGCCGAACGACCCTTGATCAAGGTCTGCAAAGCCATACATCTTGCGTTCCGCACACATGGTCTCCCAGCCAGTGAGGGACTGGCGACAGTGACCACAGCAGTCATGCTGATATCCCCAACCGACTCGGTCGCCTTTCTTCAAAATATGAGCATCGGGGCCAGTTGCTTCGACAACACCGGTCCCTTCGTGACCTAGCACCATATCGGTACCCCAGTAGTGAATATCGGTGCCACAGACGCCGGAGTGCGTAATCCGAATGAGTACATCATCGCCCTTCAGGTCAGGGCGCTCAGTTTTCCCTTGCACGATGCTTCCGTCTTTCGAGCTCTTGAATACGGTGAATTCAACCGGCATGGTAGAAAGACTCGATGAATGGATTTATCAAAAGGAGCCTGTGGCAATTAGTACCCTAGCCGGCAAGGGACTTGTGGCATGCTCGCATTTTAAAGACCGAGTCGTTGGACGTTACGTCACCTTCCATTTGAAATGGAACATGATTGTTACATAATGGTAGTAGTTCTGACCAAAGGGCAGCTTCCTGAAATTAGAGTTTCGATTTCGATCTGGGAGCGAAAAACTATGTGATGCAAATGGATCCGGTGGACTACGGATCCGTTCGGGGTCGCTGATATCATCACTGTTGGGCCGTGGATTTCGACTTGTTGAACATATATATGTACGTGCGATTGTCCAAGAGGTACGAGGAGCCCTGCCAAGGAAAGAGGAATCGAAATTTGAAAATATACTGGTGTTAATTTATGCTTGTAGCTCTGGGCTCAAACTATGATTTCCATAACGCGGGTGTGTTCTCGTTTGTGAGGTCACGCCGTGAGCGCTAGCAGCTTCCAATTCCCGGAGAGTAGCTGGCTCGATTTGGTTGGCCTCACGCAAGTGGCTTTGGACTGAGGTGGCATTATAGAAAGAGAGCACGCTGAATAACCAATTGGTTTTCGACTGAGCGTGAAGGAGAAGTTCTCCTCGGTCAAGACAAAAACCTGCAACCACCGATAGGAACCTTGTTTTCTTTTGCGCCCAGCCTCATACGATTGATCTCATGAAGAGTAAGCCAATGGGCTTAGTATCGCATTGAAGTTACACCACTCCATTCAATCAATGTTTTGAACATCATAAATATGTTATTATTATTGTTTAATTAGCTGGTCCAATAAATCCTTCTTAAAAAGAAGCCGATGTCTACCGAGAATAGCCTTCTGCCTCCACCGCCCGCGCCGCGGCACACAGTGGTCCGATTCTGCCCGATTTATCTAGGCGGTGAAGCTCGCGATATCGGCCATCCCAATCAGGAAGGGCTCGAAAAGTTAAATTTTTTTTTTTTTTTGGTTGTTTACGAAAGGTCGACATTTTTTCAAGACTTGACTTAGATCTTCACGTGAAACAAATATTTAGAGAACCACCCGGCATTCTCGGGAGCGAGGGAATGCTTCAAGTACCCGGTGTTGGCCCCGCCAACCACCCCGCGCATCTCTCCGATAAGGATGCAGCGTTAGCCGTCGTGAGCGATGTGGCTCAGGAGATCGACCCCGTGGTTGGGAAGAGAGTGTTGAGGAAGATCGACCGGTACTTCATGCCTGCGATGCTGATTGGTAAGTTAAAAACTTCACTCGTTGAATATATCGTGATCTAATCAGTTTGTGATTCAGGTTATGGCTTAGTCTACTATGACAAGGTCAGTTAAAGTTGGAAGAAATCTTGTCTAGGACACAAGTTGACCTTCCTCCAGGCAATTCTAGGCAGTGCCGCACTGTTTGGCATGACCACTGACCTGCAATTGAGCATCACTGACTATTCGACATCCCCGCCTTCTGTTGATACATCCCGTCTCAGTTGGGCCACATCTATTTTCTATTTTGGAATGTTGACCGGTCTTTATCCAATGACTTTTGTGTTGCAAAGATTCAATATTCGTCACGTCCTCGGCCCTGTTGTTCTCCTCTGGGCAATTGTTTGTGCAGCCACTGCTGGTGTCACATCCTGGCGAGGATTGTTCGTACAGCGGTTCTTTCTTGGTATGTCTATCTTCTATATTGTGCTACACTTATCTAACATTAAATAGGTTTCATCGAAAGCGTTATCCCAACTAGTTTCATGACCATCGTCAGTGGTTACTACACGCAGGAGGAGCAGGCTCTTCGGCAAGCGTGGTGGTTTTCAGGCACTGGCTGGTTCACCATCATCGGCGGTGCGCTGAACTACGGCTTTGGCCAAATCACCTCTGGATCCTTGGCCAGGTGGCAGTACATTTATATTCTTGCAGGAGCCTTGACATTCATCTTTGGCCTCTGGTGCTGCACCATTCCCAACTCACCCGTATCGGCCTGGTTCCTTACTCCAGAAGAGCGGATGGTGGCCGTGGAGCGATTGCGAAAAGGACAGACCGGTGTTAGATGCCAGAAGATCAAGTTTGATCAAATCAAAGAATCATTTACTGATATTAAAATCTACCTGGTGGCTATTATGATGGCTGCAGCGTGAGCTTTTCCCCAAACAAACTACATTATTCCATATTGGATGCTAATATCACTAGCTACACAATCAACGGCGCTATCTCTGGCTTTGGGCCCTTGATTGTCTCTACCTTCGGATACAACACTCTGGACTCGATCTTATTCCAATTCCCTGTGGGTGGTGTGTGTATTATCTTCATCCCGCTGTGTGGATATATCCCCACCGTTGTTCCCAATACGCGAATCCCCATGCTCATCGCATGCTGTCTCCCTGTCATTGCCGGATGTGTGATGATTTGGAAATCACACTGGGGTTATCACCCTGCCGTCCCGGTCGTCGGTTATGCGCTTACCGGGTTTTTCGGACCGGTTGTCAGTCTGATCATCACGGTTGGCGCTAGCAACGTTGCGGGGGCTACAAAGAAAACAGTCATGGCCGCCACCGTCTTCGTTGCTTATACGGTGGGAAATATCATCGGACCACAACTTGTCAAGAGCAATACCAAGGCTCAGCATTATCCAGAATTATGGACCGGCATGGTGATTTGGTCAGTTCCCTTCTTAATACTTTGACGCTAGCCTTTTGTTAACAAGACTGTAGCTATTCTATCACGATCGTTGCAGCTTTCGCCTTGTATGTTGTATTGTGGAGAGAGAACAAAGCTCGGGATGCCATTGAGCTTGATGAAGTGCAACGCGACAAGATCGCCTTCGACGACCTCACTGACAAGCAAAATCCGTTCTTCCGGTATGCTCTATAAATGAATCAATTCGTTTAAGCAACGGTCTAGTCTGCTCCCTGAAGGCCATCCCACCTGGGACCTCGGATCTCATTCAAAATTCTCCAAACGCGGGATGTGTATGTATTTAGTTCAGAACATAATGATCTTGAACGTGTCTTCATACACCAAGAGATAATATTAGTTCATACTTTCTGACGGTCTTGTTTCGGAGAGGCATAAACTGTCAGCGGGACAATGTCCATAGGAGTCATCTATGTGTCTAGCATCATAAGCTGTCTCGTGATAGAACTCGGTGGCAAGGCAAGAGATGATCGTAGGATTCTTGGATTGTTGAAGAAGCTAAGATCTAACAAGAGGTTGGAGAATCTAAATAGGCAGGATCATGTGACAAACAACCTGTATGTCAAAGATATCCTAGGCCATGCAGATGCAATTCCCGAATCAACCATCTTCCGTAATATTTTGCCCAAGCCCTTTCCCGAGGGCGGGCAATCATTGCGGTCAACAAGGCCGCCCATCCGGAATCTTCAAGATTCCGAATCCCCTTACCCCACAAGAACTTTGTTCTTATATGTGCCACGGACCCTAGGTTTTTTAAATTAATCATTTCACTCAGTTTTAAAATGTCAGAAGAACAGAAGGGTGAAGTATGTGTTCTCTCGGGTGGCTTAGCCATCAGTCGTGAGCCCAGCTTTGAGGTAACGTGGAGGGCTGTCGATAAAGAAAACCCGAGAACCTGGCCAGTATGGTATAGATGCTTCGTTGTTGCCGCCACATCCTTTTCGACCACAATAGTGTATGTTTGCTTCTATCACGAGCGGCAATATCATACCAAGAACAGTCATTAATGTTAACTTTCAGGATCATGTATACGACAATGTATACCTCAGGCCTTGACGGAATGCAGAGTACCTTCAAATCTTCGGAAACCGTTATGCTTCTGGGTCTGACGACGAATCTTTTTGGTCTTGGAATCGGCTCGGCCGTTCTTTCATCACTATCTGAGCTCTATGGCCGAAGGCCTATCTACATTCTCTCCGTCTTTTTCTTTGGCATATTTGTTTTGCCTGTGGCTCTCGCAAAGAATGTTGAAACCATCTTGATTAGCAGATTTCTCAGTGGTTTCTTTGGGGGAGTCTCAATCTCCAGCGGGCCAGGAAGCGTCGCTGATGTGACTAATGATCAATATCGTGCTCTGGCATTGAGCTGTTGGAGCCTTGGAACGATGAATGGCCCTGTACTAGGTATGCTCCGAAGCCTGGATTCGTCGAATACTTTGAATACTTTCTTATGATCGATCTCTCAATGCATTACACAGGGCCTATAATTGGCGGATTTATCTTTCAGTATCTTGGCTGGCGCTGGATCAATTGGATTGTCTTGATCTCTACTGGTGTCTCACTCATTCTGATGTTCATGGTCAAAGAAACATACGCACCCGCCCTACTTCGCCAACGGACCAGGAAACTACAGAAAGAAACGGGCGATCTTCGTTGGTGGTGTCGATTTGACCATGAGCAGACGGGGCTTCAAATTCTCAAAACGAACTTGATTCGACCCGTTAGGATGATTTTCTTTGAGCCGATTTGGTAATCAACATGACCTCCACTCTGCATATGCTCATATACTAAGTGATTGGACAGTGTCTTTTGGAACTTGTATATTGGGGTTGTTTATGCAGTCCTTTTCCTATGTTTCGTCGCCTATCCCATAGTCTTCCAAGAGCATCGGGGTTGGTCCCCGAGTCTTGCAGGACTAGGCTACTGTGGCATTGGGATCGGAACTGCTATCGCAGTGATTTCCGAGCCTCTGATCAGAAGGGTAATCAATTTGCACCCATCAGATCCAAGCACAGGGCGGCCCGCCCCCGAGGCTGCAGCGTGGGCAGTGTGTTTGGGAAGTGTTCTGATTCCGATCGGAGAGTTCTGGTTTGCATGGACGGCTAAATCGTCGATTCATTGGATACTCCCGATCCTTGCAGGGCTTCCATTTGGATTAGGCAACGGGTTGGTCTTTATCTACGCGACCAACTACATAGCTGGAAGCTACACAGTTTATGCAGCCTCGGCCATGGCAGGCAATTCAATCGTGCGATATGGCCTTGGTGGCGTTCTCCCTCTTGCTGGGTCTAAGATGTACCATACTCTTGGGCCTAACTGGGCTGGGACTATGTTGGCCATCATTGAGGTCGTATTGATCCCGATCCCATTTTTCTTTTACAAGTTTGGCCACAAAATTCGACTGAGAAGCCCTATGATCATGAGAGACATAGGGAGGGGAGTATCTAGCAAATGACTAGAGACAAGGCAGTGAGACAAGAACCTAGTTTGGGTAGTCGGAACCTGGCAATATTGACCATTGAATGAAATCTCTCATGTTTCCCTTGGCACATATGATTCTGTAATCTCCAGCTCCGGGCAAGATAGATATGCAAGGCTTTTCAATTTCTCGTCTCTCATGATACCTTAAGCATTGGCATTTTGATCCCTAAAGAAGCACGGCTTTCATCGGACCGGCCCGCATCCTGCGACCTTCGAAGGGTCCCCCATGGAATGATTAATCCCACACAGGTAGGATCTGCGAATCGAGGCCATTAGAAAACAACGATTGAAGCCATTCCATTCCACCGTTGATGATTTGTCCCGGTAACGGAGCGTCTACACCCATTTCCGACTGCATTACATCGTACATCTGCGACGAACTGGTTCCATGTTCATGACCACCTAGATTCTCCACATCACTTCTCGTTCCAAGTTGAGCTTCTGGGTGATTCCGGCTGTGTGCTGTAAGGTGTGGGAAAGCATCTGGCTTATGAGAGCTGTCATTCTGCAGAGCTGGATGATTGTTGCCGCCCAAGTTCAATATCGAGATGACGGCTCCAGCTCTTTCGTGCGTGGTTCTAGTCCCTTGGCAATTCTGTGCATCTGCGATGGCTGAGCTCTCTTCGATTTGCGGCACTGGCGGGTTATTATTAAACTTGTAGGCGATAACCTGACTATGGCTTCGAGTTCCCATTGAGGTTGCTGAAGCAGACTGGGGCAGCTTCACGGTTGATTTAACCATCATACGGCGCTCGGAAAGGCTTTTGTTGATATTAGAATTTGGCTGGGTCAAACCATCGGTGGGCAGCTGAGCAAATGTGCTGTCTCCAAAGCGGGACGTATGGTCTAGTGCTAAATCATTTGGGCTCAAAATAGCATCTGCCATTTGATTCAGCTTCCATACTGTTTGGATCATTTTCCCAGACATCCAAGTCTTGCGACAATGCTCTCTAAGGGATCTGGCAGCCTTAAGCGTCAGAGCCCCATAAGTACTTTTGAAGGAGGGCTGTTTGATGATGAGGCCAAGTGCAATGATCGTGGCACTGGTCAGGTAATGCAAGAATGGAAATGTGTACTTGGGATGTTCTTCCGGTACGTTTCTGAAGTCATCGATAATTCTTTGGGCCAGGCGCATGCAGATGACCTCGTTCTCGATTGCTTCAGGTGGTGGGTTGTTATTATATCGCTCTTTTTGAAGCATGGGCTTGCGGATCAAAAGATATAGCGAGCACCACCTCTATCCATCTTTATTAGCTCGAAGTCGATCGCAAGTAACGAAGTAGCGCTGAATTAACTTGATAGACTCACGATACGCATCATGAGATGCTGCTTCACCTGCCACCAAGCTAACCCTGCACTATCATATGTATCTTCATGATTTAAATTATGGGTAAATTCCTTTTGAAGCCCCTTCTGCGACTGGGTTGCCAGGTGCTCAAGATACTCGTTGAGCAATGGACTTGGGGTTGACTCAGATGTAGTCGCCCCGTAGAGGGCTTCCCACACCTTTCCGACGACCTTTGAATAGCTAGCCATGGCTATGAGGTACGGTACTGACGTAAGAGTTTGTTCGTTGCTTGGAACATTTACGTTTATCGCAAGCTGAGTCGTCTTGTGGGTAGTCAACCATTCGTCATTGACGTTCCTAGGTAGTTCCACGTCGACATTCACATCTTGGATGAGGAAAGGACGGCCGGTTTCGATGGCCAGCCTTCGGTCCAGCAAGTAGATGCACCACCACAAGCGGCGAGCCATTTCACATTGAAATGGAGACATTGCGCCGACAACACTTTCTCTCTGGAGGCCGAGATGATGCGAGTGTGATATTGCAAGCGCGAGTATTTTCTCGGCAGATCCGTGCGCATCGAGTCGAAATAGGTACACTACCATCATGATAACTGTCTGTAGAATAAGGATTTGGTCCGCGCATTGCCGGAATCCGTCAAGCAGGTCACCGAATATGTCCCTAGCAGCGCTGTATAAACTCCAACCAGCGGAATAAGGACCTCCATCACCTTCGAAACGCGAGGATTCCACACATCTTCCATTTGCGATACCAAGTAAAACCTGCGCGGTTTGGACTCGGTGAGCGCCGTGCTCTTGCCGATCTTTAGACTGGCGATTCCAACTGCACTTCCAAAACTGATCATGAAGTTTCCACAAGCTAGGGAGGTGAAGAAATGGCACAAGGATATGCACCTCATCACAAAATGTATGCATCAGCCTATCCCATTGTTGTCGTTCGGGTACGATGCGATGAGCATCCAGCACTTTCTGAATGAAGCTCATCTGTCGCCCTGATGAATCGTCGATTAATTCGTTCGGCGACGGCGTGAGACGTGATGCAAATCTTTGACGTGGCGACGCAGAGCGGAGTCTTTTGTATTGCACGCCCATCTGCTCAAGTCGTCCCTCCACAACAGTGAGATTGTGCGCAATAGATGTCTCACCAGAGAAGGTCGGGACTTGTGGCTGTGGACTCCGATCTCGACTGCTTGATTCGAACTCTCCGCCCACCTTCTCTGGTTCACCAGGTCCTTGATCTTCGGTGCCTCTCACTAAGCCCAGTTGACGCTCTACCCGACTCATTCGAGGGACCAAATCCTTGGATTCTGCAGATATGCGTTCGGCAGCTCGCCATCTTCCCCGCATATCTGTACCCACTCGCTGACAGTCACGTCCTTTAACTGTACAAGCTCGACAGGGAGCATTTCCATCGCACTATAAAGAGTAAAGGGGGCAAATATCAGCGGAATTCACGTCGACACCTCTGTCTCTTAGATCTTACTTTAATTTTACGTCGCTGGCACTGAACACTGTCACAGAAATGTCCTCAGTTATCATCAAGATTCCAATTAGGCCAGATCGGGGGGAGGGGATGCTTACCATGCCTTCGAAACGTATTTCCCTCTTTTCGCTCGCTTGAGTGAGGGCTGAGCGTCATCTTGGGGGCGGCCTTCGTTTTCACCTTGAGATGTGTGTCGCCGAATACTCTCGGACTCCCGCTCTACCTCTGCTGAGCCTGCACTTCTCATTGTGAGCTATGATGGAGAAGGTAAGTAAATTCCGTGAGCTCGCTGACGGAATTAGTGTGGGGAAGGCTAGTGGATCCGCGGAAGAAGCGGGATCTTGACTTTTTGGGGGCCGGAATTTTTGACCAGCAAATTAGGAAGCGAGGAATTGGCGAGAAATGATTGAGAACAGAATCAATTCGAGAATAGACGATAAGTTTCTTCTGGGCTATGGATGGCTTCCGCTTTATCAGACAGTCTCGGTCTGTAAGATCGCACTAGCGACTAAATTCAAATGCCCACGCCGTACTAGCATCAGTCTGAAAGATCGGGAATGTCAACGCATCACCGAAGTATGTGTGCGAGACAATGCCACGATCACTCGGGGAATCCACTTCTTCAAACACAGACGTGCCCGCAAATCCCCAAGTCTGAATATCAACCGTGCCTTCAGATGGAAGCCCAACAGCACTCATTCCCTTGACGGTAATCTGCCAATTGCCTGCCGTAATCCGTGTTCCTGACAGAATGCGAACTTTGTCCGAATCAACTGTCGCATAGACATCAAACAGGCGATCTCCGGTGCCGGAAGTTTCGACACGGTGTCCCGTCATGTTCGCTTTGTAGTACTTATATACCTGGAACTCAGGGGCCGGTGCGTAGTCGGTCGCATTATAATCGGTCGCATTTGATTTTTTCGTCAGGAGATTTGCCATGAGGTCGTGCAGAGTCCATCCACTGAGCCAATTTCCACGCAGCCCCAATGCATCGTATCTTTCTAATCGCGAAATCCACCATGCAGCTCCAGCAGGGACTTGCTCGCCGTAATTGGCGTACTCGTTGATGTTGATTTGGCGATCAGGAAGACCGAAAGTTTTCAAAAGCGTCGCAAGAGTGCCGTTTGTGTTCTGAAGGTCATTGTCCCAATCACTTGTCACACCTTCCAGATGGTAAGAATATTGCTCTGGAATGGTTTTGTTGCCCGCGATCTGAGCCAGCCAGTTGCTCCACCAAGTGTTTCCAGGCACCGGACGGAAGGCCAATGATGGGCCGGTGATCTGGACAGTGTAGAAGCTAGGATCCTCTCTTTGCGAACCATTTGGATCAGCGCTCGTCCAGTGGAAGATTTAGAAGCTAACACATACCGAAGCAGCTTATGGGTACGAATGTACAAGTCAATCCACTGCTGCTGACTCCGTTCCCAGAAAATACTAATGTCGGGTTCATTCCAAATGTCCCAAACTAGACCCTTCAGCGCATTGTTTGCCTTGAGGTCCTTCATCAAAGTCCTGACAAACAAGTCATAATCCGACCAGTCGCCTCCATCGCCAGGCCAAACGGTCGAAGAGTTAGCATGGTCGGTTCCCCATACATCGTGCGGCAGCAGAATAAAGTCTGCACCATACTTGCGACAGGTGCGGTAATTTGATAGCGTCGATTCCAAGCGCCCTTTGTACTCTGTCATTCCCCAGATCCAGCCTCGCGCTGGCGCCTCGAGCTGTGCGCCTCCAGCGCGACCATAGCGGAATCCTATATCGGTGTACCAGTGATCAGGGATTTGATTCGGCGTATCAGGGATGCCATAGATGAAACCAGACGCCCAGTGAACCGGCTTCCCTTTTGACACGCTGAGGCTGACGGTGGCTGTAATGTTGTCCGCTGTCACCAAACCAGCGGTGAGGAGAGATGCGAAGATACTCCACAACATGATGTCGAAGTTGTTTCTATGTTGATGGACTTTTCGTTGTGTTTTTTCTTTTTTTTCCGTGAAAGGTGCAGATTAAGCTGCCTTTTATCCCAACTCCGAGCGTGCTGCATCCCACATCTTCTCCGCAATTCTCATATGTTGTCTCTGTGGCATGTTGTCCATTCTCTTCTGTGTAAATGAATTGTGGGGGGAAATGCGGAGCTCCGGGGACTTTGCAGTTTATGTGTTTAAGGAACGGGTGGAGAGAGAACCCTGAAGAGGTGGCGTTGCCCTTTGCGCACTATGCATAACGTTAATCTGGTCATAACCATATATTCTCCGGCGGGGGCCACAACATGTTAGAGGGTCCTGTTCCTGTTCCAGCATTATTCCGGTGGATCGAGGATATCAACGGATCGAGTGATAGCACACGCTTACTAAAGTTCATCGCTCCTTTGATCACTCAGACATATTGTCATCACGATCTTCTGCGGTGAATATGGCTTCGCGATGGATACCTTGTCACGTTGGTATTCTCGGGCTACTCGTATAGATCGCATTATACAATCAAGGTAGAAAGACTTGAAATCAGTTTCGCGGATAGAAGGAACCCTCGTCGCACCAGGGTAGAACTGAGAGGAACACACTTACACCATGGTTCAATTTCAAGAGCAACAATCCTCACGAGCACTACGCAGTCTGCAGGCTCAAGCAGCTTCGACCGCCTCCATAAACACAAGAAAATTGACTAGCTAGTGTATGCCCATATTCATTATTTATCTTATCTATATCCGAGAGTCTTTCTCAGCACTGTGAACAATCGTTTCATGGATCACTTTGATGCCTCCACCATGACTAGTGTGGCTGGTCGCATCCCAGTCCCCCTCGCCGGCAGTGCATGTAGGTGGTTGCTGGCGGGAGGTTGGCAGTATCATCTGCTCATCACTAATAGTATTCCACTGCGTATCACCTGGGATGGAGAGTGGATGGCGGAACTTCTTGCGCCTCGCGTACCCACTGGCATCGCCATCTGATAGTTGGTAGGCTGGATAGCTCTCAGAACCACCGCCTCTCGAGGTAAGATAGAGACCTGCACGACGAGCAAAACGACGGAAGAGCGGGTAGATCATTGGGATATTGCCGATGACCACAGCGACGAAGGTTTCTCGACAGGCCCAACTGCCGGCTTGTTCGGCACCATTTGCACCAGCCTGGGACAGACGGTGTTTGAGTTAATATCCAAATTAATATCCAAAACTGATTCGAGGGGTTGGGAGGGTGTTCTTACTGTCACAATCAAGACGCAGCGTAGAATACCAGCCATCATGACGAAAAGACCGCCGCTGAAAAGAACAAGGAGCTCAAGCTTTTCGCGCCAGTGAAGACGAGCCTTGAAGAGCATCTGGATAGCATTGTGGTGAGTTTTGCATTGCCATCGAAAGTTGGAAGAGCGATTTGCATACCGGAGCAGGGATACTAATGAGGTAGAGATCGGTCGCAACGTTCAGCACAACTGTAACGTAGATGTCGATCTTTGAAACGGCAGGTTGACAGATATCTGTCCAAATTCCCACGGTTAGAGAACTACCCTCCCATCTCAAATCCGGCCAATTTTGTTTTCTTTCCACTTACTTCCAGGGTCCGGATAGATCTGCCAGTTCTTGTGCATCGGATAACAACCAAAGAGAATGGAACAAATGGTAGCAATGTAAGTAGCGGCGATCAAGCCGTATGCGATGTGGATTCGAACTCGCATGTTGATCAAGCCCGCTCTATGCCGTTGTTAGCACTCTGAACAGATGGAAGCTTCAAACGCTGCATGCTCTCGAGTACAAGCGAAGCGTTTTCCGGGGATCTTACGTCAAACGAGAGTAGAAGATGGCCATGCAAGTCTTCAAAAGCCATAAAAGCAAAGTATACAGAGACCAGCCGGTCACCTGGACCTTTGAGCCTCCCACGCGTAGACGATATTCCTCGGAGTGGGTAGACAGTTGCTTGCGTTGTTCATCTGTCATGGCATTGTTGGCAAGGCCTTTGAACCATGCCCCCACCATGTATGCAGCGCCGGTTTCCAGCCCGTATACCACCTATGTCAATCAGCAATGCTTCCAAAGAGTGAATCGTATCTGTAGGTTCTCACATACACAAGCCAATAGCATCAGATAATCGTCTGCCTGGAAGTTCCTCGGTCCTACCATGATCCATCGAGCTATAGTGCGGAGAGCAATGATCACAATGGCCACTGCCAAGAGTGTGAAAGCCTCCGTGACAAAGTCACCCATGGTGGATTCGGTGTTTGCGGGTTATGGTTTGTTTGCTGAATGCCCGGGAGAACTGGAGAAAGAAGGCCTCCGGGGGGGTTCATTCAGATAAAAGAAAGACAACGACACCCAAACCATCTAAGGGAGAGAGGGAAGGTAGGGGTGTGTGAATAGCAAAGCAGGGTAAGAAATAAGACGGGCAAATAGTAGGTGACTATCTCTGTGACTTGTGGTTTCCCCCGGGAGGCCCTCTGCTTGTCATTGGAACCAGGCCAGACAACAAAGAAGAGAGCCCGCAAAACGGTCGACTTATAAATGCCCAAACTCCAAAATTGGGAAAAACAAAAATCAAGACAAGAGTGGATGAATCAACCGTCTCCAAGCCGCCAGTGGCGGGAGAAGAGCCAAGAAGCTGGGAAAAATATGGCGTACGTTGGAAGCAAAGACCCATCCTGATGGAGAAACTCTGACACGAGCTCGCCTTCTGAGTGGCCGATTGACCAAGAAGACACTGATGGATACCCGGCTAGCGGCAACGGTTCCGTTCATGACATTTGTCCTACCGATGACAGTTGTGACTTTTGACACAAGTCGATTATCGGGCTTCTCCCTGTCCCCACTGCCCAAACGCCCCATCGGGGAGGATGGTCTTACGGTCCAGACCACATTTGTTGCTCTGCTGCAAGCTTCACCTTCGCTTCCGGCTGGCGGGTTGTTGGTAAAGCCAAAAAAAAAAGGAACCGCTTGAAGCTCCACTGCTCCCCTGAGTTCAACACGGAGTTTCCTCATGCAGCAAAGACGATCGGCAGTGGCTAAGCCTGTGGAAAGTCTCGTAGGTGTTCTGGGACTATACGGCGACTAGTCAGAAAAACACTACTACACCAATACACTCTGTACTCCGTCCCTGTACTCCGTGTTCCATACCATGCCCTACATTTAGGCTGGTGCGAGTCAGGAAGACGTGCCCATCCCAAAAGGTTGAGTCTGTCCAACACTCCAGTCAGTTCTCTGCTGCATGATTCGGTTACACCGACAGGGAATGACTCGCCGGATGGCTGACCTGGCAGGCCATTTTCTTTGTCTGCCACCAGAACAACTCACCAACTCTGCGAACGCAATGACGCAGTTACAAACCCTGGTTGTAACGATGGGATCTGTCAAAAGCCGGGTCAGTTATAATTTTGATGACCGACTTTCTTGGTGGCGCCGCGGTACTCGCTAATTCATGTGTAATCAATCAATCGATCTTCCAGTCGCTCTTCCTCTCCCGTCATAAGCGTAATCGACTGTACTTACTCTCCAAGGGTATCAGCATTGCCGATCTGCCTGTCGGAGATTGCATCTTGCAGAGCACGTCCAGAATAAGATTAATCTAGGCTCCCAGAGAAGGTTAATCGCAGTCTGCCAAACACTTTTGCCCATCATGCATTGGGAACCAGTACAGAGTGGATGCCTATTGTTGTTCGTTGATTGACTATGGAGTCGATCAGTTGCAACTTGCTTATGCCTAAACCTATCTTTGTGTCTATCTCTATTTTTGCTTTTGTCGCCTACGCTCCGAATCACTATCTTCCTACTAGAATAGTGCGATTTTTTTCATCGGAGATTGACCGCAGCAGAATCCCAGAGATAGTCCAGCTTCTATCAATTACAAGTTTGTTTTGTTCCGTGTCATTTTCTTGCTATATCCTGCCATGCCTCCTGTCAAATTAAGGGACAATGATCCTCGGTCTCGCCCCAGTAGTAACCAGGGTTCGCCGAGTCGCTGACACGTTTTCTGGCAGCTTTCTTTGTTTAGGCCCATCGCCACCAGCCCCGGGTCAGTTCCATGTTTCAAAGCACGGGAGGGGGGGCGGGCGCTAGGCCACAAGTACGAAAACAAAAACTGCCATGGAGTCATGGACCAGAACAACTCTGTTTACCTTCTACAGTAAGTAAGTTCTGACAACAGCGAATGATGGCCGCTGAGTGTGTTCCAGTAGGTCCAGGACGGAGGAGCCAATCCGCTCGGTCCGGGCGCCCAGTGGGGCTGGCAGTGGATCGCGATGCAGCAAATGGAGAAATAACAGAATCCCAATCCCAGTTCTGCACTTTTCCCATTTGTCTTGATCTGCACCGTTGCGAAAGTTCTTCGATTGTCCCTCTGAGTCCGTCCTTGCGCGCTAGTTTGGACAGGAAGGGATTGACGAGGCGAACAGAGATCTCGCGCTGCACTAGTGACGGCAGCATGCAACCGATCGGACGGGCAGAGCATCGGACATGGCGCTATGTGCAGTAGCAGGCCGCTTGATCTGTTAAGTCTTCCTGATGCAAAGTTTATCCAACTTCATGATCACCATTGAAAGACTGGAGATGTGGGGGTCCAAGGATTGCTCCAGGGGGGACAGACTGCATAATGCTTGATTCTCCGACCGGGGCATTTCAAGGTTATTAACGGATGGATTAGAAAAGAGTTTATCATTATGACCAACGAATCATCCATAAATCATCCAGATTAATCAAACAGCAAACGCGTTCGTTCTGCTCATCTTCGTTGGGTTCCGTTCCACCTTGCGAAAGATTGTTCTGGTCCGCCAGGTCAAGAACCACCAGTTACGTCGTCCGTAATGGAGGGAGCTTTCTTCCTTACTTAGTTTGACTTAGCTCAACGCCCATGCCCATCCTAACGGAACTCTCGTGTGGCTATTCATAGGGTCAGCGAGCTTTGATTTCCTCCAGCCGGGTTAGGACTCCATAGTTCTCGGGCTCTACCGGAAAAAAATACAGGATCAGAAAGGTTAGTGATCATCGATGCGGCCTGGACGTGGGCCACACTAGACCAGACACGCTTTGACCGCAGGAACCAGCAGCCCCTAGCGCACGTCAAACGACGGAGGCAGGTTTAACTTTTGGCACCAGTCTGTCGGGCGTGACAAGATTGCAATCACCATCATCAAAAATAATTCGAATTCTAATCTTAGGCCCAGATGATAGGATGAGTGGAGGAGGAGGAGGGTAGGAGAGAAGTTGTGGTTCTTTGAATGAGCTCGAGTGCGTGCTCTTGGACAAGGCCACCTGCCAGACAGAGTATGGAGTATCGAATACTCCATCCAGAGTACTATATACTCTGTAGAGAATGTACAGGGTATGAAGTACAGTATTTCGATAGTTCAATGGACGAGTCACTGACATTCACTAGTTAGTCAACTCCACTTCGGACCAGCTGCATGCCAAGTCGCCGGCAACGAGGAATGCCCCTGACGAAAAGGGATTTCTTATGAGGAGTTCACTATCCGGTGGGAGCTTTCGGACAGCTACTAAGTTGCTGTATTTAGTTAGCTACAGTAACTACTAATTGCTTAGACCTACAGTCAGTGGGAAATCCGAGGTGGAATGCCGAGTCAGTCTTTTTGAGTTGCGAATTCCGGAGTACAGAGCCTCCTATAGTCCGATCAAGATCCTCTCAAATTGACGTCCAGCCGTGCGCATTGATGATTGCTTCTCCTCTCTCCATCTTCGCCCCGTGGTGGCGTTTCATGAAAGCTACTTTCTTTGACGCCCATGTCCAGCTGCTTCATACCCGAGGTGGATACAAAATTACCAACTTTGGTGGTACTAAGTTGGTTAGCCCAAGCCCTAATCCGCAGTTACGCTTCATTTCCCCCGGTAATTTGGCCAATCTGTCCTCTTCACAGGCCCACTCCAACCGTAGAGGCCAAATAGGAATAGGAATTGGTACCACCAATTCCTTCCGAACTACGGAGTAGCGTGTCTGGTTCGGTGGGCTGGTTGGCTGATCAGTGGCTGTCTCGGTCCAAACAATAAGAATCCATTCCGTCCACCAGCACTGGCAAGGCCTCTCCAGGACTGACTCCGCGGGCGCTCTTTATTTTGGTTTAGCTGCCCTTCAATTGCTAGATGAGAGGAGGTTGGGCTCAATTCCTTAGTTCTCTCTCCTTGGGGTCTCCGCTCGCTCGTTCGCCCTTCAATCGTGCTTTCGTGCTCCATCACACTTCCCTTGCAGGGATCCCCCCGCGCCAGCGAGTCAGTCCAGTCGGTCGCTTTCTTTCATTCAAACTTATACGGTCACCAAGTTGGTGCCCTCAATAAACACATCCGAGCTGTCCCAAACATCCTCAAAAATGGAGAGCGTGGACTTGGTCGTGGTCGGCGCAGGTGAGTCAAGCTGCCCCCGGAATTGTAGTGTTTGGCGCGATCAGCACCACCTTGGATTGTATGCGACTGGTTGGGTACTAACGGAATGGTAACTCTCACCCAGGATGGAGTGGACTTGCGGCCATCAAAACTTACCGCGAGGTGAATCCCGATGGCAATGTGCTCCTGCTGGAGGCCGCCGACTCCGTCGGTGGAGTGTGGGCCAAGCATCGCCTGTACAAGGGTCTCAAGTCCAACAACATGCTGGGCACCTACGAATTCAGTGATTTCCCCATGGATGAGGCTACCTTTGGAGTCAAGCCCGGGGAACACATCCCCGGTGAGATCGTCCAACGCTACCTCGAGGCATATGCCGAGCGGTTTGGCTTCACCGATCGCATCCAAGTCGGCCACCGCGTCGAGAGCGCACAACACAATCTGGACGGAACTTGGCAGCTGAAGGTGTCGCACGGGGAGGAACTGGCGACCATTGAGACGAAGAAGCTGATCGTTGCCACGGGCGTCACATCGCAGGCATATCTGCCCACATTTGAGGGTCAGGACGTCTTCGGAGCGCCCATCTTCCACTGCCGGGACATGCAACAGCACGAACCCGAGACCTTGAAAGCCGGTGAGCGAGTCACCGTGTTCGGCGGTACCAAGTCCGCCTGGGATGCGGCCTACGCCTGTGCGACGTCCGGGATGCAAGTCGACTGGGTCATTCGCGAGTCCGGACATGGGCCAAACTGGATGGCGCCCCCGTATGTGACGCCGCTGAAGAAGTGGCTGGAGAAGCTGGTAACCACCCGACTCCTGACTTGGTTCAGCCCCTGCATTTGGGGAGATGCCGATGGATATACGCGTGTGCGCAGCTTCCTGCACGGAACGTGGCTGGGCCGTAAGATCGTGGATGCCTTCTGGGCCGTACTAGCCGACGACGTCGTGCAGCTCAACGGCTTCAACAAGCACCCCGAGGTGAAGAAGCTGCAGCCATGGATCAGCCCGTTCTGGATTGCCTCCTCGCTCAGCATCCTCAACTACCCCACTGATTTCTTCGATCTCATCAAGGATGGCACGATCAAAGTACACATTGCTGAGCTCGACCACCTCTCCGATCATATGGTGCACCTGTCCACCGGCGAGGAGCTGAAATCTACCGCTCTGATCTGCTCGACAGGCTGGCGCGCTACTCCCAACCTGAAGTTCCTTCCGGAGGGCATTGACCGCGAGCTCGGCTTCCCCTGGAGTAGTGACCCGTTGGATGAAGAGATGGTCAAGGCAGCCGACGAGGAGATCCTTCGTCGATTCCCCCGTCTGCGCGACCAGCCTACTCCCAATCCCAAGTATAAGCCTCTGAACGAGCAAGCCGAGGCGGCAGCCCCCACCCATTCCGACTGGCACGCTTCATGGTGCCCCTCTCGCAAGTCAAGGACCGATCACTCGCGTTCATGGGCATCACCATGACCATCAACACCACCATCATCGCTCAGACGCAAGCCCTCTGGATTGCCGCATACTTTGGCAACCATCTCACCCCGACAGCCGTGGAGCAATGCCCAGCGGCCGTCCGTGCGGCTTCCGACATCAAAGTCGAGGATGATGCGGAGCTCAACCTGGCCTGGGAGACTGCGCTGCACACCGAGTTTGGCAAGTATCGCTACCCTGGAGGCTTCGGTCGCCGCAATCCTGACTTTGTCTTTGACGCACTTCCCTATATTGATCTGATGCTGCGGGATCTTGGTCTGTCGCCCGGGCGTAAACAGGGAATGCTGTCTCGATGCCTCAGCCCTTATGGTACGGAGGACTACACTGGATTGGTGGAGGAGTGGAAGGCAAAGACGTCGGACAAGCCGTGAGAGGCTGCTTTCGTTTTGAAGGACCACTAGCTTTGCACTGTTATTTTCACCTTCGCGCTGCCCGCGAGATACCCCATTTTTATCGCTTATTTACTCTGCAGTTTGAATGACATATAATATTCCTTCAGGATGACTCAAACTTGGCTCTTACTTTTGCATTTGGATGATGAACTGTTCGTCTTTCAGTTTAAGCTATAGACATTCAACGACTCGTTACAAGCACGCTTGCTCGCGGGGTCTCTTCCATATGACCAGAAACATCTCACTTTCTCCTGGTAAATCAGGTAATCATTGAAACGACTTGACATTCAACTAAATCACCCGTACCTCCTCGATTTCCCAACCTGAGTTGAAGTGAAGTCATCCGGGATCTTTGGATACCCATCTTCCTCGAGGTCAAAACGATGCCAAAATGACTAGAGTTATTCTGCAAGGACAAACTGCTCAAAAATAGCGCTGCCAGTCAACACAGACTCCGCATCACGCGCTGTGATTGATGAACACCCAGCGTCACACGCATTTTGGCTCCGCTCAGCTTCAGATTGGCTGACCTCGCCAGTCATAGTTCCTGCCCATCGGAAGTAATATTTCCCATCCCCTGCAATGCGTGTTCCGGAGACATTGGCTCTCAACCAACCTTCCTCTCCGAGGTCAAACTGCAGATGAAATCCATCCGGTATATCACCTGCTAGTGGTGGATATCGCGCGCCGGTTTCAGGGTCTCCAATGGGACGAACAGTAAGCACAGTCGAGTTGCAGGATGAAACCAGCACTTGCCCATCGCGTGCGACATAACTGCTCACATAGGTCGTCTGGGACGGATCATCCAACGCCAGATAACTAAACCAGACGACCGAATAAGGGCCGATCTGGCCGTGGCCCCAGTACCAGCTCTGGACGGATTCTGCAAAGGGTCGATCCGACCAATTCTTTCGAATTTTAGCGCGTGGTCTCTGCTATTATATCGTTTATGGTTCGTACCTTGTCGTGATAAGCAGGTCCTTGGAATTGTAGACGAGAGCCCTTCACGTTGATATCGACTTGGCCCACTGCGTTGGGCTTCAAGGCCGCCCATCCGATATGAGGAGCAAATTCCAATGTTGTTGATTCGGATGTAATACCACATGGCAAGTGAGGTCCCAGTGTCTATTGCCGCGATCGGTCACTAAACAATTATTCTGAAATGGCTCAGACAGACTCACTGATGTCAAACTGAATCGGCCTTCTACCTGCAGCTTTTCCGACGAAATAATCACTTCATACGCAGATAAATCATCCTTGAGGGCAGCCCAGCTAAACCCAGTCGACGACCAATTCCCCGAACTAGGCGAACTTGCGCCCTGTCCGCCCACAACCGTAGCAATAGTGGCAGGCACATATTCTTCCAAAATAGTCCCATTCGCAAACGAAATCCAAAGATACGCAATTAGCACCGATGACTCATTCGATGGAAGCCAGGGGAACGCGGCCGCAGTAGCCGTGAAGAACGTGACGGTCAATGACTCGCGCGGGTCCTGCGCAGAGACAGCATCAAAGTACCACCAGTCAAACACGGACGAATTGAGGATACTAAGCTGAGGAGAGTCCAAAGTCAGCAATGCCTGGGTATCGAGCTTTGACCCCGTCGTGGGAATGTCAAATCGGACACGCGCAGCTCCATCCTGGACGTGGCTCGGGATAACGTAGGTCCAGCTGTGAGCAGTCGAATCGAGAGGGACTTTAGTTCTGGTGGTGACGGTCCTGCCGGGAAGTGCGGACGCCTTTCCCGCAAGGATGCTGGTAATAATTAATCCTGATGAGAGGACCCGAGTCAGTGACGCCTCGAACAGCATGTTGTGATGTATATCAAACAAAGAAATGAGCCGAGGGGGCGTTGGAGGACCATAAGAAGTATCGATATCGAACAATGAAAAATAAGCGAAAGGTTAAATGAGATAGCTAGGAATTGAGTTAGCTAAAGTGAGCAACAAAATATAGCTAGAAGAAAATAATCTCTCATGAAAAAGACTTACAGCCTGTCCAGCCTGCTACTAAATACTTCAACAACAGGAGACATGTTTGCGTGCCTGCAGGTCTATACGGTAGGACATAGGGGACTACCCGAGACATGATTTGTCGATGATTCTCCACTGGCGAAACAACATGCAGTAAGATGTCTCTGCGGAGGAACAGGGCCACTAACCTGACTCAAAGTTCACAAACCATGTGGCCAGCAAACCGCGTGGAACTCGGATCGATCGCGGCGCCACTTCCTCATTAGGGGTCCAATAGAGTGAGACCGCGTTTTGACGTAGGCCCAAGCGTTGGAGAGAGCTTGGCTGTCAATGGTGAGATGAGAGAGAGGTAACCCGGGTGATCTGGATCTGTCCCATTTGTATCGCTTATTCAACATGCGTGGTTTCATGTTGCAGAAGTGCGATGGGGTGTTCTGGAACGGGATTCGTCGCAAAGATACGATCGTACTTCTCCGGAACCCAATTCGGTACCCTGGGCTGACCTAGGGCAATGCCTACTTGGGTCGTAGAATATAAATCAAAAGACACACTCAGCACCAGAATGAAGGCAGCAATTGTCATGGAATGTGGAATGTCAAATGATTCATGCACGGAGATTGCTATATACCATCGAACACCGTGGACTCGCGGTCCATTCCCGTAAAGTCAACAGTGAAATCAGGGGCTCGCTCGGTTCAAATCACAGGAGAAAAGAAAAGAAAAAAAAAACGACAGTACACACGTCACACGTCAGGCTAGAAAAACACAAATAATCAAACAGATCAAAAAAAGAGACAATATCAACCCATCCCAAGATGCCCAAATCACACACCCTTCGCCGAGAAACATGTCGAGCGGAATAAACACAAAGTAAGCGGGAAATAAAAAGGTCAATCGGGCAAGATCAAAAAGATCCCATCAAGAAAAGAAAGAAAGAAAAAAAAAACACCCTCCGACTCCCAATACCACTGTAGGTACACGATCCGTTTCCTCTCCCCCAGGATATACATACACAGAGAAGGGGGGGTTTCAATGTAAATGAGGAGTCGAATGAGATTCATGATGCCACAGGGATGCAAAGCGTAGTCAACGCATACGCCTAGTTACGCCCATTGATCACGGGGCTGCCGTCTTCACTTCGGCCGTCGTTTTTCAGAGTGCCATCCGTGCCAGTCTGATTGCTAACCGCGTCCGAATCACCATCTTTGCCGCAGCCTTTCACCAGGATGTGTCGCTGTGAACATCGGAGTTAGCAAAATGAACATGTAGAGTTGGATTCTCGCATTTCGAATGACATACCTTCAATGCGTCCTTGCGCGAGAAGCTCTTATCACAATGGGCGCAAGGGAAAGGCTTCACGGCCAGATGAATCCGCTTATGACGCTTCAGGTCATGGTTACGGTTGAAGCTCTGGGGGCATTGATCACACTTGAAGGGTCGGTCGGCGGTTGGACCAGGAAGATGGTGCGCTGCGGGGTGCGCACCGTAGAGATGCTGGGTGTTGGCGATATGTCCACTATTGAAACCAGGCAGGATCCCCGATTGCATTCCTCCCATCATCGACATGGGACTGTTCGGGCTGTGGACGTTGGTCATGATAGGACCTGACATGGCGGGGAGAGAATACGACGGCCAGGGCTGGCGAGGGAAGGTCAACGGAGGCTGACCACCGGGACTTTGTAGAGGCATGCGCGACCCGGGGTGCATGCCAAGGCCTCCATGGCCCCCGAGGGGGATTGGGCCCTGCGTAGATGGGAGAAAATCCGGGTTGATGGCTGGGATTGGCGTAGAGGGAGTGCATTTTCTGGTTGTAGGGGTCATTCGATGGCAGAGATGCGGTCGATGCGGTGTGACCGGAGTGATAGAGACCCATGGTGACGGAATGCGGTCCAGGGGCAAGAGTGGTGGGCGCGGGTAGGGCTTGCGAGAAGGACGCCATTGGAGGCGCCTCATAGGGCTGAGACAGTCCGTCTGTCGTGGGAGGCGAAGTCACTGGGCCGGAACGAGTCACACCCGATGGCGAGAAGGAGCTGCGTCCAGAATAAGCCGCATTGTGCCCCGAGACCCATTGACCTGGCCCGGCTCCTGGGGCTCCGTACGGAGTGGTGCCAGGCCAATACGCCGGGGGCATATCCGAGGAAACGCCCGATGAGGGCGGCAAGGAGTGAGAGTTGGTCCCCGTTTCCCCCGATTGATTCGTCGCGGGAGGCGTCAACAGGTTCCCCACGCTCACATTCGCCGGGGCATGCGATAGGGGCGGATGATTGGAGTGCTGGGTTTGATATTTGGGAGCCGCCGTGCCCGTCAACCCAAATGGCGGCGGCGGTAATTCAAAGCTGGGCAGCGTCGGGGCTGCTGGGCGACGGGAGTTTATCGGCTGGGAAGTGAGGTGATCCAACGCAGTGCCCATGCCGGGGGCAGGTATGGCGGGAACAGTCAGAGCCGCCATGTGGGCTGAGGGATCTCGCGGGCCGGCGTACAGGTCGGCGTCGGACAGGGAAGATTGCAGATGGGGGGGGCAAGGGCCCAGCAAATGAGTTGACCGGGTTCAACGTCCAGTCTCGACCACCAGGATGGGCCCCCGAAGGGCTCGAAGGATCCAGGAGGGGCGAGCTGTTGATCGCTGGGGGTCGCGATCGGGATGAGAAGAGTCGGGCCGCGACTCTAGTCGATCTCTAGCCGCGTGTGGGGGGGTTAAGAGAAGGGTGGAGGAGGCGGCGAAATGCGTGCGACGAGGGGGAGATCTGGAAGCGTTTGTGTCGCAAAACGAGATTCCGGGACTTGCGATGTTGGTGCTCGGAGGAGGTGGGCGCTTGTACACCTTTGGGGGGGTGCGCGTCGCAAGCTCAAGAGCCGAGAGATGAGAGCGGGAGAGAGAAGAGCGGGGGGACAGCAAAGGTTAATTCAGTCGCGAGGAGATCCGCGCAGCCGCGGGAGAACAGGAAGAGAAACGAGATCACGGTCGAGGATAGCGCAAGTGGTGCATGATCTCTAGAAAGGAAGAGTCGCGCGGCTCAAACTATACAGGAAGGGGGAAGAAATCCAAGCCAAAGCTGGAGACGGGGAAACGTCAGAATCGAGCCAGTCAGCTCAGCCGTGAAGCTGCTTGACAGTCGCAGAGGGGAGAGAGAGAGAGAGAGAGTCGAGTAGAGAGGAGAGGAGAGAGGAGAGAGTTGAGGCGAATGGGGAGGGAAAGGACAAGCCCGTGGCGTTGGGGGAGGCGCAGAAGCGTGGGGGAGGAACAGGAGGAACTGGGGACTGATGAAGGATGAATGATATAGAACGAGGTTATTGGGGAGAGTCGACACAGTCCTCCGGCGGAATTTCAGGTGTTTCAGTTGGTCCGGGTTGTTCGGGTCCAAGAGTCGACGAGGCAAAAGGGAAGAGAGAGGGGGGAGAGAGAGAAAGAGAGAAAGAGAGAAAGAGAAAAGGGAAAAAGGAGGACCGAAAAAGAAAAGGTGCGAACAAGCGAGCAGAAGAGGACGAGGAAGAGGCAAGCTAGCGGACCGGTAGAGCGGGTGGGATTCAGGGCAAATAAAGTAGGAGACGAGCAAGTCGACGAGTAGGGTTTTTCTTTTATTTTATTTTCCCAGAAGAGTATATGGCGGAGATGGGTTGAGGGAGGGGGAGAGAGAGAGCGAGAGAGAAAGACAAGAGAGAGGGAGAGGGAAATAAAATGAAAAATAAAAATAAAATAGAATTAGCATGATATGGGACAGGCCCACGTCCACGAGATGAGAGAGCGCGAGCGAGAGAGGAGAGTCGTCCAGTCCAGTCCAATCCAGTCCAGTCCAGTCGTCGTCCAGCGACGGAAAAAAAAGGTAAATAACGGGGGCACCCGAAAGAATGGAAGACAAGACAGAGAGAGAGAGAAAGAGAGAGTCCCAGGAAAAAAAAATTATGGAGCCACGGTCGGCGATGGTCTGGCCAGCGTGGGGAAGACCAGGCCTGGGACGGGGAGATGGAGATAGTTAACTATGCACTATCCGATGATTATGCTTCCTGTTGACTACGTTAACTTACTTAGATTATTCTGCATTCGACAGCTCCTCGAGACCAAGTCGTAAAGGAGAGATGCTGAGGACATGGGTATCGTCGCGTCATAGTCAGACGGTCATCTTATTGGATTGCCATTATTGCTATATTGCCATAGGATCATCCGAGTATCTCATTCGTAGTCCTTGTCCAGAGGAGGGAGGGGGGTGCGGTCCATGGGATCCATCGTTTTTATACCGAGTACGATGGAACATCTACGTATGCAACTGCAGCACTATTCATGAACACACTCCAGAACCTATCAAGATACCGATAGGTTTATACTTGGACGACCTGCAGACGAACTAGATCTATCCCACGAATACGCGAAACAAAACCAAAACAAAAAAAAAAAAAAAAAAAAAAAAAGAAGACAAGATGGGGTCCATCAGCATTCGGACAAGGTACTCCTCCCCAGACGCATACGAGATATGAGCATAAAAGGATGACAGACAGAAAAGAGAAACGAACCCCAAAGTCCGTCTGACTGTCGACCCGTGGGGGGGGCAACGACCAAGAAGAGGGGCAACAAGACAACGTGGTTGACAGGCCCGAATCGACCTACCGCGACCCAGAGATAGGACCCAGCAGACCACCATCCAATAACCACACTCGCAGCCGAGACCGTCTGGACCCTCCTCGAACCAACACTGTCCCAGTCAATCGATTCAAATCCAAAGCAGTCCTGGACTTCTTGACTCCCAGTCCTCGTAGTCCTAAGTAGTCCCTTGGCACGGCTAGTCCCCTTCTGGAGCTCCTGCTTGCCATTCTCCCCTCGCCTATCCGTCTCTGGTTGGCCGTTCCGACCTGAAATCGAGATCGTCTCTTGTATCACTCGATCGCGATCGCCACTGGAGGACAGAGGTGGGGGAGACTCTACTCTGTTCTTTAAATCTGTATAGATACAGACTATGATTGACACCGTTCCAATGGAAAAAAAAAATTGAAGACCAGGTCTCATATTTTCTTCTTCGATTTCTTTTTTTTTTTCTACGTACTCGGCTGAGGTCGCTCTGAAAGCATGCTCAACCTATTTTGGACTTTTTTAAATTAAAACCTGGGAAGGGGCCCGGGGCCTGTTTAGTGAGAAAGCAAGCGATTGGGAGATCTGAAGAGAGGGTGGGAAATTAAATACGGTAATCTTGACGAGTACCTCAGAACAATTGAAAGTCATAATATAAGAATCATCAGACGAGAGGGGGGCAAATAATCCCGAACATCCAGTAGAAGCTCGTCCTTGATAGGTGACCGCGAGAAAGCGAGAGCGAGAGAGAGAGAGAGGCTCCTGGTCTTGGACTCTGGGTATCTTTCGTTTTTTTTACCCTTTTCCCTCCTTGCGTCCCGACTGATCGTGTGAAAAAAATAAAATAAAATAAAATAAAATTCAGAGTCCGCAATGGTTGGCGCTAGCGTAGGGACTTCCGGAGACAAAATCTATTCTGGTCCACTCTCCGGCTTTGGCCCGGCATCGAAGAGTGTACTGTACAAGCTACAGTACACTAAAATGATCATGAAAGACAAGCGACCGATAGAGAATGGGCGGAGTACCGGAGGCAGTATGGATGAGGAAGAAACTCTTGGGGAAGTTGTTCTCTCGTACTCCGTACAGTACCGTAGTATGGACCGGCACTAAAACCAAATCGACGAAACTACCAAACTATGGGGACTTTGAAGAGAGACAGATACTGTACAATAGAAAGTAGAATAGAAATTAAGTAGAATAATCATCCAGAGAAGGGGAAGTCGACTCGGTCCCAGCCAGTCACATTTCACGTGAAGATTCCTGCCCAATGAACCCACCCCCCATTCTCCTCCACCTCTTCCTTTTCCTCTTTCCATATCATCCTCCCATGGGAAACACCAATCGAGCGCGTGTCAGGAGGACGCACGGACTGGACCCGGAATGGCCAGAATACGAGAGCCATGGGAGGTCTGGGGCGGCTGCGAGCAAAGGGTAGAGACAAGCGAGCTGTACGGCCCGCCATTCGCTACAGCAAACTGGCCTCCCGCACGCGAGTGCCAATGCAGTTTAGCGCCAGTCATTCAATTCCCTTCATGCCGGGTCATCTGCAAAGCTTTTTTCGCCCCCAACAGCCGAGGGAAGGGAGAGAGGGACGAACTGGGAGGCGAGATACGGTGTACGAAGGGACGGAGGACATACACAGAGGAGGAGGAGGAGGAGACGGAGGAAGAATACCCAGACCTGGGAGATAATTGGGCAAGTTGAGGAGAAGAAAACGGAGAAAAAAGAAACAAGTCGCTCGGCAGGGGACCTGCGTGATTGGTCCCCGGGTTCCCCGATGCCTCCTTCCGTCGTGGTTGCTGCGTCTATTGTCGTCTGATATTCCTTCAATGCCTTCAATCCCAATGAGGATAGAATCCGGAGAATGATCCTACAACTCCGTAGGGATACTACTGGAGGTCTGTCTGTCTTTCTGCCTTTTGTTGGGCGATGATTACTCTGTTCTTCTTAACGGTCTTATTCATTCTTTGGGTCGAGGGTCAGGTTCCGTTCGACCAATTCATTTGTACACGTTGGCAACTCATTCATGTTCGGCAGATTCCATGTCCCAAAGGATATACTCATCCAGTCCATACAGTTATTGGACTAGTCCATTGGGTGGCCAGGACATTATCCACGTCCCGTTAATCTAGAGTCTCGAGAATATCTCCGAGTATACAGAGTATTACTATACTAACTATTCATACTATTTTCATTCTACTTGCCTAACCCTCTAGATACGATTTAAACCATGTCCTCCGTACTGTACAGTAGCTAATTGAGTATGTACTTGGTAGGATCTGTACAGGATGCTCGCATAAAGTTCGCCTCTGGGGTCGCCTAGTCCCAGTCACCAGGATCCCATCAACCGTGGCACTCATTGGCGGTGCCCCAGCCAAACAACCATAAAATCTCCCCAATCGCCATTCGCGCCAACGGGTTGGGTCCGGTCTGGTCGCCGCGGCGCGTGTGATCGGGGTGGCGTGCGGAATGGCTCACTCCCCCCTTAATAACTGGGTCCGGAGTCCTCCACACGAGTCACGGCGCCCGTGCATGTCCTGGTCGTTTCCACGGACCAGTTACGACGGCTCTCTTTCGGCCAATAGGCGGGTGGCGATGACATTGGCTTTCCGAAAAAACATGCACGGACGCTCTTTGACAGATGCTCATGGCGAAGCTAAAACGAGAGGAAGGTGGAGGAGAGGCAAAAAGAGTTGCCTGGGAAAGGTTAATGGCCCAGGCCCTGTCGATCGATATACAGAGTGAGTATTTGATATGTATGAAGTAGAGTATTGACATCACTTGCCACTGTCTGCTCGCTATGGGGGTGCTCGATACGGAGTTACAGAGTGCGCTTATTGGCATGTACGACTTGGAAAATATACACTGTAAATTCAGTGGTACCTATAGTGGAGCCTCACGAGACCGCTACGATGAAGACTCTCAACAGAGGAGAAAGTTTAATCGAGCATAGAGGGAGGCTGAACGGGAGTCAGCTGGGAAAGAAATTCGGCAGTGGAAAAGGCGAGAATGGGAAAGAAGGGAAATGACCCATTAAGCTAACGCCCCCTTCGTTTCCAAACGCTCTTTATTGGTGAAAGGTTGGGAGAAGATATCCGGCCTGTTTATTGTTGACTTCGCTTCGGGATGTATCCTCCAGGACGACTTATGGACTGCAGGGGGTCGCGATCGGGCCTGCAGTCGACATTCTGCCTCTAGTCCATTTCGTCTCCGGTCAAGCTTACAATCAGTATTAGTCTGATCAAGAACCTCGGAACTGGGACATACTGTAGTAAGACGAAATGAGAGAGAAAATCAAATTACATCAAACTATCCCGTAAGACGACACAATAGTACCAAGTGATCACGAATCAGGACCCAAGGAAAGTTCCGAAGGTCGAACAAGAAAGACCCCCTCATTGAAAGTGCCAAGGTCACATTCTGAGTAGTAGTCCACATGCCACCGCGTTGTTGTCTTACAATTTAGTCCCCCTCGATAACGAGCTAGCGAGATTGGATGCGGAGGAGTAGGGCCGGCGACAAGGAACAGTTGCAAATGGCCTCCGTCGCGTCCGGATTGACTACTACAGTAGGAGCACTAGTAACTCCCAGGGTTGTCTTTAAAGTCCATGACAACAGGACTGGAGTGAAATAATAATGGGTGACTTCGTGTACTTTGCTCTTCCATGCTGGCATGCCCCGTCTAGGGTAGATAGTACGGAGCCCCGAGCATTCAAAACGCGAAGTTGTAACACTTGCGGCGTAATGGACTTGACAGTTTCCCCCCCCCCACCTTTAACGTTGTTCTGTTCTGCTCTTGTAAAATGTACTAGTCACCCGCCCGTAAAACCGATGCCCAAAGTTGTAATTACCACTATTCATCTTTCTCATAACATTAGCTCCTCCTGCCTTCTAACGAGACAATTCAGGGCATCAACTGGCGAATAAAGCCCTATCCTTAACCTTCCCCCTCCATATCGCCACCACCGCCAGTAGTCTGAGGCGTCGATCACGGCCGCCTCAAGCCCTGAACCCAAGATCGATCGTCTGGGGGGTTCTCAGGGGAGCCACCACTGCACGACAATGGTTCGCAGCCGATTTGCCGACGATCCCCAGCCCTCATGCAAGGCTTCGGGTGGGTGCAAATGTGACAGCACGCAAGTGGATCCAGGACGGGAATGGCTCTGTCGCGGGTACACTTGGAGTCGTTCGCCGGGTGCTCACTGTTGTCGTTTGTTCGTCGTGCTAGGCACAAACCATGCGATCGACGTCGGTTCGTGCCGACGTGGCTTCGGGGTAAGGCGTTCACGGCGTCCAAGCCAGACGCCCTGCTGGTCGAGTCAAAGTCCCTGCTGGAGTGTTTCGCGCGGAAGTTGACCGAGTCAGCCCTGTCGGAAAAGTCGGCCACATCGGAAGATCTGCATTCATGGGGGAATAAAGTGTGTAAAGGCTAACAGGAATGCTGCGCGGGCCGAGACTCTGAGTGCAGGTGAACTATACACTGGACGTTCTATTCTGCTCCCTTAACTATTCCAGGTAATATTCCCGACTTGCCTCTTGGTCTTGAATCAGGGGGTGGGAGAGGAGTTAACCATTCTGCTGGTGGGTCTTTGGTCAATGCATGTTTCACTTGTATGTGATTTAGCTGTCTGTTGTTGTGGTTGTGATTGTTTTCCGGTCGGGCCTATGCTGTATGGCATCTCAACCGGTCAGACGTGCAGGAGCTGAGCCGCACAGGGTGTGTGGGCCAAGATGAGAGATCTATTGATCTTCACCTTGGAAGGCATACATGGATGGCTAGCTGCAGGTGGAGGGTGATAAAAGCATCCAATTATGCATGCTCACACTGTCTAGCTGAGTCTTCTGCCCTCGACATGCAAATGCATTCTCGATCTTCTCCACCAGTGCACAAGTGCATGGGACAACCGAAGGTTGTGCAACGATGCTGATGCGGGGCCAGATTTTCTCGATAGATCGCAATTACAGCCCAGTATATTATGAATAGAGAACTCAGATTCTTGTGCCTTGCCTATATGTAGTTCCTACGCTTACAATCGCGCTCCTGAACTTAGTCCCGAAATGTGCACGGCTATCTTTGTATCGCCATTTGCAGGATGCTCAGTAACCCACCTCCGTGGTAACTCCATCCCGATGACTAGGTTGATTGTTTTAGATGGGTACAAATGCACAGCTTCGTAATGTCATTCCGTCTATATTATTTGCGTGAACCCCCGCCACGGGCGTTAGTGAGGTGGAGATGGACGTGCCCTTATCGGGCCGAAGTATATATTCCCACACTACGGGGCTCACCTAGCTCCCGCGACCGTGCAAAGCTTCGAATTCCACACATTTAACCTCGTCTAACACCACATGTTGCCAGAATGATATTCGAATTGTAGATCACTCGAGCATGTCACTGCTCTATTTCAGTAGCCTAGGTAAGATTTCGTCCAAGTCGGCTATATCCTGTTTAACCCGTTCGAATTGCCGACGGTCCGATGACGTCGTTTGGCGGGGTAACCTCCAGATTGTCCTCTTTATCGCAAAAGACCACGACCTCCTGCTCACCTCAGCTCCTCCAGCTCTGAACCAGTTCCTCAATTGCTCGGTTCGTGCATCATTATCTCCTCTGAAATCTGAATTACTCCCTCAATACCCTAACAAATCAACACCCTGTAGCTTCTCGCTTCAAACTACCTTCTCCCCTCACCCATTCAACACATCCTCGGCAAAAATGTCTGGAATCAGCAAAGCGTGCTGCTCGTTCGTTCTCCCAATGCGCACTTTTGCAGGCTTACGGGACCCGGCTGACTCGTCACAGAATCCCCCCGTCGTGTCCAAGGGATACCAGGCCAAGGGTGGCTACCAGACCATCAATGGCCTGAAGACCTGTACGTGAGAGGACAATAACCTTACGCGCCGGAGAAGAGGATTGGAGGTCGCCGAGAAAGCTGGAACTGACCATCCTGCGCAGATGTCACGGGCCCCGAATCGGCCACCAAGGCCATCCTGGTGGTGTATGGTAAGCGCAATTCCTCACATGATCCGACTCTCTGGGATCCCCACGATTGGCGCACCATCCCTCGTCTAATTTCCGCGTCTAGATATCTTTGGTTTCTTCGATCAGACCATCCAGGGTGCCGATATCCTGGCCACCTCGAACGAACAGAAATACCGCGTCTTCATGCCTGATTTCTTCGAGGGCCACCCTGCTGATATCTCTTGGTACCCACCGACCACCGATGAACACAAGAAGCTCCTCGGCAACTTCTTCTCGACTCAAGCCGCCCCGCCCAAGATCCTGTCCAAGATCCCTAACATCGTGGCCGAGGCCAACAAGCTCGCGCCGGGAGGTGCCTTCTCGTCCTGGTCCATCCTGGGCTTCTGCTGGGGCGGTAAGATTGCTGCGCTCTCGGTGGGTGCCGATAACAAGCTGTTCAAGGCGGCCGCACAAGCTCACCCAGCGATGGTCGACCCCAAGGACGCCAAGAGTGTGAACGTGCCGTTCGCGATGCTAGCTTCCAAGGATGAGCCCGCGAACGATGTCTCTGCGTTCAAGGCTAACCTGCAGGTCCCCAACCACGTTGAAACCTTCTCGACTCAGATCCACGGCTGGATGGCTGCTCGCTCGGACCTGGAGGATCCCGAAGTGCGTAAGGAATACGAGCGTGGCTACAAGACGGTGCTGGAGTTCTTCCACCAGCACTCTTGATCCTGTGTGGGATGAAAGCTGGTTGAAGGATCAGGATATATGATTGGTAGGCCACTCTGGGCATCAATTTTGTTCGGGCAAACGAAAAGTGAGATTCTTAGTTCCGTATCAACAAAAGTCTTGCACTGTTGCTTGCAATATACTCGGTCGTTGATGTAAAGTATTCTCTGAAAATATCTTCCGACCTGCCAACGTAGTACAAAGTAGACAATGCACTGTCTAGACTCCTGTACTCCTTAATTGATATTTGATATGCTCCAAAATCAAAGGCATCTCAGTGTTCATGTCGGACAAAACTCGGAGCTCCGCTTTTTCCGCGTTGCCGTTGCATCCACCACATTCGACCCCAAAGAAGATTCAAGATCCGCCGTGTGCCGAGAGACCCGAGGCTCAGCATTCTGGGCGTCATACCTTATTTTGAAACTGCTGGATATTTTAAGATCAGAAGGATCCTCCATCGCAATTGTCTACAGTTGAACCCTTCGCTCCAGTCTGGTCTGAAAGTTGCTTGGGTTGAGAGTGGTCTGAAGAGTCTCGCAATCGGATGGTCGGACGTCTGACTATCGCGGGAATCTCTGATGTCATTCATTTTTGGCCGTCGCCGGTCGCAATCAGACGCGGTCACCGACGACGCTGATGCTGGCCACAGAAAGTCAAGTCGAGAGCCCCATTCACCCTCGGGCGCTCATCGTGACGACGCGACCGATTCAGGAATCCTTCATGGCTTATTTCGCAAGCGCAGCGACAGCGCGCTGTCTTTAGATTCAACTAAGGATACCCAGAAGCAGGTGGGCCTCATCGGCTGAGGATCATGTTAGTTGTACACCACTAATCGAACTCTCAGAATCGAGATGCAGGACTTCAGCTGTATACCAACGACGTCCCCGTCCGAGGAAGAGGATACGATGCGAGTCGACGAAGCTCCAGAGATTCTACCCCCAGCACCGCATCAGGAAGAGGAAGCCCCGAGCCTCCAGCAGCGGCACATAGCGAACCCAAACAGCCGGGCAATATCCAAGACTATTTGGACTATCGACTCGAAAAAGCAGGGCTACCCGATGACAGTTCTGATCCCAGGTTCTCCACGGAGCATGGAGCAGCTCTGACGAAGAAAGATGTCAAGGCGCTTCTATCCGGCGCACCGCACTTTATGCTGGAGCGAGGCAAGCATGGTCGCTGGTATCCGCAAGTGATCTTTCCCTGGGATGAGCATAATCCTTCCATCCAACGCATGTTGGATCGCAAGCCCCTGGCCCATGCCTCGTTCACTCTGTGTACATTGCATGCGCATCTGCCAGTTCCTGATGACTGGGCTGTGAAAGGTGGTGTGCCTATTCCGCTACAAGATTGGCGTCGCACAGGCGCTTTCAAGAGAGCCGCATTCGATGTTGGAGTATTTGAAGTTCCCAATATGCTGGGAATCAACGGCAAGGAACCGGGCACTATTGGCTTTCGAAACTTCCTGGAACTCTCAAATGCCGACCTTTTAAAATACACCGGACCTGAAGAACCCAGACAACCCCCAAATATGCAACGGTTCTCATCGCTGCCTGCCACCGAGGCGTTTGAGTTGATGGATCAGTATAACAAACCATATTCCCAGTGTCTCAGCGGTGCCGTGTTCGACCGGCGCAAGCTCATCAAGGATGGTCCAGCTGGCTGGAAGCGCATTGGTGTACGAGATGCCAACCTGAGATATCTGGTACGACGTCTCGAACAGCTACGACAATTGCGCCTCGATGTCCTTCGCCAAGGTTCAACCATCACCATTCTGGATGTTGAGTCGCCGCATGAACTGCATAACATATTGCATACGCACTTCCTCCATCCTCGCCCACCCCCAGCTGATCTGCTGTCAGGCCATCCGCAAAGCCTGAAATCCCAGATCAAAACACTCGCAACTGTTCTGGCAACTCCCGGAGCATGGATCGATTTCAGTTTGCCCGAGTGGCGATTCAGAGCTGGTCAAATCCTGTGGGAGGTTCCTCCACATGGAGATGGAGACTGCGTGGAGCTCAGTGATTGCTCCTCCGGGACAACTAAACAACCGTGGGCCAACTCTGGCATGGAGCGCAAGTGGCTTCTAATCCAGATCCTTCTGGCGGCAGAGCTTCTATTCCGTCTCGATGCTTTCGTCCGCGTCGGCATGTTGCATGATCCCCATGGAGGCTTGATCACAGCGCAAGAGCTCCATCATTTTGATCAACTCCGAGAGGGAAAAGTGAACTGGGATCTCATCTTTGTGCGCCGCTTTCTTGACAACCTCGATATTACTTGCGACTCGACTCAATCCCCCGATTCGCCCCCCGGTGGTGGTAGCTCGTCATCATCATCAATTGAAAAACCACCTCAAAAACCCCGTCGCTTTTCTCTTTTCGACTCCATCTCTCGCCGCATTTCATCTACGCAGGAGGCTGACGTGCGGTCCGCTTGGGAATGCCGTATCAGTTCCCCGTATGTGCGACAGCAGCTGGAGGGCCTGTATGTCTTTGCAGAGAACATTGGATGGCCGAAGGTCGACGCTCTCCGATCCCACTTTGAAGAGATATGCAAAAGTGGCAAAGACGTCTTCACTCCAAACGTGAACGCAGATGGCTTAGGCGACCAGGGAACGGAGTCTGAAGATATGAGGAAGACAGACCTAGTGAAGCACGATATGTACAGCCGCAGTCGATGCCGTCGCAGCGTCAAGCTACGCAGTTTGTCTCAAGAAGACAAGGACCCGCATGCATCTGAAATTCTTGGCTGGATCTCTCGAAGTTGGCTTTCAGGCCTCGTCATTCCTGGTGAGGCAATCTGCCATCTCCTAATTGGGACGCTCTTGGAAAATAATGCCGATGCAATTGAACGACTGGGGACTACAGCGAATCTCTATGGGGGATTTATCTACGATGGACGCAGTTACTGGAGCAAAGCTAGCATTGTTGGACGTGTCCTATCTAGCTTGGACGGAGCCAAAACTTGCATGGGATGGGTCGGCAGCGATATACTCCCCCGCGACGAGACGACATTTGAGCCATTGGCCGAAGGTTGGTACGAAGTCCCCATGCAGAAAGCCATTCGCGGTCCTGGAAAGTCGCGTATCAAACAAGGTGGGAAGTTGGCTATGGAATCGACGCCACTAGGGACGGGAGATATAACTGCCGACGTCTTTACGTTGCCAGTCGACCAGCCTGCATCTGCGTCTATGCCAGAGGTGAAACTGGCCAAGTTGACTTTATCGGTCCGAACCCAATGCAAGCGAGGCATTACGAGCAGTGAGCAGGCTTCGTTATCCTTCTCCCTCCACGATGTGAACTTGCCATCCCCGACTACGGCCTCGTTCGCGCTGAGATATAATGTACGCTTTATTTCTGCCCACGAATGTCGGCGACCACGGGGTGTCGCTGCTCGCCACAAGGACTGTCCAGGTCTTCACGGCAAGCAGCAGCAGCAGCAGGAAGAGTCGGCGACACCTGACTGGAGCCAGTTCAAGCGTCTACCAGGCCACCCACTGCACCGGTCATTCGCATACCGCCATGTCTTCCTCGACGCACTGCCACAGCTCCCTGCGCCGACTCCCATGCTCGACGGACACACCGAGGTGCTAGTTATCGATGCGCGCGGATCTCGGGTGAAGGAGACCTTTGCGCGAGCATGGTGCGCCTCCGTTGGCTGCCATGCTCTGATCGGTCGCGTGGGAAGGACGTGCGTGGCGTGTTGTGTCCGCGAGGCGAGGGCCGTCGACGTACCAGTCGTTGTGCGAGTGGGTGAGTGGGTTGGTTAAGGAGAACTGAGCATCAGCTGCGATCGGTAGATATTGGTGAAGGCTTGTGTTGGCAGCTGAATACCGTCTCCTCGAGTCTATCAAGGTCAATGCAGGTGGTGTTCTGTCTTTAATGAGTGATGATTAATTCCACATTCTCCGCGGTGGCGACCATATCGCCGGAGCTGAGGAGCATGGTGAGCAATTGTAGCCATGATGTCACAAGCTGCGCGAGTTCGAATGCGCGTTCTGTATTTTTTAGTAACGTATACAAAAGGTATTGCACAAGTTATGAAGTCCTGCGTGTTGAGAAGACCAGGGCTAGCTGAAAGGAAGCGATGCAAGTACTATTCAAGCTGGAGGACTCGGTCTTGAAGCGAAGGAGAAATGTATCAGCCTCAGTCTCCACACCCCATCAGGTCTTCTCGAAGGAATTGATGATAGAGGACTTCATTCGTCGGGTGGCCAACCCTGCGCAAGCCAGAGTACCACATTCAGCGGACCGATGCCCCTTTTCGGAGGGCAACGGCGTTTTGCGGCTTTTTTGGAGTGCTTCGAAGCATCACTGACGCCCCTGGTCTGCGGAGCGACTCGCGTGCGAAAGGAGAGACATCACAGAGAATCACCAAGGAGCCTAGACTCCCGGAACTGCCAACGGCTAATCATTAGACGGAAGTGGCCATCATCGAAGTCCTTAGGGTGAGAAGTAATGCTTCGAGAAGGAGTGGGGAGGGTGGGCAGGGTTAGTGTACGGAGCACTGTCGTAGGCTTCGAGAAGATCCAACCCACTTCCTCGCGGAATACCACCTTCTCCTTCGGCCACAGTCGTGAACCAGAAAAGAACCATCAGACGTCAAAGCACCGCAGTCTCCATTTTGATAGGGAGGCGAGCGAATTGGGGGGGGGGCAGGTGAGGGAAATTCTCGGATGGAGTTTCTTGGGAGGACGCGTCAGGCCTGTTGCAAAGTTACAAAAGGAGACCGAACCCAAGCAGCCGAGCACGACCGAATCAGGTCAAGGGCCCGAAGATGGTGAAACAACCTAGTCCCCCCCTGGTCCACCAGGATAGCGCGGAGATCGGATTTGCCGTCATGACATGAGATCTGGCGATTTGAATTTGATTTACAACAGTGTTCTGCATATGGAGCTTGACATGGACTCCATATCGAGGAGGAGGATGAGATTGTACGCTTGTATAGTTACATAGCGCACGGGGGACACAGTCGAGAACCTACAGTAGTACTCCATGCACTGGTGGAGCCATGCAAAGTCAACTTAATGCCCGGGGAGGTATGAGAAAGATCTCCACCTCCTAAGAGTGGTAGGCATATATATGATCAGAAAGGATGATCCAGAACCACGGACTGCAAGAAGAATAACCAAATAAAACCCAACAGCGAACCCATAAGCTTAATTTTGGGTCGCCGGAAGAGGACATGGCGAGGAGGATCATTGATCGGTGTCTGAGAGAAACACTACTACTCTTTCCATTTCTCGGCCATTTTCGTGCTCCGTCGTAACAACAACCGAATTAGCCACACTGGTCAGCCGGGACTACAAAGCAGATAGGAATGTGTATCAAGAAGAAGCGGAGAGGGACCGAAATAAGGCTACGATGATGCAGCCCGATCCCCTTTCGATACTCCCGAAGGTCATTGCCGAACGCATCTCATCTCCGAACACTGACTATCCTCGACGAGGTCGGAAAGATGCATATCCAACGGGGCGCGATCGTCCAAAAGAGGACAAGGTCCGAAAGGATGCGCAGTTGAGGACGGAGAGTGCCCGACCACGGAGTATGCTTTGCGAACTGTATGGATGATAATAATGCAGCACCACACAACGGGCCCGGAATTGCACTAGCATCACGTCGAGAGCCAGCAAAGTACAGTACACGCCGTCGCATGCTCTAAAACTCCCCTTAGCCCTGTAGAATGCCCAATGCACACAATCCCGTGAAGCCCTGTCGGCACTTGATTTTGGCAGGCTGGAAACACATGGCTGCCTGCTAGACCAGTCCTGGTTTAGCGGGGAGGTGAATTAAGAACAAGGCCAGTGCTGGCTGGGGCGCTTGGCATTTGACTTTGGCCTGCTGGCCGTTGGCTGATGTGCAAACCAGTCAGAGGGATCTAACGTCAGACTGGGCGCCGGAAATTTGGTGGAAAGAAATGTGGTTCTCTCGCACCTGGCATCGGTTGGACATTAGACATCCTTTAGACTAGGAGAAGAATGGTGAGTGTACTCCGTCACGATCCAAAGAATTGGTCTAGAAGTTCGTAATACGATCTATCTCGGCACCAGCCGAACTACCCTAAGACAGACACTTTGATACCACACTACTTCAGTAGGACCAGGCTTCAGGTCTGTTCTTTTTCCCCCTTGGCTATGTTTCTGAATCATCAGAAACAACGCCAAAGATCTGAGTCAGCGCTGGACCCTTGTTTCATCTCTCCGATCGACAGACGTTGGGTGGATTCACCCAATCTCATCCAACCGAGGTCCCGCCTCCTTTTTCTGGTCTCATGTGGGACAAGGACTTGAGGAGGGGGTGGCTCGGAGAAGCATGCTCTTTCTGGTATCTGGTACAGTAGTGGCAGTGTTGTTCACCCCCGCAGAGGCTGTCACGTTGGTCGATTGCTGGATGGAACACATAGTTACGGAGAATGGTGCTAAAGACTATGACACAACCAACTACCCGAGCTGCTGGATCTTCCATGCATCGCGTGCTCAATACTCGCCGCGTCAACATGGGTACTCTCCCCTCTTCTAACTGGTCATCAAACTAATGCACCCCGACCTGTTTGGACATCGCCTCTGCCAGTACCCAATGAGACTCGAATACTCCTCTCCTTGGGCCCGCGCTTGTCGATCTTTTACCAGAGTGCGCCGAGTGCAAGTGGCGTTGCGGGGCCAATTAGGACTTCACTGGCGGATTGTGTCCTTCAAAGAGGCAGTCGAGCCACGGTGTCATGACTTCTCCTTCAGACTGACTGACAGACTCTTTGAAGAGAACGCAGAAGTGTGTTCTGCTGGATCATGGTGATGATTGGCTTCTTTGCAGAGGTAGCGGTGGGCTACACACCATACGATGAAGATCATGTCCACATGCCCACAGTCAAAAGCGAATTAGAGAGGACCAAAAAAAAGACTCTCATCAAAGCCACGCTGGCTTGGACACGTTTCATCGTCTACCAATAATGCAACCAGCATTTGGGGCGGGGGTATTTGTCACTGGACGAACAAAGTGTGGAAAATTAGCTCTGGTCAGCCCCTTTTGGATCTTATCGCAGTATGGACGTCATTTCGTTACTCTTCATTCTAGAATTTCTAGATTATTCTTTTGATTTTCCTCCATTGACTTGAGTTTAGTTCGCCCGTGAGCAAATGAGCGAATGAGCAAGTTTAGCCATTGAGGAAAGCGACAACCGCGAAAGGTGAGAAACGAGTCCGAGAGCCTCGTCAGACTTTGTCCCCATTGCTGTGATGCGTGCTCCATCGCTGATCACGTTGGATTCGCACCAAAAGATTGAACCCCTGGTTGGCTGGTTCGGGTCTAGTTCGTAGAAGTTTCCCCTTCTATCCCCATTTTGTGACTCCATGGAAGCTCGCTTGAGGCTTCGAAGAAGAACAGAAGAACGATCTGGGAATCTCCAGTCCTCGTTCCGACCGGCGCCAAGGCGAACCTGTAACACGCTACGGCGTTGCGACTGATCCTTAATCAAACCTTGACACGAGGAAAGCCCCACATTGAGCATGTGGGACCTTGTTACAGAATGGCAAGGAGGACGCAAGATCGCTTCTGCATGGCTGTCCACTGTCCACAATGAGCACAGAGGGTCTGTCCAGCCCAGTCGCAGGACGAGGTGGCTGTTGTCGCAGGTGTCCTACAGGAGTTAGTTTCGTACGTACGTATCTCCCCTGAGGCCTATCGGACGGATATCCCAACTGGGGATCCCTCCACGTTGCTCATTAGGCAAATTATGTCATGATGAGTCAGTCGCTCGGTATACTCCGTGATTCTTCCATCGCGCTTCTCTCCCCCGTCTCAGCCTTGGATGCCCCCCTAGGGCTATACCTTCGTCTAGACCAGGATCACTGGAGCTGATATTATGATTGAGATTGTCCTGACTGACCAGCTACTAAAGTCCCTCAGCCAAGGAACCGACCCGCGTATTCTCCCCGTATGGGTGGACTAGATCGAGGTGACTAAGGAGATGAGACAGATCTCATTGGTGAACCATCCACTCCATGGATCGTGGAAATGATTGGGATTTTCCCAGCCAAAAAAAAAAAAAAAAAAAAAAAAAAAAAAAAAAAAAAAAAAGAGGAAATATTAACCAATTCCGGTTCACAGCCCCAGACGATTGTTCTCGAAGGTGCAATGTGGCGGGCTCGATGTCATCGACAAGCACTAGGGAAATTAAGCTATACACTGTGGAAGCCCCAGAACGTGCCCGAAACTTGAAGGAAGAGACTAAACTGGAAAAAAAAAATCAAATCAAAGCTTAACGGAAAGGGGGATTGCTTTTCTTAGACCACAAGAAAAAAAAATCACAGAAGAGAACTGTAAACAAGAAATGGAAGAATAGAAGACAGACAGAGAGAGAGAGAGAGAGAGAGAGAGAGAGAGAGAGAGATCATAAATGGAGCATTATACACAAAAAAGACCCGCAAGTGATTCCATTGCGTGGGTGCAGTTCTTGGTCTGAGATGATACACATCAGCCGTGGACCCTGAAGTCTGTTTTTAGAACCAATCAATCTGTGGTTCGTTCCTGGGCGATGCTATGTTTTTACTCGTGCGAATTTTCACCAACAGCAGCATTGCGGCGTCCTCCGGGGACCCAGAATTCAACATCCTTTCATCTGCACTTTTTAATATTTGATTATTGCAAGCACTGTATTGAGCTCATTTCCAAGTCTGAACTCTCCTCCATTATCCCTCAAACCAAGGCTAATCGTGGAGCTAAGCTGCAGAGCACCCCTTCGAGAAGCCGTCAAGGTTTCTAGCGATCACCTCCGAAATGACCAGAGAGAGAAAGGGTTCTTTGGGTCAACTGGATCCGAGGAACAACAAGTTCATTGGTTCCAGCTGCCGACCTATGCTCTCAGCGCCAATCAGTTAGCCGGGGGCTTGGAAGGAAGAATTCCCCAGTTCATCAAGGATTGACAGGTAGGCATCTGTATCCCTCCTGGCTCTAAACCCAACGTGGTGTTGCGTGACCCAGCTTCCAACACCCACTTTCGACCCCACTGTGTCAGGACTCCCAGACCATGGTTCTTCGTCTGTGGCTCATTTGCCATGAACCAGCTCTGACGGGGGAATTGGGCTATCATACGCAATCAGGGGCTCTCTGGGGTTTACCTAAGCGATCGGCTTGTGGCCAGAAATAATCCAAAAATAATATGCGCACTCCCCCAGTGACAGGAACTATGTAGTGTTTAAAACGAGAAACAATGGGGATAGGGAAGAAAATCTAAGAAACAAGAAACGAAGGGAAAGGGATAAAACAAGATCTGGGCGTGTGTATCGAGACTACACTTCATAACCTGAAACTATCCTCTAATTGAATGTCAAAGCAATAACGGTTAGCCTCGTGAGGAAGTTCTTCCCGGAGGGCCCCTGAGTTAGGTCTGAGATCATCATGGTGGTCTATGACAATGACCTGCTGTTGATTTGGGTTAAGTCGATACATCCGTGTTAGTCCTAGTGTCGGTATGGATGCAGAGCCACCTTGTTCCACGTACGGTGGGATATACACTGTGAAATCAAATTATAATAATAAAAAAAAAAAATAGATAATAAAATAAAATTCAAGAGGGAAAATTAAAATCAACCTTGGGGCGTTTCACCCCGCGATTAGCTTCCTGTCTCTCTTCAAGTCTATAGGATATCCTCGACCTTTCTTCTCCCTTCCTTGTTTCTTCCACCGTCCACTTCATACACTCCTTTGGCTTTTTTTCTCACTTTTGCTTATTCTACATTCAACTTACTAATCTCTTCTATTTTGGGTTGTTTATCGGTTGTCTGCGGTTCCCGTTGCCCGATTTCATACTTGCGACAAGATACCAACTTCCAGTTAGACCCTAAAACGTCTATTGGCCTCCCCCTCCCCCAAACACCCAAAGCACTCTTCCCCTCCCCCTTTCATCAAGCACTCTAATTACTATAATTATCCCATTGATTAATTGGCAATTACTGGGCTTAACTGGGTTTCGTGGACCCAAACTGCAGCCAATCTATCCTCGACCGTCCACACCTTCTATCGCTACCTGTGCGTCTGGCGACGAAACATACCACGACCACTCACAAACTCACAAACTCATACTCCTACACTCATATACACAAGCGCACATACCACCACGAATACGATTGTCACTACCATAGCGACTACGACTTGCGTCTGCGGACCCCTCCTTTCCCCCCTCCTTCCCTCCCTCGACCACTTTACGACATTGTTGCTCTGAAACGCGTGCAATATCCTTCCTGGTCCAGTGTGGCGCAAGGTGGACCTAAGGGCTTAAACAACTCGAAAGTCCTGTCGGGCCATCGTCATCGTCCGGAATCTACGACCCCTCGGCTACGCAGCCCTTTCCGGTCCCTAGGTCACTCTTTCTCTCTTGCGCAAAGGGTGCCTGCATGGCCTGGCATCTCTTGAATCTGCACTTGCCCCGGATCACGCTTATAGGCTGTTTCACCATAACTACCTAATATACCCCAGATCAAAAAGAGGGTACCATTTCTTGCAAGCGAAGCGCCATTGATGCGCTTCGGGCCGGTGCGGTGATAAGAGCTCGCTTCTGGGAGCTATGCCCGCGGTCGTCGAGGAGATGGATACAACACCGAATTCACAAGCTGCTATGGATGCAAGTGCGGCTGATAAAAAGCGCAACAAGTTGGGTTATCATCGGACATCTGTCGCTTGTGGTGAGTATCAGTTCACTCGCCGGCAGCATTTACTTGTAGTACATCTCTTGTGGCCCTTTTCACATGTCCCGAGGCACTGTCGCGTGCCTCAAATGTGCAGACAAAGTGGAAGACAACAAGGGTGCTATATTGATTGCTGCCACCCATGCGACATAGTTCTAGCTAACCTCATACATTCTCACAGTACATTGCCGTCGCCGGAAGATCCGGTGCTTAGTGGCAGCAGATGATGCTCAGGGACGATGCGAGAACTGTATTCGATTGCGCAAAGAATGTCAATTCTTCCCAGTCGACCAACAACCTCCCGTGGAGAAGAAGTCGCGACCCAGTTCGAGACTGGATGCCGGATCCGCAGACCCTTCAGTGACAACGCCAATGTCATTGTCGTCCTCGCCAACGAGCTTGAATCCCGATTCGGTAGAGGCTTTCTATCCGTACGCCCAAGTGCCCATGAACGCTTCCTCGGGAGATATGGCATCTTTTAACCCTGGCGCATTCGCGGCGACTCAGATGCCAGGGTTCACACCTGGTACGTTTGGAACTTATATTTGTTTTGCTTCGGGCCAGAATGCGCCCTTATGAATACCCCCAGCCAGACTGACTCGACATGCTTGTATTAGATCGAGCTATCGCACCGGGTGAATTTTCCGGAATGCCCATAATGGAAGGTGGAGTTGCATGGGATGAGTTCACGACGATATCAGACCCACAGATGTTGGCCACGATGGCCGCAAACAAAGGGCAGATGATGAATTTGACACCGAATGCCTGGAATTCTGCAGCAGTACCAACTGCAATGTCCCCCAGCTCGCCCATGTCCGGCGCATCGCCAATGACTGGCCACGCACAACCGATGAACCCTGGACCAGCCTATGCCATGCAACCTGACGGGTCAGTCTGGCCTGTACCACCACAGCCATCAAGGGCTATGAGTTACCCAGGACAGGACATGAGTTCTTCATATTCAGGCCACTTTCAACCTCAAATGGCCCCGGACCTGAAACGCAGGATGACTACACCTACTCATCCACCCGTCACCCACACTTCCGCCGGGCCCAGTCCTGACATGCAAGCGCCTCCAGGTGCCGTTCCCTATCAAGCTCAAGCTGGGATGGGCTTTGCACAATGGCATCAGATGAATGCCATGCCCAGTGGAATGGGCGTGGTACCGTACCCAATGTACACTGGCGACGTCTCACAACGATACGCCAACCCGCCAATGGGTCATCCTGGACAGCCAGGAAGATCGGGACCCTAACACCAACCTCTTATACCCAAACCCTCTTCGATTCTTGATTATTCCCAGTTTCCGATATTTCCCAATTCTTTTTTTGCATCTCTCCGGGCTCCTCTTTGTCGATTGGGTTACCTTATAACACCTTACCTTCATCGGGCCCGGATTTTGTCACGTTATACCACGCACATTCCTAGACGGCTTGTTTCATTTTCAATACCCCGTGGGATACACATTTTGTTGGCTTTCGTTATCTTGTCTTTCGCCTTATCCTCATACACCGTGGCGGGTCTCTGCTTTGCAGATGGTCATTAGCGGGCGCAAGGGTTTTTGGGTGGCATTTTCCGTTTGATTCTCTCATGGCATGGCCCAACCTTTTTCTTCTCCTTCTCCTTCTATCAATCGCCCTTGTAGGACGTTTTTGCACTGGTAACTACCATTTTTCCTTTCTCTTCTCTCTTATCTTGTCATTCCGGTTCTTTTTTTTGATCTTGCATGTTCTGCTGGTTGGTTCTCCTTGATTTGGAGGTTTGACTTCTTTCCACTTCCTTTCGGAAGACTTTGTTTTCGGGCATCATATAGACTTTCTTTTCTTCATTGTTTCTTTTTTTTCTCCTCTCACGTCCTCTTTCACAACTTTTCATTCTCACCATCTACCCTCAATTCATTTCTCTCGCGTCTCGCCTTTCTGTCTACCTAGTTTTTGCGGAGGTATACTCTCTTGTCTGGCAAGCCTTTATGCATAGTCCGGTTGCACCGAACAATTTCAGCACTTTGATTTTGGGGGCGCACTAAGTTGATTAGTGCATGCACCTCGGTTGAAGCATGGACAGGGAAGCGCATACTATATGACAAGAGGGCGCGCGATTTGCGAACCAGCAAGGCAACCGCAGGCAATTCGCTGTTGATAAGATCAGATACTGGGTTAAGATTACGCGGACGCGATGAATTGCCAGCTTTTACCAACACACCAAGACATCGAGACTTCTTAAGCCATGATGTCCATTGAATTCATCCTGGTTTCTGTGAGGATTGCATACTGTACATATTACGTTCTCTACAAGGAACTGAATCCAACATATCACTTGATAACACATTTGTCTGATGGATTTGCGATAACTTCCTAATTCTGCTATGTTTATTGTTATGCACACGAATTTGATTAGGCACAAAGTATATTTTGACTGCAGCTGATACCCATGCAGGAGGCTTGTAGCTGTGGGACACCAGGCCCGAGATCGGAGTGACGATCGTGATAGATGTCGTTCATTTTGATATCTATTGTGACTTTGTCATCGTCGCCGCTATACTCTTCTGTCGCTCCATACGACAATGAATTACATTCTTGGGTTTAACGTTTCAGATTAGAAGGCATCATACATGCGTCGCTATCTCGCCACCACTTCTCTGTTGTCTTGCTCACAAGAAAGCCACACAATCCTAAAAGAGCCCCGTGCTTCCAATGGGAAGATTCGGAGTCCAATTGATAAGCTATAAGCTATACTTTAGCCTCCTTCTGGAGGTGAACGTTGAGCTATCACGCCGATAACGGCCCAACCCATGCTTGAGGCAATTGTTTTGCCCGGCTGTGCTGTAGCCTGTCGGACGGACTGGCCTGTCATAGACAGAGTCTTCTGAGAATATAATTGTGAACTTTATAGATCGGGTCGGCCCATGCTCATCCCGCAGGGGGCTGCAGAGCAATGTAACGATTTGATAGGCGCCTGGGGGGCGGATGCTGACAATCAGACTATCGGTCTGAGGTGGCCCTTTCTCCTCGGAGATGGCGAAGACTGATGTATTCTCGTCTGGCCTCCCTCCTTAGCCGAGGCTAAAACCCTGTCCATGGCGTCAATATGCTGGATATGTGAATCCAATCATGCCCCCTGCATCAGTGCATGTTGAGCCTATCTCTTGTTGAACACGGTTGGGCAAATTCTGATAATCATGTCATATCTACTGAAGTGGTGGACACATCGAAATGGAGTTATCACCCGTATCTTGGGATGACGCGCAGGAACCACCGCATCAAGATGATAGGGCCTGATCTCCATTGGGTGCGTGGTGTGGCAGTCAGCGCTTCTTTTTTTTTTTTTTTTTTTTTTTCGTTGAGGAATCTAGGTTCCCCGGAAGATCCGTCGGACCAACAAAAGGACTCTGGGGTCAGAAATCTGGAGAGATAGCCAGGAAGTGGGCACTCAAGTGGGACAGTGGACTTTGTACTCTGCTTCTCTATCAGGGCCATAATGAAGCAAATCAGAGCATCGGAATCACCAGAGAGGATCGGGGAAGGTGGATAATAGGTTTCATCGGGGGACCAACGGCAGATCCGATATAGGAAGGTACCAGGCAGGGTATAGATGGTGAGCGTGAAATGATCTCTCCTCTAATTTTGTGCATTGCAAATTGTCTGACCAGGGGGCGGTCTTATCTCTTGGACCGAGAGCGTGAGCCCCTTCGAGAATCCCGGAAGGGGAGGGCGATATGCAAACTTATCAGGCTGGTTTGCTGGTCCCTGCTTGGCTGGCCGTTGCACGAGAGGATCTTTGTCGTATCAGCCAGGGATAGGCTTGGGTAGTAGCGTCACACCTTATCGAAACTGATTTGGGTGATAAACCACACGTCCTGGCTTGGGCAGGAGGTTATATATACTCCTGGTGGTGACCGCTGCTGGTTAGTCCCGTCTTTCTTTCTGGGGATTTCGGTCGTCTCTTCTTCTTTTCTCCTTCTCTAACGTTCTGGTTCGGTTGTCATTGTTTTCCTGCCTGAGGATCATTGATTTCACTGGAAACTTATTTTTTTTTTCTTCTCACAGTTGGGCCGTGTACCCACGGTGTTGGACGGGAGGAAAAGGCTCGTCGTATATTACTTATGCGCAGTGTCGGTTTGCTTTGCCTCCACGCTCCGCGGCCTTACCCGTCGCAGGCTCTCCCTTCTCTCATATGCACTTCTGGCCTCTCTCGCTCCCTTGGACCTATACTGTGGCCATTTCTTCCTAACCGCTGAAGCCGCTTTGAAAAAAAAGGACCTGGATGCATCCCCCTTTCTTCCCCCGGGTCTTCAGGGCTTGGGCTGGGCAGCCCTCTTCCCCCCCTCCCCAGTTCCGGTCCAAAGTATCTGCTACCATTCTGGGCATGATTGGCGTCAACCGAGGGCTTACTGCAGGAGCGCCACGACCCACTTGCAAGCACTTGTGAGGCGATACCTGCTCTTGTTATGTTGTGAATGGTCAGAATGCAATGAAGGAGGCGATTGTTCTTCAGCTGTCCATCCACGCCAACCCGCTTACCAGCTCGACCAGCAGCCGAGTTGTATTAGAGCCGACCGAACATCATCACCCAGTAGGGGTCCCCTCTTCGTCGTCTCCGTTCTCCATCCAGTGTGCTCGGTATAGCCCGTACCTCCCTACCCCTGTATGGAATACGTTACGAAGCATGGATGGAGCCTCTCACATGGGACCTACAGTACCTAGCTACAGCTTGGGCGTTGAACGGAATCAGACCACCGGGCAAACTTGCTTTTGCAGCTTGCTGGCCCCTGAACCACTAAAGATAATCAACCAACCTGGATCTGATCCGAGCAAGCACCAAGTATGTTCTCTCCAACAAGCAAGAAACCATATCTCACCACACCGTCATGGGGGATCCACATGCGCCAATGGTGCCGCCCCCGGTTGAGAGTCTTCCGGAGTCGGGAGGGGAGGGGGAGGGGGAGTACTCCCGTATCAACTACGGAGTATACTCTGGACCAACCAATCTATTCTGATGTTCTTCGAAGCGAGGGTTACTTGTTCCAGCAGCAGCAACAACAACAATAACCGGACTCGGAGAACTCGCGCGTATCAGCAAATTGACCACGGCTAATGACTACCTGCGGGCTTATCAGGGCCTTATCTCCAGTTATCTCCAGCTGGGCCTATCGGGACGAGGGGATTTCCCCCGACCTTTCGGTGGAGTCTCTCCTCGTGGGGCCAAGAGCCTTAGACTTGGACTTGGACTTGGATGCAGTCGATCAGACTACGAGCCTGATCGATGCGGTCTCTTGTGTCTTGTCGTGCCTGGTCCTGATCCCCACACCATCGCCAGAATGAAGAAGCTCTGAACCGAGATGCCCATTCCAAGATACCCGGGACTTTCTTGATCTCCACGACTGCTATGTTACCGCCCGCAGTCGTCTTTTCGATTACATCCATTCCCAGATCCGGTCAGCCCCCACCCTGGCCGCCATGGAGGATGTCCAATCCGTCCAATGCCTGACGTCGTCCACTGGGCCCATAAAGGAAATGATCATGGGCCATCAGGACCAATTTCAGCAAACAATAACTTGGGACAATCTACAAAATGCAGGTAAAGATCGACCACGACACTGATCCTGCGAGAGGACCCGTCCCGTCGAGTGGCAAAGGGGTGCAGGGTGCCTGATGCCCAGCCACGACCAAAGTGGATGATTGGGGGGCTTGCAGTTTAGCCGTGGAATGTGAAATCATCCGCTTGCGCCCCCGCGCCCAAACCGTTCGACAGGAGTCGCAGATTGAATAAGGAGAGGCTGAGCAGAGGAGGACGAGTGGTTCCATTTGAATACGATGCGCTGAATGGACGTAAAGCCGCGGATGAATTAACCCTGGCCCGCTCGGCGAGTCGCAACTGGACATGACTCCAAGAGACGGAACGCATTTCAAACGGTGGAAAGCTGAATACGCCATGGTTCCACGGAGGATGCAATACGATACGATACGCAGTCTCGGGTAATGTAGGAATGGTTCGCTCGGTGAGTCGCTTTTTCCATTCCCACGTCCATTACTCCGTATACACGAGAGGAGTGTCCCCGCCCAGCTACAGCTAGCTGGCTCGTAGTGGGATGTACGGAGGTATATGCTGGATGTACTGCTGCACTGTCTTTGTTTCTTTTCTCTAGAGTATGCTTGTAGCAGTGCGTGTCAGAATGTGTCGCAATCTGATATATGCGCGACCGCAAGCCGTGTTTCTGGTCATGTAGAGAGTCCAGTCACTGGGGATGCATATCAGATAGTCAAGAATCTTATATTCAAATCTGCTATATCTCCCTGTCGTACCTTTTTTCTTTTTTTCTAGAATAAACTCCCCGTCCCTGGCCACCCGGTCATTCTCGCGACCGACTCCATCGAACGGCTTTCTTATCTCCCAGTCTCCCCTTTCGGGCGCCATCCTATCTCCGGCCCCGCTGACCACCCAGGCTGGGTCGTTCCGACTGTCATTGAGGATCTGACAATTTCCATTTGCCAATGGTTCATTGATCCGTGCCATGAATGGATATATGGCCATGATTGTTGCTGCTTATACTCGTCTGGCACAACAGCCTGGGCAACGCCGTCGTCCATCCTGGCGGATCCACTCGGGAATTCCATATCCATTCTACCCATTCTAGCAAGACGAATCACGAGCCTTCAGTTGCCATTTCCCCTTCGTCTGGTGCCTGCTGCGAACTACAGACAATACAGGTACAGTCTTCCATTGCTCCATTCATGCTACTTCCGGGCCCGCGTGCTGAACTTCCTCCGGTTCGGACAAGACTCCACCGCAAGGAATCGGATCCACTCGATCCTCGACCTATCTGGACGTGCCTCCGTGATATGCCATGCGTTCAGAAGAACCGTCCTTGGTCTGCGCTCTGCAGTTCTTGTTTCCTGATCTTCCCCCCTTCTAGACTGCCTCCGACCTCGTACCAGGCAAAGTACCTGCATCTAGTAAGGTCTCGATTGTAGGTCTACCCCGTTCGCCCGAGGTTTGCCATTCGGACTCGGGCCGAGACAAGAGGTCAAGCTCGCCGCCTCTCGGTCCCGGACTTGTCATTCGAGGATGCCAGGAGAATGGGGGCGAACAACGCCCATCGTGGCGGTCGAGAGTCCGTGAGCCTTGGGTGGCTCGTATCCATAGCTACAGTACGGAGTAGTTCTAAAGTACAACCGCATCGACTCCGCTTCGAGGCGTCTGCGAGTCGGGACGATGGGGGAGGACAGGGCCACAGGCAAATGGACCCAGAGATGGACCGGAGGGTGGTTTCTGGCCGAGGCCACCGATTCGTGGAAATGGCAATTAAAGCAGAGACCACAAAGTGCACAGTCAAAGCCGAGTCCGGACGTGTGTTGAACAAGAGACCGGGAGTGGCGTCTCATGCACGCATGAATCATGTCTGGGATGGGTCCGAGGATGTACAAATACTGTACTTTTGTTTGTTTTTTTTTTCTTTTGGTTCCCATTGCTGGATCATGTTATACACGGTGATGGTTCTGTAGGTCAAGGTAGTTGATAGCTGAGTAGCCAGTTGACTCGTTGAATCGAGCCACTGTGCAGGATTCATGTACTTTTGAGTTGTGAAATTGAGTGTAACTGTTCCGATTATTGGATACTTTGTTTGTCTAGTATAGCTAGTACTTGGTCAAGTCGTACTAAAATCACTAACTTAAGTTAGTTAGTTAGTTACTTATTGTCATTACTATATACGCTTGTCTCTCTCTGGCAGCCTGTCGTAGTCGAGGCAAGCGCCGTAAATCGGGCCTCGACACCCAAATACGATCAATACCGTCAATACATTAAATACACTGAAATACCGAGCGCCCCGGGTAATACGCATACCGCTCTCATCTCCCCAAAGTGACTTGCGCAACTTCATCGCGCATCGCCAGATTTCAGATTTCCCCGAGACTCTTCCCTTTCCCTTTTCATCTTCATCTTCGTCCGTTTCTCTCTCTCTCATCCTCCTCCTCCTCCTCCTCATCCTCCTCTCTTCTCCCCTGCCTATCTCATCCCCCAATTCCCGCTTTCCCTTCGATCGCAGTCGGTCTCTATTTCCTCAGATCCGAACCCTCGTGCCCATTGTATCTCGCACAATTCCGCTGGCGTGCGAATACCTCCGTTTCCCTACGCAATCTCACGTCGGGGCATGAGCGTCTGGAGGGTCTAGCCCCCCCTCCACGACAAGAAAGCAAATCAAAAAAAGAACCTTTTACACTCAGATCTGACTTCAAACTGGGTGGTGGTACTTTTTCCCCTCCTCTCCCCCCCCCCCCCCCCAATCGTGAGTACTTACTGGACTTCCTTGTCAATACCAACCCCCCCTCCCCTTCTATTCGCACGTAAAAACGGTACTGACGTCGGTGCTGACCCTGGTCGTTGGCTGCGCCATCCTACCAATCACTTCGCTCGGTTGCCTTCGATCTCTCTGTTCCCCCCGGCAAGGGTCTCGTTTACGGCGGGTACGGAGGAATTTCAATTCAAACCATCTTTTTTAGCCCACCTACCTTTCTCCCCTCGTCTATATCTGCCTTTATTCTCCCCTCCTCTCCCCGTCTTCCCTTCCCCTCCCGTCTCCTCTGGATACCATGGAGGGAATGAACCATGGAGGGCATGGGCACGGGCATGGCTATGGGCATGGGCATGGAGGACCCCGACCGTCGCAGCCATCTGCGCTGGCCTTCCCAGGGATCGACATCGACTCGCATATGATGTCCGACGACTTCACCTTTGGCTCGCGCTTTAGCCCGACCAACTCCACCTCCAACTCCAACGCCCAGGACGGGATGCTTTCAGATGCCATCTTCCCGGAGTGGAAGACCGGTGTCCCGCGGGGTGGCGACAACCCCGAAGAGATGCAGAAGAACGATCCCTTGGCGGCTCAGATCTGGAAATTGTACACTCGGACGAAATCCCAGCTACCCAACCAGGAGCGCATGGAGAATCTGACATGGCGCATGATGGCCATGAGTCTAAAACGCAAGGAACGAGAACAGGCTCGGTAGGTTCCCTCGATAGATCGCATTCGTTGCTGGCTGCCTTCCCTCCACCCCGTCTCGTCCAGACAGCTCACTGGTGGAACTCTTCAGGATATCGCAAGCCCAGAAAGACACCACTAGTCCCAACTCGAGTGGCATCGCGCAGCTGCGTCTATCGGAACAGACCAAGCCTACTTCGCCGGACAACCACGCTGACATGAACATGGATGCGACGCCTGACCCGATGAACATTGATGATTTTATCGTGCCCTTTGATTCCCCCGCAGAATATGCTTCACATCCCGCTGCCGACCGACAATTCAATGCGACCCCCACGGCTTCAATTCCCATTAAGGCGCGCAAAGATCATCCCGTGAACGACTCGTCTGCGGCCGCATCCTTCCCCCATCCGCCACCGGATCAGCGCAAGAACAGCGAGTTCGGCTATGTCACCCGTCGAGTGCGCAAGACCAGTGTCGACGAACGCCAGTTCTTTGCCGGCCTGGCCGTACCGACTCGCAAGCGCCCAGCCGATTCATCGCCCCAGGTGCCGCCCGTGTCGAACACAATGCTGGCACAGCACTCCGAGTTATCCTCGACGCTTCCAGACTACTCTTTGGACCACCCACCCACAGCCTTTGCTATGCCTGGGAATGGCACGATAGGCGGACGTCGTCCTCAGCATCACCACACCTCCAGCATTCCCTTCAGCTTAGACACTTTTGGAGTGGGCGAGGACCATGGCATTCACTCGGCCGGGCCATATCAGCAGCACTTTACTTTCTCCCCCTCCGAGTCCCCAATGACTTCCGGCAATCCATTCACCAACCTGTATGCGCAGACCCCGTTGGCATCATCCCTCAACTCGACGGAGTTCTTCTCTCCACCACCCTCGGGGTACCAGTCAACCGTGTCCACTCCCCAGCCCATTTACGAAGGAGAGCAGTCCATGTTCTTCAATGATGTGCCGTCTACCGAATCCCAAGCTCAACGCCGCATTCCCACCTATATCCAGCAACGAACATCTAACCTATCGGCGTCACTCCAGCCGCACCACATGTATAACACGACCAACGGCGAGTTTTCGGCCCCGACTGCTGTTACAGGTGCGCCTGCAACCATGCACCAATCCGGCTTTTCCGTTGCACCGCCCCAGCATGTGGATCCCACGCAGGTTCTAGGTTCCGGCGAGTTTCCCTCGGCTGCCCCGACCAACAGCATGTTCACGTTTGGTGGTGACTCAGATAATGAAGATGACGAAGGCACCCCGTATGATCGTGGAGGCATCACGATGCCGAATGACTTCCCCTCCATGGACGACGGTGACATGAATGCCGGTCTGACCTGGGATTCTGGGTTCGCTGGGTCGGTCCAGTCACTGCCCGGCTTCAACGGCCCGCACCGCAAACATGTCACGATCGGATCTGTTGATATGATGGACGGTCCTTCTGATTGGCAGCATGCTGGCAGCTTGGGTCGTGGACTCGGCTCGGCCGCCTCTGTTAGCGACGTGCGCAACCGAGAGCAGGATCCCCGGCGCCAAAAGATTGCTCGCACCGCCTCCACCCCGAATGCTCCAGCCTTACTGCGACAGAGCATGAACGGAATCACCAGTGGGCCGCCCACCAGCCATCCTTCCCCTAGCACCCCTCCTGAGTCTGGCCTAAGCAGCGCAGTGCCATCACGTCCCGGCAGTCCTGGCGGATCCAAAATGGGTGACCCCAACGCCGGCCCGACAACCTGTACCAACTGCTTCACCCAGACCACTCCCCTGTGGCGCCGCAACCCCGAGGGTCAGCCGCTATGCAATGCCTGTGGTCTGTTCTTGAAGCTTCACGGAGTCGTTCGTCCCCTGTCGCTGAAAACCGATGTCATCAAGAAGCGCAACCGCAGCAGCGCCAACAGTCTGGCTGTTGGCACTTCCCGGTCGTCCAAAAAGTCATCTCGCAAGAACTCCATGCAGCAGGCGCCTTCCGGTCTACTTCCCTCTCGCACGCCAAATGGCAACTCTTCCGAGTCACCTCCTGCCATTGCCGGGTCTAGCATGATGGGCAAACCGGGCGTGATCCCCATTGCTGCCGCGCCCCCCAAGGCTGGTCCCCCTGCCGGCGTGGCCTCGGCTCGTGCTGGAGTGCAAGTGGCTCCAAGACGCCAGCGTCGCTTGGAAAAGGCTCCAACTGGATCAGATCCCGACCCAGAAGACAGCCCCAGGACCAACACGTCCGCTGGTCGGTCCAAGGTGGTGCCCCTGGCTCCCGCCATGCTACCCGCAGCCGCCAACCCAGCCAACCACAGTATTGCAGGTGGTCAGGGTGCAAGCCAAGAGTGGGAATGGCTGACTATGAGTCTTTAGACGGTCTTGCCCGTTGGAACGATCTCACTTTTCTCCTCTTCCGTTTTTCTCTGTCGATATCTCTCGGTACGACGGGGCTGGGACGCCCCCGCCTCTTTAATCCCATCTATACACGACTAATTGCTCCACTTTGCTGGTGGTCTTTGCATGGATTTCTGAAACCCATGCTTTCATGCCTTTCCTCCCCCTTTTTATCTTCCCACTGTTTCTTATACGTTACGTGTGCTTGATGATCTGTGTGATTTGATTGATACAATCGCGTCTGTCCGGTGCCCAAGTTGCCTTTTGTTTGTTCTTCTTTCTTGACTTTCATATTTCTTATGTATGTAGCTCTTGGGCCCGGGCAGAAGTGCGCATCTCATGTCTTTGATGTTTTTCCTTCGATTGGATTTCTGATGCTTTTTTTTCGTCACTCTCTTCATTACGCGCTGCTGAGCAGGCCCAGTGATGATGGGACTTTTCTCTCTCATATTTAGACTTGAATTTGACTACGATTGTTATGACACGGTGATATCTGGAAAGTTTGGAAGCTGGTACAGTAACGTAAATGAAAAGTATAGTAGCACGTAACTAACTGTATTAGGGCGATATAGAAAATGCCCGATCACACCATGTCATTAGCTTCAACTTGGATACTTTGAATTTAGACGTGATTGATCCAAGAACACAAGACCAGACGATGCGTGTTGCGGAAGCCAGCAGTGACCTTGGGGCCATATACTAAGGTATAGCCAAACTTGACTGAAATCATTAGTTCTAAGATCGCTGGATTGGGGTCCACATGCTAAAGCCAATCCAGATAAGATCTCAACTTTTAAGACAAACCCCCACATCCCCACTATGAGAGTCCACAAGGTTATTATGTACATACAGTACTGTAGTTTCTTTCAACCAGTTCGCCCCCGTTCCCTTGGTATTACTCGAACTACAATGTCATTATCCTGCAAATTATCATCAATACTTGATGTATTGCTTTATGGCAGACATTTCCTGAATTTTTCTGATGTTCATTTCCATGAATTTTCTTAGTACAACACGTAGGACAGGTAGGACAGACGTCATGGCGACGAATATCCGAGTTACGTCCTTGCCCCTTGCCCCTTGCCCCTACTATGTCTCCTAACATTGATTTCTTGTCAGATACATCCTTTACATCTTGTGCGATCAATTAGCGGAACTCATTCAAGTTTGATTTGAGAAATATTGTCAAATCTGCACAAAGAGCAACAGCATGTCTGGCGCCGCGGTAGGATACCCTCCTCCGTCACTCTATCAATCGATTATTAACTTCTTGCCTCAGTATGATAGTGCCAGCACGGACGGCAAGTCTTAATTACTCTTCACTGACCCAGTTCGCAATGAAACCCGCTAACTTCTCCTAGAGGTCTCGGAACCCATAATCGTCGACGTAAGCAAACCAGACAGCTACACCAGCCGCGCGAAAGAATCCGCAAGTAGCCCCCGCCAAAGAATCGCAGACACATTAGAACCGGGTACGTATCTCAGCTCTTACGGTGCCGTGGATATATACTTGTATTCAGGGACGTAAAACCATCTGCTTCCCCTTTCTATACCTGCTTTTGGTCATTCTATGCAGTACGTGGAATTGAAAACTAAGCCGTCCATCTTTTCTTGCAGGGGACACGAAAGCTACCACTCGTCGATTGTCAGATACACCCACCGGTATGCGAGATCAATTCACGAAACCGAGTCATGAACCAGCAGACAAGGGAAAGTCCATGTTGGATTCTGCACATGAGATGGTGGCTAAGGCGTTGGGTGGGGGCTCGCGGGGTGAGTGGTTGGCAATACTGTCGATGGTGTGTGATTAGATATCTGAGCTGATAATTACGCAGGTACTAGTTAAGTGAGATGGCCATATGAGGGTAGAAAGCTCAGGATTGAATTTAGGCCGGTTTTCACCCGCCTTGCAATGTGAAGGACTTCGATAACACTTGAGTCTTAGAATTAGGATAAACTCGGACTGTCGATATGAGTAATTTTAGTAGCAATATATACTGACAGCTAAGTTATTTCTATTATTCCTATCATAGTACGCCACGTTGCTGGAGAAACGTGAGCCTTGAGCAGAGTTGTTTGAGCGTGTAACAATGTACAACGCATAATGCAGCTCCCTCCCGAATTCGTCAAGGACCACTGCTAGAATACCTAAGATTGAGACTGTAGCAGATAATTTAGAGCTTGAATATCCCAATTTTTGCATTTTATAGGTGAATATCATACTAAATTTCCCTTCGTGTCCCTCATGTACTTTGCTAATTTCAAGCTTAACCCTAGGAAAACTTAAAAGGTCAAGACTGCACTTCTTGAGTAGAATAAAAATTTATTTATCCACCAATTCTCGCAGGTTTAAAGAAACTACTTTTCTGTAGTTAAGAACACTTTAATAATCTTTGACTAGAGTTTTGTACTTCCCATTTTGGCTTAGTCCTGCCTGAGGCTGTTATCAGTATCACGTGGGATAGGCCGCCCAAAAAAAAGTCACTACGACAGCTTTCTCCAAATTCCAAACTGCAGCAGCAATCATGGGTTCCAGCGCCAAGCGAAAGAAGGAGAAGCAAAAGGACTTCCAAGTAAGATCGAATGATTGGCAATCTCAAATATATGACAAGCTAATTCCTGCAGAAACCCAAACTCAAGGTCGGCAAGGCCAAGGCAAAGCCGGAGAACTTTACAGACACCAGTTTCAAAGCAAAAGGTACGCAGTCGCTTTGTTTCCTGGGATATTAGGCTCTCGGCTCTATAAACCAGTGTTCATTTTCATGCGCTAATCTTTACCCAGCGATCGTTCTTAACCAACAATCCCTTCATGTCGCCGCACCGACCTCCAGCAGCCAATTCTCCCATCATCTCTCCCTCCTCTCCTCCAAGTCCGACAGCCAACGGCGCGATTCTCTCGCTCACCTAACCACCTCAATCGCCTCGCGACCGGTCAATTCCCCTCTCCCACAGCCAGTCAGCGTCATGCTCTCATCTTTGCTCCCGCTCATCCTCGACGCAAACAATAATGTCCGCACTGCACTCCTCAAGCTCCTGAAAACACTACCGCCCAGCGATGTACAGGACCACGTTGCGCAATTACTTCCCTATGTCCGTGCAGGAATGACCCATCTAGCAGCAGACATTCGTGTCTCTGCTGTCGAGATTCTCTCATGGATGGTTGATGCGGCTGGTGAAGCAGTGGTTTCCTGCGCGGGTGGGTGGATCAAGACGTTCAACTGTTTTCTGTCGGTGTTGGGCTGGCACACGGAAGAGTCGGCCCGCTGGTCGTCTAACCGGGCTTCATTCGGAAAGTCTGGGAGCCGGGGCCGGCCTATGGTGAAAGTATTGGGTGCATTGGCGGAGTTCCTGGAAGCAGGAATCGGTGCGCCAGGTGCTCCGGTCGATGATGAGCAGCACGAGGGCCCGTCATCCTTAGCATGGCCATTCCCGCTGTGCCAGACAAGTCAACACATGATTTCCGAGTCTGCTGCGCCATATGCCTATTTGAATCTATTTGGACAGCCTCGCGACGAGGAGGGCGAGATGTACGAGACCCGCGAAGATCGGTACAGGGTCTTCTCGACACGGTTCTTATCCGCCGTTGAACGCGGTCTGAAGAGTGCGAGGGAAGAAGGTGGCGAACTTGGTCGCGCGTCTTCCAGTGTCAGCAAGGTGTTGAAAGCGGCCTTGTCATATGGGGCTGGGCCTTGAAAGTGAATTTCTTACGATGATACGATCAGAACACAGCATTTTGTTGCCACTATCGAGAAGCTTCAAAACTACTCGTCTGCGAAAAGGACGCATTGCCTCTACCAGCGGGGTCCTGGGGCATTGTGACATGCTTCTTCTCATTGTTGAGAAGGTCTTCATCCTGCGCCCGAAGACTTCCATGCACCAATAGTCTCCCCTTTTCGGGATGGTAGACTTACTACAGACGGGAGGGGGTTCATACTCTTGACATCTCGGGGGGCTCCATCGCTCGGGTCTTGTCATCAAGGCTCACAGGCACGAAGTTGAGGGTTCATTCTCAGTCATTTTGGAGTCCTCAAGTCTGAACCAAAGAGTTCATGCATATAAAGCATAAATTCATGTACCACAAAGCGCTTCTGCACGGGTGCTCATACTAAAGCAAAACATTCCATGATATTCTTCCTGTTCGAGAAACAAGTAATCATTATAGCAAGCGACGCAGAGCCTTAAACAACCTTCTCCGACTCGGCTGGTATCTTTTCACCTCGAGAAGTCGCCGACATCTGCTCCGAGCCATCTGTCTCCACGCCTTCCACGACAACAGCTCTCTCATTATAAATCTCATCCGGAAGAATAGCCCGAGGAATCTGGGTCTCTTTCACCGGGAACAACCACGACAAGGCGAGATAAACCACTGCCGTAGCAGAGAAACCCAACAGCCATCCAAACTGATAAGGATGCACACCGGCCCCAACATCAATTTTCGAGTTCACAGCATTAATCAGACCAGGCAAACTGGGGACCACGCCCACAATAAACGAGACCAGCGCCCGCCAATTCACGCCCCAAATCGACTTGCCCGACAAGAACGGCACAGTACAAACATACCGATAAATCGGATTCAACGGCTGATACAGTGCAAGACAATCATACTTGCCGCGATTCACAACCCAAAAGTCAAACATCATAATCGCAGCAATAGGTCCCAAAAAAATCGCATACGCACTCATAAAACTTAAAAAGTTATCCGCTGACTCGAGAATCTTCCACGGCACCAGCGCCCACGATAACACGGCACATAGGATCTGGCCGCGGCGGATGTTCAGGACCTGCGGTGCCAGCGCGGTAAAGTCGTTTGCTGCGGAGAGGGAGTTGGCTGAGATATTCACGCCCAGCGAAGCGATGGCGAACGAAGCTGCACCGAAGAAGCGGCAGGCGCGGTTGGGCCAGTGGCTGATGAGTTCGTTGGGGTCCCAAGGGATGGTGGCGAGATTGTAGTGGGCTTGGCCGGCAGAAGACGCGGCAATGCCGATGAAGGAGATGAAGGTGAAGATGATGGGGAGCATGGGGATGTAGAGGAGTTGCCAACGGGGGTTGATGCGGGAGTATCGTGAGAAATCGGACTATCACAGAAGAAGTAAGTGTCTTGGTACGGGATCATATAGTTCGAGTGCGAGCGAGACTCCTTACCTGGTTCACGCTCAGAGTAGCGTAATTCCCCAGAACAGAGGTCATATTTGCCAAAAACAGCCAGCTATAATTCGACCCAGAGACCGTCGCCTTCTGCTGGGCAAAGATCCCACCACCGCCCTTTTCAGCGACAAACGCCCAAATCAGGATCGCAATCCAGGCAATCGGGACGAGAATCGATTTGACAGTAAACAACCAGCGCAGTTTATTCGGATGCATGCACAAGAAGGGGAACTGGAAGATCCAAAAGATCAAAAAAGCGACCATCCCATTGGTCGTGATACCCTGCGACGCAGGGATATCATTGTGAAGATCCAAGTAGCTAGGCCAAATAGCCCCGATCATAACACGGACCGAGTTCCCACCATTCACATTCTGGATGGCAAACCAGAACACGGCGAGAATGACTCGGGAAATGATGGCGATATACGAACCCCAGAACCCCCAGCTAGCGCGGGCGATCACGGGGAATGGGACATGGTAGATGGCGCCGACGGCACCGTTGGCAGAAATAACAAAGGATATAATGAAGAAGGAGATGGCGACGATGGCAATGGCCTCGCGGTAGGTTAGACCGACGGCGATGATACTGCTAGCAAACTGCCATGTTGCTGCATTGAAGGCGTCGGAGATCCAGTATGCTAGGGATGAGGATGTTAGAAGGAGATGGTTGTAACCCTTGATAGATCGGGCCAGGGTAAGTAAGTACCTATCAAATTCAGTACACCCCATTTTCTTCCTAATAAAGGAATCGGATCCAGATCGAGATTCGTCCATCGCGCATTACCCTCTGCAAAGACTGACTGGGTCTGGGAGACCCTCAGTCGAGGTCTTGACAAGCGCATGATGAAAGATGGATCGAGAGGGAGGTGCTATTGAAGAGGCGAGGTAGAAGTAGCGGAATAAGCAAGCATGGAGTTTTGTGTCACCAATGCAGCGCAGGGTGACAAAAGAAAAAGGGAATAAATGCAACCATGAGGGAAGATCAGCTCAGAAGTACCAAATCGCAGCAGACAAGTGCCAGCAAGTGGAAGTAGAATCCCGAATCTCTGGTCAAGTCGTCGAATCTCGTCCCAGTAATCTCTCGACTCTCGAAGGACGAGGGCTGATAAGCTGATAAGATGCTTGAGCTGATAAGCATCCGTGTCCTGATAAAGCCCAACTGGCGAATGACAAGCCATACTGCTGGCGTCCATCATGACAGAAATGGGGGCGATGAACACACTAACACAGACTAACTGTCAAAGCGCAACTTAAAGCTGGTGCATTCAGATTTAGCGAAGGTGGCAGGGTCCTCATAATCGTGATCCATCGTCCATAAGAATCGGAGGACGCCGTCGTTCATCAGACACCGGGTATCAGTTAACTATCTCCCGTCTTCACATGTGTATCTACTCCGTACAGCAGGATACACGGGACACAGCCGACAACTCACATAAAACAAAAACGAAGAGATTATCAGCAAAACAAATCACAGAGCACCGACTGCGGACTTCTCCCCGGGCAATCGCACATCCTCCCATCCACGCCCATCGCCCACACCAGCCACACTACCATGCCGTCGGACCCCCTTCCACTCAGTAACATTCATCCACCCAATCTGCTGCACGTCGCCAAAGCCCCCAATCCAGTATACCTGGGTGACCACCAGTCTAGCCCAGAAGCTCGCGTGCGGCGCAGCAGGTGCACCGGGTAACCAGTACTTCGCATCGGGATGTGACTGGAGGAAGCACTTCTCCAAGCTGGCGGCAGCAGCGCCCGATAGTTCGGGGAGGGTATCCAGGTATCCGAATAGAGTGAAGCGAGGCAGTGCGGCCGGACTGGGAGGGAGACCTGGATAAACGGCGCCCGCCTCGGAGAGATGGTCCCACCAGTCTATCTCCAAACTGAGGTTGGACCCGGCGCCGATATTCCTAAATGTTGTAGCGACGCGAAGCGCTAAGATGGTCGGGTCGCCGTTATCGCCGTGCGAGAGGTCCGCTGGTAAAACGCCGTCGCAGTCGGCGATATACTCGCGCAGGCCGATAGGCAAACCGGCGACCTCGGCGGGCGTGCGGGACGAGTCTGGGATGTGACTGGGGAAAGTGGTAGACATGACGCCGGATGGGGAGAGTGCCAGCAGACGGCGGGCCATCAGGGTAGAAGTGAACCATGACGGACGGGTGAAGCTATCCGCATCGATACTGTGGGGGTTGGTAGCATGGTCGGCGTAGTTCAAGACAACCTGGTCGTCGAGATGGGGAATGGCCGAGGCCGAGGTAAAAGTAGAAGAGCACAGGGCGAGAAGCCCAGTGGTAAAAGGTCGAAAGATCATTTTCAAGGCTGGGTATATCCAACAGCTCTAAACAAGGCTGATCAGGCGTCTTGCAAGAGTGCCAAAGAGTCGGAGTGTTCCGTGTAGAGGGTTAAGAAGTAAAGTGGACGAAGAGGGGAAAGTGCGGAGAAAATGGCGGACCGGCAGTTGCATGCATCATCTGATCTTATCTGATGGTCCGATGGCCTCTCTGGTGGTCCGCAAGCTTTTCATCTGATCACACTTTATGCTCCTACACTTTACCACTTTGATCGTGAATTGGGTTTTGGGGGGATACAGCTAGACTACTAGTGCCTCGTGGTGTAGTTTAAAGGAATGTCCAAGTCCGCACGTCATAGATGTGCGTGCAACTCTTTCGGTAGGTTGAGGACTCACACAAGCTAGAATAATAGATAGACGCGATGCATGATGTTTTAATACTGGAGCACGCCTGTATTTCTAACCCTAATTAATGCTCTCAGCTGTAAATTATAGTGTTGTCTGGTATTATCCAACGAAGCTGGAAGGCATGTCAGTCCATCTCTGCACTCCGTACACTATTCCCACATGACCAGCCGAATCTTCTCCTACCGATATTCGGCAGTCCTAATTCTAGGCTTCGACACCAGAAATAAAAGCGCCTTCTGCAGATGTATCATCTATCCAAAAACTATCCATAGAACCGAGCTTAAGCTCGGAGATCCCGAAGCTAGCTCATCTCCAAAGATGCGGAGAAGACCCGTGCCACCGCCACCGCCACCGCCACAACCGACACCTGCGCCACCCGGTGCCGCCGAAACCGGACGTGGGCGCAAATCGGAGCGCGTGAGGCACGAGTCTATGACAGGCTACAACCGAGAGGCACAGCCCAAGCCAAGCCAAGCCGCACTGTAAGCGCTGGTAGCAGCCTACGAATCTACCCGCATTACGAGAAAGAGAAAGAAAAAAGGACCAAGATCTTCCGATCAAGTAAATGTACGATTGGCTATCCGTAGATGCGAACCTTTCCGCCCAGACGCCGAATCCCCCGATGATGCCCACATGGTGCCATGCAACCGACAGCGCCAAGTAGATGGTATAGGACACACGAGTGCAGCCTCTGCACTGTGCTCCATCCGAAGAAACAGCGGGATGTCAAGGTAGATAGGTGATGTGGTAGGTAGGAGGTAGTAGGAGCCCCAGAAGTAATAGGGTGTGTGTAATAGAGGTAGTAGCGACAGAGAAAAAAAGAGTAACGAACCGTCCCATGCCCACCACACTCCGTGCAACGAAACAAAAAAAAAGAGAAAAGAAACGCAGAGGAAAGAGGATGACGAGGGCAAGGAACCACGTGCATCGTACACTTGCAAGACCATTTTTGGTGGTAGCTTGCGCGACGACTGAGCTTTAGAACCCGGATTGAGTAAAAAAACGGGCGAGTGTATATACAATAGGAGGTCAACCCGGGACTCAGTCGTCAAAAGGAGAGAGAGGGAGGGGGTAAGGATAGGATAGTAGGGGAAAACGGGGGAGGGGAATCATCCGAAAAAACCACGAGGCTTTTGGCGAAACAATCAAGAAGAAAAAAGACGGGCTTTTTCTAATCCTCAAAAACAAAAGGAAAATCCAGAATCACCAGTCCCGTTTTAGTTCAGATAGTCTGCGCGGATGCTCGGGTTGAGCGCAACCTTGCGCACCTCGCTGCCACAGCAGGCCCGTTTCATGCCAGCAGGACCTGAAACCGAGGATCCGCCCGAAACCAGGAACGAGTTGGCCAACTGCCCATCGGGGAGAACAGACGCAGGAACGCCAGAGGCGCCCGCATCGATCAAATGGCGAACGTGGTTCTGGAGAAGCAGATCGTCGGAGCCAGTACGACCGCGCTTGCGACACTGGCGACGCTCAGGAGTAGCACCCGACAACTCGCAGAGGCTCTGGGCAGCTTCGCTCAGGCTAGAGTCCAGAGCAAAAGTGGACAAGTCCGGCGCAGAGCCCATCGCAGCTGGGTAGTTGGGAGAACTGTAGAGGTCGGCCAGGGAGGACTCGTCGATTGGGGAGGCAATCGCCAGAGTCTTGCGACTCTCCTTGAGAGAGTTGTTGGTGCAACGCAAGGTGGCCGTCACGGCCAGGCGAGAGGGAGCTGGGGCACCGGCACCCGAGGCGCTGGACGAGACCGACGAGGATCGCGAAGAACGCGACGACAAAGTCGACACATCCGACACCATCGAGTCGGGAGACGAGGCCGACGAGGCCGACGAGGTCGAGCGAGCCAGAGAAGACCGACGGACCGCGGCCGGATAACCATCATACGACGGAGCCCGAGGACAGAATGAGAGCGGCGGGCGCTGATCAAGAGTCGAGCGCGCCATTCCCAAATTCTGGGCCTGAGACATCGCAGTACCAATAGACGGACGGCGGGGGCCACATGCTGTGACACTCGCAGCAGGAGTGCACGCAACATGCGACTGAGGGGTCATCTGGGGCGTGGGAAGCATCTGAGGGCGGGTCATCGTCGGCATTGGCAGGTGTGCGTACTCCAGCCGAGGCGTAGGCTCCATCGTCCGGGACAGGCTGCGCGGGCAAGTGGGAGTCTGTTCACACGACAAGGAGCGAATCGACTCGATGCTCGGAGCACTGCGGGGCGAGGGAGAGTCCGCCAGACCCAGGTCCATACTACCCATCGAGACGGGAGTCATCGGCTCGAGATCGAGAGACTCGAGGTCGGGAGTGAGACGAGGCAGGACGGTGCGCCAGCACTGTCCCTCACTGACTGGGAGGCCACCAGCACCGGGGGTCAACTTCAACACGAGGTCGGTCCAGCGCTGGAAGGTAGCTTCCGAGATGTGCAGGCGCCATCCGACCGCCTCGAGGAACATCAACTCATTCTGGTTGATCTCCAACGTGTTCAGACCCGAGATCTTGCTCCACGCGCGGGCGGAGTAGTTGCGATCTTGGAGATACTTGGAGGCGAGGATGAGGGCGGCCAAGAACATGCGCCGACCACACTGCATCGCCCGCATACACGGCTGATTCCGAGGCTGCTCCTTGGTGAAGTCGTGCGAGGGCACATGGGCCTTAATCTTAATCAAATAATATAAAGCCACCTGCAGGGTGGAGTAGCTAGTACGTGAACGACGCAGCGTTTCCTGAATGAAGGTCCGCAGGGGCAGAACCCCCTTGGCACCCGTCGCGGCATCACTTCGGGATGCGGCAGCGGACAGTGGCCAGATGTTTTCAACGATTTGCGACGCCGTATCTTCACAAGACGAGAAGAAAAAGAAACCAATTTAGCCGGATGTGGGGACAAGGGGAAAAGAAGTGGTGAAAGGGGGGCTTCCGACAATCAGACTTACCGACGAGGTTATCGACGAAATTCACTTTCCGCTCGGACTGCCGGAGCAGACATGGCGGAGGCCGCGCCGCGGAACCGTTGGTCGCGACGCTGGTGCGCCGAGGATGCCTGCGCATCTCGGCCGGCACGGCGCCATCAAGCTGGGGAGCCGCAGCTCCCTTTGTAAAAGCACGAGGGCATGTGCCCACGGGTCTCCCCAGTGTCTCGCCCTCATTCTCCCAGATCACGTCGACGGGGTTTGTTGCGGTAGACGAGACCGAACTCTGTGAGACATCGAGCGAAAAGACCGAGGAGGACGAGGAGGAGGCGGAGGAGGCGAGGGAGGAAGGGTAAGGGTGCGCATGAGGCGCTTTCGAGCTTGGGTTCGAGATGTGTAAACCCAAGACGTCCATCCCCGACATATCCGGAAGCGTAGAGGGGTTCATAGAGACGACTGATCAAGCCAGTAAAGGGTGGCTCAGTCACCGCTCAAGAGATTTTTTTTTCTCGCGACCGAAAAGGGTTATAGTGAGGGATGATCCGATTTGGAACCGTAGTTTTGTCAAAGATACCGTGTAGCAGGGAACCGGGAACGAAGGCCGAAGAGACAGAAGCCGTCTTTTTGCGGGAGGCGACGGCAAAGCCTTTTAGAAGGTGCAGATCGCCAGGTTGACGAGAAGATATTAAATAAAAAAGGGAAGAGACCACCGAGACGCGGCTGACTTGTTGACAGTCCGCGACGAGGTGGCGGAAAAGTGGTTTGTGTTGGTGGTGGGGTGGGGAGGTGAGTGAAGTTGTTTAAGACGGTTGGAAAAGAGTCACGTCCGGAAGCAGGAACAGGTGTCAGGGAGGATATCAAGGTAGAAGAACAAAGGACAAGGGGGGGAATCAAAGGAGGCAAAAAAAAAAAAAGGAAGAATACGAGTCAAACGGCTAGAGGTGAAGCAGTAGAGGTTGTAGAACAAAGAGTCACAGGCGAACCGATCGCGGTGTTGCGGCTATAATCCTGTGGCAAAGCTGGGGGGATGACTCGGAAAATCCAGAGATTTAGAGGCAGACGGGACCAGCGATGACGGAAACAAGATCGATAGCGGCAACACGGGCGATCGGGTGGGAAGAGGCAGTATACATTTTGATATTGAGGCTCGAAGGGAGAAGGGTTCAGGGCAGAGATGTCAAGGCACCTAAGCGTCCATGAACAGGCAGTCGAGGGATCGTGACTGCTTCAGGACTTAGGGACCAGGCAGGCGGGATGGGGGCGAGAACTGGGCTTGGGCGGGTTAGGCGTTAGGCGGCAGTTCAGAGAAGGAGCAGAGAGAGAGAGAGAGAGAAAGAGAGTCAGAGGAAAGGGAGGCGAAGTGAAAGTCGAAATCGGGAGGTCAGGGAAAGGAGAAAAGAGTCAGGAGGGCGAATGGAGGTTTTTTTTAGGCGTTCACCACTTGGGTATGACTCGACTCTTTTGGGGGGGGGGAAGGGAGGAGAAGAGTGGATGTGGATGTGGATGTGGATGTGGATGTGGTTCCGAAGTTGACTAAGAGGGGGGGGGGGGGGGGAAAAGACAGCAGGCAGAGAGAGAGAGAGAGAGAGAGAGGAGAGGCGAAAGTTGGGAAGAGGGAAAGGTTGGAAAAGTGGAGACGATGGGCCGAGAGACTCCCAGTCAGGTACTTTGCCGGAGAGGACGAGAAGGACCAAGAGTCACGCCGTGTGGCAAAGCAACCAGGTGGCGGGTTCGGGTGCAGACTCTGCGATGGGCCGGATGCAGCCGGGTGACTCAGACGAGCGTCCACCAGTAACTAGTGACCGTAACTCGTTCCTCCTCAGAGAGAAAACAGCGAGAAGAGTATCCGAATTCCCGGTATCACGATGAGACCTTATACCATCTATTATCATCACAGTATCTCCAAGATAGATCTGATAGACGATGAGGATGCTTGTCCTCCGTACTCCGTACTTTGGCGAGGATCCTAAAGTACCCGATCCCGAGTGGACGTGGGTACTCATCTGGTCCTCGCCTGATTGGCCAGCCCCTCTCCCGCTTGAGTCATAACTCGTCCCCCCGCCAGGGCTGTGAATAAAGGTGAATAAAATTGATAACCATGAATCATAAGAATGGATTCCATGCGGCCGCCTCCACCCCCTCGGCCTAGCCTTGCCACGCTGTTCTCTCGTCCCCCTCCCCCCGGCCAATCCACGCCCGATCGTTCTTCATTTGCCCCCACGGACCCTCCGATTATCTTCTCTTTCATTGGTTCTGGACGCTGGACGATTGCCTGGCCAGTGGCCCATCTGGCCAGTTGGGCTTCTATTCCAAGCCATCACTGCCCAGTTGCAAGATGGCTTAGGCCCTGCCCTCCGATCGGCACTCGCACTGCGAGTCACTCTGCCACCGAGGTCTGATCAACTTTGAGCGCAGCCACAGAGAGGAAATAATTATAGCCGTCCAGTGCCCGGTACGGAGTATACATAGACCGAAAGGAAAGAACCAGCGGAGAGAGGTTGGGGAGACAGGCAGACCTGCAGACAGGACCTGAACTAACTAGTTACTCAGAACCTACTGTAGAGTACATAGTCAACGCCAGGTGTAAACTGCCGCGATCGCAGGGTGGAGAAACTACGGAGTACTAAGCTCCCTGCTCCAGAGTCCATAGTCCATACACTCGATATACTCCATCTGCTCCATGACCCATCCACTCCAGCCTTCTCTTCCCAAACAGTCCTAGTTCATGGGAAAGAGTATCATAGACTGGAGGTAGGGCTATGCCAGCCATAAGTTTGTACGAACCAGACCCTGGCCAATACCCTGACCAATACCCAGTATCCTCGACAAACCAAATGTGATGAATAATCTATATCCCTGTCTCTTAATTTATCCTCGGGGCGCTTATGTTATTCTTAGCAACCAGCTGGAAGAAAAAAGACAAAAGGTGCACAGATGCGCCAGCTGAAATCACCTCGTATTCCACCAAACGCCCGGCTCGGATTCTATGACCGGCAGGAAGCTTAATGTGATGATTGATGATGCTGACAATCAGAAATAAGAATCAGACCAGAAAGTATGATTTGCCCTCTTAAGGAAAATCGCTAAACCGACACCCCGAAATTGCGATGATCGTTGAGCCTCGAGGGGGTTAGGGGTATAGTAGAGTTCCATAAGTTTAATCGTATTAGTTATACATACAGGATAAAAGGCCTTTCAAACGAATAAAGTATTGGAGCATACTGAGATGGACATGGTTCTTGGTCTCTAGATTCAGACCTTTGAATTGTCACTGTTCTAGAAGATAGATAGTAAAACAATTACAGCGCAACGCTAGATTGGAAATTGGGGGGGGGGGGAACGTTCTAGCAATTCTCCCTCATTAGAAATCTGATCTCATCAACTTTGTTTTCCTATCTACACAACGGGAAATAATATCATATCTCCATGAAATCGACAAGCCAAATGACGAGATCGGCAAAACGCCGGCATCGGCTCACCCCCCACACCTCAAGTCACGAGGCCACTCCAACAAGTACATACTCTCGGTAAGATAGAACACCATGGAACTCGTCTCTATCAAAGAACCTAATCAATAATATCATCAGATCCTCTTTCCATAGCCATCCAATACTGTATGACTCATTCCCCCTCTCCCAAGTGCCACATACTGAACCCCCCTCCATGATCATTCTACAACTCTGCCAGAGCCTCCTGGAGAACGGTCACTAGCCCCGCCACCTCCGCCTCTGTTGCCTATTAGCGGCCCCATTCATCAAGATCACCCAATCCACAAGATGCGCGTAGCATGCCTGAGCCTCATGCCAAGACCCATGCCCGCCATAGTCATACAACAATCAAGGAACAGGCAAGAGAATCATCTGACTTACCAGTATTATAATGCAAAAGACTCACTCGCACCACCCCATCGTCCACATCATCCAATCCACACACATCCTTCAACAACCGATGACTATACATATGCCCACTGCGAAACCCATACGCAGACCGCGCCTCAACCGCCTCAACCAACGTCTGACTCTTCACCCCTCGCACAACAAAACTAATCACCGGCACCCGTAGCTCCTGCCTAGCCGACGGTTCTCCGATGATCGTGACCCGGTCATCCGCCGCCAGGAACTGTAACAAGATCCCCTGCAGCCGCTCCTCATGCGCAACCATGCCCTCCCACGTTGCACCAGGATCAGCGCCAAAGTACGCCACGACGGCAGGAATGCTCTGGGTAAGCTCGTAGTTGGCCGAGGACAGGTTGAGTTTCAAGTCTAGCGTGTCGGTGGGTTTGAAAAAGTGTGCTAGCGAGTCGATTTGGTCGTGGATACGCGACGAGGCGTATAGTTGTGCCAAGTGGGGGCCGTACACCTTGTACCACGAGAATGCCTGCCAAGCCGTGAGTAAAAAGAGCCTCATGATGGGTGGAGTATGAGTCAGGTCGTGTCTGAGGCGGGTGAGACTTACGTAGAAATCTACGCCGAGGGCGTGGACGTCGACTTGGCGGTGCGGTGCGAGAGCGACACCGTCGACGCAGAGGAGTGCCTAGTTGAAGAAGGTCATGCGTTAGTGAAGAAGTCTTCCAGGGTAGATGCCAGGGATATACTGACTCGGGGATGAGCATGGACGGCATCGGCAATCTCCCGAATAGGGCTGACAGTGCCTGTGATATTTGAAGCATGCGGGCAAGAAACCAATCTGGTCTTGTCTGTCAAGAGGGTCTTCAAATCGGCCACATCACAGGTAGGATTCTTGGGGTCGGATGATGCCCACCACTTCACGGTCAAACCGAGGCGTTCGGCGATGCGCACCCAGGGCGCACTGTTAGCCTCGTGGTTTAGCTTGGATATGATGAGCTCATCGCCAGGCTGGAACTGGAGTGCTGTGGAGAGGTTGTGTAACAGCTGAGTGGTGGAGACTCCAATGCTGATCTATGAAGTTTAAGATACGCGGTGCTTATACAGTATGCGCATGGGGGAAAGGGTGTAGATAGCGTACCTCTTCAGGCTGTGCATTGATAAAGCCCGCGGCAACTTTGTATGCATTTTCAAAGGTTGCAGTCGAAGTCTTGGATGTCTCGTACGTGGCACCAAGCTGGACATTGGTATTCAGCAAGTAGGAGCGAATACTACTCGATGTTAGTTACAGTCCACTCGATATATCTGATCTGGTCCAATAGACTCACGAGTCTGCAACGGTGCCAAGGACCTGACTTCCCCCTGGAGCATTATCAGTATAATAGTCGACGAAATCTTTTAACTTTATGTCTGCGGATGCTCTCCTAGGTACCTGCATTGTCCATGTAAATCTGCTCTCCTTGCAGAGCCGGAAAGGCCGCCCTCGCAGCAGCCACATCAACAGTAGACGCCATTCTTAAGATAGATCGGTTTCCAATATACTAATAGTCCTGAGAATAAGAGAATTGGTTCCAAGGTTGGAGGGAGTTGTAAAGTCGCATGGAAGAAGCCGATGTCACCTCCAAGGAGAGGGGTAGGTGGATCTCACTTGATACCGGATTTGTTCCGGTGGAGGTTCGTGCTTTATGCCTCGATTTCGCGTTGAATATGAAAGCGAACGCATAGCTAGGAAAAGGGGATCAGCTTGGATAGATCAACGGGTAACTGATGCTCTTCTCTTGTGAAAACTCAAATAGATAGATTGCCTGGACGTTTTGTATCACCTGTGTATGGGGCTCTTCCTTGCCAGTTGTAAGTTCGGGCGGAGCTCCGGGGAGCCTAGATGGAAATATATAGCACAAGCTGACTCCAACCCAATAATGTAGGCGATCCAGAAGCAATTCACATGTAGCGGTATAGAAGATGGAATGCAAATGAAAACCAAATCAACTCATAAATGCTACGAAAATCTTGCATCGACCGGGTATATGCCATAATAAGCTCAAGACAAGCAACACACAATAAAAACACAACCCGAAGAGCGCACCCACAAGACACCAAAGCATCAATCCACCATAGCCCCCCCCCCAAAAAGCAAATAGACTCAATGTGAAAAAATTGCAAGAATCTATTTACCGCGACGACCGAGCACCCCCAGCGCCAGGACCACCACCTCCATGCGCGGCATCATGCACCACACACAGAAGATACTTGCGATCCGGCACGACAACAATCTCATGTTTCCTCGTACGCATACGCAACAACTTAACTTCACCTTCCTCCTCCCGATCTCGACCCCCTGTCCATCCTGATCTTCTTCTCGCGGCGGGGTCGAACCCGTCCCATTCTCATAGCTCCCATACTCCCCATCCAATCCGCTCGAAGAATGGCCATTAGCACTGTTCTGCGAGGTAAGAGGTCGAGCCAGCGAGACGCCTAGTGCAGAAGCGCTGGAGACAAAATTGAAGATGTGGGCGGCTAGCGCCTCTGCCTGCGAGGGTTGATACGTGGTTGGTGTGGTGGAGGTTGGGGTGGCCGGGGACGAGTCGGAGGGCTGTGTTGTCTGGGTCTGGTCGGTGGTGGATGAGGCGGGTGGTGTAGTTCGAGAAGGAGTGTTCTCTTGAGCGGCGAGTTGCCCTGTGGTTTGGATGATGGAGCCGTCTTTGCGGGAGAGGATCAGGGTTGATTGTACTCCTGGGCGGGAGGTGAGGTGGGATAGGAGGGCAGTGACATGTTGGGGCACTTGCTGTGTGCGCTGCTTCTGAGGGTTAGTCCGGGGATATCATTGCAAGTTGGGTACTGGGCATACCTGTGGTGGGTTGGCCATGTTGGGCTGCGGGGAATGTTGAAGCTGTGAAGAGGCGGGCGTGGACGGTGGAGATGAGGAGTTACAGGGAGGTGTGCAATGATGAGGATTAGCAAGATATGGCGCAACTCGTAAACCCTGAATAATAGATGATTTTGTCCTTTTGTCCTTCTAGGCCTGCGCCGGGCAGTCAGGAGGAATCAATTAAGTTCGTAGGTTATCGAACAAAAGACGCACTCCGAGCCCAGCGGGAGCTCTCGACGACCCAAACAGAGATGACTAAGCGGATCACATGGGGTTCCAAGGTTGGGTGCCTTCTGGAAGGTTTCTGGTTTGGGATTTAAGATTTCTACATGCAAAAGTACCGTGAACTTTTGTTTTGCTCTTCTATTTCTACAGAAAATTCAAGAAGACTGTTTTTTCTTACGCCTATTGAGAAAAGGCCGAATGCTAGTGGGATGACAGACAGGCAGGAACTGGGAATAAATCAGATGAAAAAGAATCAATGACAAAATTGAGTAAAGAATGGTATCGTCGAAAAAGATGGTGAGCACGATTAAATCCCAAGAAAAGAGGATCAAAAGAAAGTAAAAGAAAAGCCACCAAAGATCGCCAAAGTTCCCAAGGATCGTATGATATCATAATCCAGAATTGAAAAAGAACGAACAAGAGGACCAACGAATGGACCTCAGCGAACATGAAAGAATAACCACATCAATGATTTCTCGCCATCCGGGCACCGCTCATACTCGACTTATCCGACATCCATCCCCCACCCTCGATATCCTCAATCATGCCATCCAACTGTCGCACATGAGGCCGACCCTCACGATACGACCCGGGTGTCTCAAAGCCACCATTCTCACTGCTATGCGAAGAGCTAACCCAGCTCTCCGGACGCGGTGTGAACCGACTCTGATACGTACTTGCATGACCTGGATGAGCAAAGCCAGGGGGTAGAGCAGAGTCACCCAGACCCTCGAAGGGATTCTTGACGCCGGCGTTGAGGGCGGCGAGCAGAGCTGCCTGGAGGATTTGGTTTTGGCGTTCGAGGTTGGCGACTCGGTCTTCGAGGTAGTGAGCCATCTGGGTGGCGTTTGGTTGAGTGCGCTGGGCGCTGTGTGAGTCATGAGAGCGATTTATAGATTGGGAGTAAGTAGACTGGGGAGACATAGGGCTCTTTTCCAGAGTGCGACTGCTGCGGCCATGGGGTGTTTGAGACCGGACTGAGTGAGGATAGCGAAGGTGGCCGTGGCTGGAACGTGTATCCAGTGTTTCGTAACCTCGGCGTAGCGGGTGAGCACGTCTGGGTTGCTTCTCGGCCATGCGATGAGACCGTGTGCTCTCGGTACCGGGACCAAAGCCCTCATCATCCGAGGACGGGAGTGGAGACTCGCAGCGACTCGGCTCAGAGGACTCGGGAATGCTCTCATGGCGCAGACTGCTATGAGAGCTGTTGCTTCGGGAGATCATAGAGGCCCTGTGGTGACCTGCAGCGAAGTGGGCGTCCATGCCCTTTGCATAATGCACAGTCGCGGGTATGGGAGCACTATAGTTGCGATTCCCATGAGGACGTTCAGGAAGGGGTTGTGTCGGGGGATCAGAGGGAAGTACTGCAGTAGGTGGTGGCGAAGGCAATCCGAAGGGAAGGTTGTTGCGATCCACGCGAGGATCAATTCGTAATGGTTGACGCGTAGCACGCTTTTCATGAACCTTTGCTGGAGTCATTTGTCCCAGAAGAGGAGAGTCGGCTAAGGGTGAGCCTTCAGGTTCATTGTGACCAGGACTTTCTGGCAAATCCTCCATCCGTGGAATACGGATGCTTGAAGCACGTCTCCGTGGCGTGTTCTGCTCCGGCGATGTTGATTTAGGACGTTCGGGAGTGTGAATGGATTTGACACTGTCATGGTCGGCTTCCAAATCTGCCTCGCCTACGTACCCAAGTGCAGTTGCTGGACGGGTATCTATAGGAGGATCACTGGGTTTGGTCTCGTCTGGCCCCGGCTCAGAAGGATCCTCCGCGATACGCGAAGGGTGCGAGGGTTGAATGTCTGGGACCTTGAGAGTAGAGCGAACGGTGCGAACAGTTGCATGAGCTTTGGCATCTGGAACAGCCGGGGGTGCATGCGCAGGTTCTGGGATCGATGGCAAAGGCCTCGTAGGTGCTGGAAGAGGGAAGGCCTGGAGGGTTCCCATAGCCAGCGACGGCGGTCGAGCCTTGGTCTTGAACTGTGTGGAAACCTTTGAATTGCTGATTTCAGCGGTAGCAGACTCTGTAGAGACTGCAGACGTTGCGGTAGCCCCAGAGCAGTGTCGCTCTCCTTCGTCTCGTGAGGTTCTCGAAGCGACATCCAATTGTTTCAATTTTGCGGACCTGGCATCTAAAGTCCCAGGAGACTCTGTGCTAGTCACTGACAGCGGATTAGGCGGCCGTTGGTATTGAGGCACCGACGAAATTCTCCATGCATTCTTGCTGGACATGCGTGGCGGTGCGACATCAGGGAAGAGCTTCAATGAGGGCTGTGAAGAAGGACTTCCACATGAGCTTGAAGTAGATTTGTCTGAAGCCTGGGTAGACTGCTCAGCAGGTTCAGCAGACTGGTCAGACTTCAAGTTACTCATTGCAGATGAACTGGAAGCTGCCGGTGTAGTCTCACTGACAGGCTTGACGCTGGGGCCTTGACTTGAAGGCTTGGTATCGGGGCCCACGATACGCATGTTTGAATTGCTTGCACAGGGTGGTTGTCGACCATGGTCATCCTGTGAGATACTTCCCTGGGTCCCAGCTGTGGACGTGGGTGGAGACGTTGGTCTATCACTGTCTGAGCGGGAATGTGAAGAGGAGCTTGCCAGAGGGAGTGCCGGTGACGATTGTGAGGCGCCATTCTGACCACTCCGAGACGCGACACCACTCGAAGATGGTGGTTGATATGGCGGGGGCGAGGCATCATCGAACTGCGTTGACAGCGACACAGCCACATCGACCATGGAGCCAAAATCGCTGAGATCCAGGGAGGCAAGACGGCGTTTGAAATCGAAAGGCCCTTTTTTGGTATCGTTCTCCAGCCATGGCTGTCCGATGGTCTCGACGTCCTGCTTCTTGGACTTGGAGAATGTCCTTTCCAGGCTGTTTTTCGAACTGATGCTGGTTTTGGCCGAATGGTTGCTTTTGGGCTTTGGAGCTGCAAGGAGGTAACCCTCCCTTTGGAGGGCCTCGATCTGGCGCTGGTTATCATCCACCTTGGATTTGGATGATGGATCCTTTTTCTGACGTTGAGTGAATTGCAAAAGGCGGCGATGTAGTGGTTTCACTTCCTTTGCCATTCCTGATTGGGTTCCCTTTAGCTCCATAGATTCAGTTACGACAGGCAACGCTGTAGTGCTATCCGGCGAGGTAGGTGTTTTTATGGAGGAAGGGCCCGGTGTAGGCGCATTTTGAGTGCTTTGAAAGAAGCGCACAAGGTCTGAAAGGTTCTCATTTCGAGATGGTCTCTCTGCCATCCCCGCTGAGCGAGCCTGTGGCCGTGGAGGCGACACCTGTGGCCGGGGAATTGCCGACCCTCTTGGCGGGGTCGAGCCCGCAGACCCAGAGACCGAAGAAGGCATACTGGATTGCCGGCGTTTGGACTTGGATGGGAGTGGATCGGGCCGGTAGGTTGGGACTATTGGACTTGGTGCAACGGCACTATCATGTGTTGTGTCCCAATGATGCATAGGGGCATCAATTGGTTGGTCTTCCAATCGATCCGTTCGTATTCATAAGGGGTCTTCCTTTGGTTGTTCGACTTTTGGGAAGCTTTGGTTTCAATGGCTCAACAGGAGTAGACACTGTGGCATGTTAGAAGGATCATCCTGACGGACATACTTTGACGACCAGCTCACCAATTCACAGAAAAAAGAGTCCATAAATAGCAGGCAACGGAGAAGATCCGGGGGGGGGGTATAAAGGCAAGGAACGAAAGCAGGGACGAATGGACAGGTCGTATTTACGAAGAGAAGCCAGTATGTACAGGGTGAACGGCGTGGCAGTCTTTGGAGCAAATGAGCACGGAAAAAAAAAGAGTGGAGTGGAAAACCAGCGGAGACGAGGCAACCAGAAGAAGAGAACACACACTGCCAAGTGGCAAGGAGGGAATCCCAGTTTTTAAGAGCATAGGCAGCTGGTCAGGAGTTGAGCTGTCGCATCAACCCTGGCCAGAGGGAGGGGGCAGCCAACGCAACGCTATCCTGGGTTCGTCGATCCAGATGCATGAAGATTGTAGATTGGGCCCGCCCTCAGCAAGCAGATAGCCTGGAAAGGGCACAGCTACGGCTGAAGCTAAAATGATTATTCGTTCCAGGACCGGGGGGAGAGGGAGGACAATGCATGGTTCACTGAAGGGGTTCGTTCTCGAGGAACCTTCGAGCCGAGCCCAGTTGTCTGGGAAGAACCTAACTGTATGGGCGGTCATGGCTCTACCACGACAAAAAAGTCCGACTCAAACCGAACTCATAACACACGCCGTTGGTTCGAGATTCTGATGGTGGATGGCGGCAACTCGACACCGATTTGCAATATGACACAGCAGCTGGTGGAGTTGGCAAACTATTTCGGCCTCGCCCGGGTTCCGGCGCCTCCAGCTGCAGGCGATAATTGGGCTCTGGCGGGTCTGGCGGAGACGGGAAAGATCAGATTGTACAGTAGCTCGAGGACTACTGCAGCACATCATTGCATTCTGATTGCCGTTCGAGTCCTTGTTGTGCACCCAGCTCACGCATGGCGACAGTCAGGTTGGCGCCCGCAGGAGGGCTGCACGACCAGAGGCCAAAAAGGAGGAGAAGCGTGCTGTTCCCCAGTTTTCCTCCTTCGTTACGCTGCGCAAGGGATAGACCTTTTTTCAGGATACCCAGTCAATCCAACCGACCCGACAAACTGGACGAGCTGGGCCCCGCGTCGAGGTGAGAAAGTCTAAACGACGTCAGGATGTGAGGTATCAGACTCCACTTTATCGGGGGGAGTGGACGCGGGCGCGGCGATCCAGTCGATCCTCAATTGAATCGTAGTTGATCCGAGCTCAGGTTCAGGGATCCCAGGGCCGGGAGCAGACAGAGACGATCACTGCAAAAGGAGTCGCAGCTGGGGACCGTTTGTGGAGGTTGAGTTTTGACAGAAGAGGATGAGGGGGAGAGGGAGGTTGCTGGTCAGCAATGATGAATGCAATGGATGTACAATACGGAGTACTTGGGAGACGATCGATCTATCATCTCTCGATTCTCGATTATCGACTTCCCCACCGCCCTTGCAGTCGATCCTGCTATTCCTGACATCAGATGGGACAGTAGTGTGCCTCTAGAGTGTGCCGCTAGTGGACTAAAAGAAGCACTGTTAGCAATGACCCATCTGTAGTTCCCGCCCTTCATGAGAGTCCCTCACTGTGGTCTCGCTTTTTATTCTCCGGACCTGCCGAAGTCCATCGTTTAGTCTGCAGGATCTGACAGTCTCATCTGCGTTGCTAGTCTCGGATCGTCTGCCGTTTTCTGCGATCGCAAACTGGAGCATACAGTAGAACGCCTCTCATGCGCCACAATCGAGCCAAAGGGGAGACGCGCATAACAAGGCAAACGGCGAGGAAATTATACAGCAAACATCGTAGAATCCTCCGAAAAGAAGGGCAATTCCAGAGACTACTCTTAGAGAGGTTCAGAGTTGAACATCTTCTACGGGAACACTGCCAATGTGGCAGTCAACCGGGTGGAAGTGGATATGGTAATAACCATTGATATTCGGATAATGTATGCTTTGCTGGTTGCAAGTCAATGCTTATGGGTACAAGATGAGATCTTAAACGTTCAATGATTCGTGAAAACGCCGGCGAATGCTGTGCAAAAGGGCCGAGAACCCTATCGACTCGATTTCATGACGAGTCCTGGGTAGATGAGCTCGGTCAATTCCATTCGCTGCCGAGGAAGCGAGAAAACAAAAACGGTTGGATCGTGTGATCGGGTGGTAATGTGACAGGGAGAGATCGTAGTGGAGATCATGGTGGAGATGGTGGACAGGAGAACCCGGAAGAGGGACCCGAAAAGAAACAAGGTTGAAGGCAAGCGAGGATCAAGGCTGGGTGAGGAATTTCATGGCGAGAAAGACGTGCCTGATCAATCGGGTGAGACACGGTGGCGCTCTACTTTGGTTTCGGTTTGGACCGCCGAATGAAAGGGTCTACCTCCTTCTTCTTGCGCATCATCGGGGGCAGCGGTTTGGGTGGAGCAGGACGGGAAGCCTAAGCGACGATGCAAAATAAGACGTGAGCGATCAATTCACCATTCGACGGCCAAAGACGACAGCTGTCGTTTCTTACCTCTGTACCATTTGAGCCAGTTGCCGAAGAACCACCACTGTTCGCTGACGGTTTGTTTGCGCCCGACCTCGGGGCGGAGATATTGCGCACAGGATTAACGAGGCCCTTAAATTAGTGTCAGCATCCACAAAATTGTATAGATCAGATATGTCAAAGATCAAGATCAAACTTACAGGTGGCAAGGCTCGCGGTGCCTTGGGCGCATTTGATGGTGGACCCGATGGACCGGTACGAGGCCGTGACGCCTTCGGCCCATCCGCGGGCTGCTCATTTCGCTTTCGCTTGCTACCAGTGTTCTCATTGGGGGCCGAAGATGAATTGGTGGTCACCGCGATGGTGGGAATCTTGGGATCATGGCCACCAATCTGGCGTTGGCGCTGACGCTCAGCATTTTGCTTTTGGTGCTCAAGACGACGACGCTCGTCATTGGCGATACGGGCCTTCTCGTGCTTGGGAAGCGGCTTGTTGACGCACTTGATAGCGGGATGACCTATCTGACCGCATTCGAGGCAGCGGATGGCAGGGCAGTTGAACTTGTTGTGACCAAATTCGCGGCATCGGTAACATTGGCCACGAGCGACCTCCTTGGCTTCTTTATTGTCGCAGTTGTGAGTGAAGTGCTCGTTGCTGCCACAAAGGCCACACATCTTGGTCTCGTCCAGACCCGCCGCACCACCAGAGGGACCATCAGGGAGAGGCGTTGGGGTGGAAAACTGCGCAGAGGCTACGACTGGCCGAGAGTCGGGGCCAGCCGACCCTGAGGAAGCTCGAGAGCCCGAGACTTTAGTAGACGGGTTGATGGGAGCGGGAACGGTTGACGCAGCAGGGGCCTCCGTAGTTGTAATCGGAGTAGCCACATCAACATCGACCATTTCAATGTCCTTGTAGCCCGTAAACTGAGGTCGCTCGAGAAGCTTCGGAATGTTGCCCTCGGTGTAGACATTACGCTCTCGCGCGTTTGTGATAAGACTTCTCCAGTATTGACCCTGCATCAGAGCTGCAGAGTTACCCAACACCCAGAGGGAGGATTTGGCACGGGTGAGACCGACGTTCATACGACGAATATCGGCCAAGAAACCGATACCATTGTTGGAAGCACGGACACAGGAGAAGATGATGACTTCACTCTCCCGACCCTGGAAGGCATCGGTTGTATTAAAGTCCACCTTCTTCAGAATCTCTTCGCCATATCTAGACGCAAACTGGGTTCTCAACTCACGCAACTGGCCCTTGTACGGAGTGATGATACCAATCTTGTTATCAAAGTCGTAGCCTTTGACATCTCCGACCAGCCGTTCGTACAATTGCAGAGCAACCTGAATCTCCGCAAAGTTGATCAGGGAGCGACCCTTGGGTGCACTGTGGTGCATACCCTGAACATCGAAAAACCGGTACGGGCTGAGCAGTTCGCTCTGGTGCCACGGGCGAACGCGAAGTTTTCCCATATCGGGACCATCCTGGAGCTTGCCATCATAGAAGGTGAGGCTGGGGAAGGCACTGATGTCAGGATGCATACGGTACTGAACGTCCAGCAGGTGCACGTCCTTCGGGAAATTCTTCTGCATACGCACGAACAAACTCTGCTCGTATTGGAACTTCGATGCCATCTTCGACAGGACGGTAGGTGGCAACTGCTTAGGGTCACCAACAAGGATACACTTGGAGCAACCGTATTTGAGCGGGATGAGGGCACTCAGCTCAATACATTGAGCCGCCTCGTCAATGATGACTGTCTCAAACTCAACGTTCATGCCCAGGAAAATCTCGTGTCCTGAACCACTCAGAGTGGTGCAGATGACATGAGCACCGTCGATGACCTCCTGCTGAATTCGTCGCTTCTGCATGTCCGCATTGCGGGCCAGGGTGGAGACTTGATCGCGGGCTTTGTCAATGTCCGCGCTCAGTTGAGTTCGCTTCTTCTTCATCAACTCAAACCCGCGTTCCAGCTCTTCGGGGGCTTGGATTCCCTTTGCTCGGCAATCGTCAAGGCTGGCTCGAAGTTCTTTAAACTGAGTGTCGGTCTTCTTGTGCTCGTCGTAAAACTTTTGCATATCCACGTTGTTTGATGCAGAAGGGCTTTGACTGATACGGGCATTGACCATTTCGTCAAGGGTCACATCAAGAACCTTGGCATTGATGGCATCACTTCTTCCCAAACGAACAACCGAGATTTTTTCTAGGCGGCCATGACGAGTCTTCACGCCGTCCTTCATTCGCATAACCAGTTCGTCAACAGCAGCATTACTGGGTGCGCACACCAGCACTTTCCTGGAAGTCGCAGGTTTGTGGTTTCCGATGGAGACTGCAACCTTGCTGAGGGCATTTGTCAGGAGACTGCCAACGAGCGCGGTGATAGTTTTAGTTTTTCCGGAACCGGGAGGACCTTGAATGAGGGTGAAAGCATCGTTGTCCATGGCGGACTTGATGGCTTTGGCTTGGGCGCGATTGATCTCGTAATTGTCCATGTATGGCTGCAAAGTGGAATCCCCGTACGTGAGAAGTGGCGACGGCTTGGCAACCACAATCTCCTCGCAAAGATCATAGTATTCCAAGGCCATCAATGCACCGTACTCACGCTCGACCGGGATCAATGAGGTGACCTTGACTCCGAAGGCGGTTGAACCGACACTAAACGACTGAAGGAACTTGTTGGGTCCAGGATTCATGCGGTAGGTGACCTCCATTTTTCCGCCTTTACGATTCACATGGGCGACCCGTGCAAGGATATGAGGGGCAGTCTCGTTCTCGTGGGGCTTTGCGGCGTTGGAGAACAGGACCAGATCGCCTTCACTAATGAAGAAGTCCTTCGAAGGCAGCCCGAGAGGCAGGGTACTGACTTCGATCCATGAATCCACGGTCAAGCGAGTCATCACCTTGACCTCAAAGGGCCGGAATGAGGAGGCGCCTTCTTCTTTGGCTGACTGGAACCCTTGCCAGGCCTCGAGAATCAACAGGGGCTCGAATGTGTTCTTGTATTCCACGGGAGAACGGAACGAATTGGAGACAAGGGTGTAATCCGTGCGATCCGAGGTAGATGGGGTATCACCAGTTGCGAAGTAATTCCAGGAAAGAATCTTGTGATGCAAGGACGAAAGATCCGGTGACAGACGGGCACGCATATCCTTCATGGACCGGTTGCGCTTGACCTTCCTTAGGGGCATCTGCTGGGGGAGCTTCTTCTTCTGCTCAGAGGTGTCCGCGGAATCGGACTTCTTGGGCTTTGCGCCGAACAACTCCTGATCTAGTTCATCTTCACTTTCAGTATCGCTGTCCGAGCCAGACGAAACCATCATACTGTCCAGGGGAATGGAATGGTCTTTACCCTTCACACCAATACCTTTGAGGCCAGAGCCCTGCTCTGCCGTTTGTTCCGCAACCCCACGCAGAGGCATATTCTTCTTGAGTTTTGCCAACTCTGCCATGTCCCGTTTCCTCTTGGCCTCTTTCTCTCGCTCGCGCTTCTCGCGGAAGGACAGGACGCTGGTAGCATCATTCTTGAGACGTTGGGCCATGGGTCCCTTGGCAAACCCAGGCCGCGCCTGAAGTGCAGTTGAGGCGGGCATCCCGAGAGGGGATTGACCCTTCTGCTTGGCAGTCAGGGCGAGGCGATTTTTGTTGAGTTCAACAGAGCGAGAGAGGTCCAGAAGAGTTTGGTCGGGAATGTCTTCGAATTCGTCTTCGTCACTTGGAACACGAGAGGAAGGGGAAGAGGGAGAAGAAAGGTCTTTGGAGGGGCGGGCAAACGAAGTGATGGAAGATTGTTTTTTCAGGGAGGCCGTGGAAGCAGTGACGACAGGTTTCTTGGTGTAGGCTTCAAGTGAGCGCACGAGTTCTGCCTTGTCGCGGCTGGTCAGGATTGTTTTGATTGTTCCATGTACCGCGGTGCCTTCAATGAAACTCAGCGCGTCGGCCTTGACAGTCGTCACGTCCAGACTCCCCAATCGCCTCAGGATTTTCGAGACAAGCGCGACTAAGGAGGTGGCAAGATACTCATCCTTCAGACGCAACCACTTCACCATGGCACTCATCGTGGTCGTGGGAGATTTGATGAAGTTCTCTGAAACTGACTTTTGCGCAGTATCTGCTCCCCCCACGGCGCCTAGAAAGACACCATACTGATCGAAAAGGAAATTGGCGAATTGGATGGTATCACGGCAAAAGTCAAGCATGACTTCCTTGTCATTACCACGCATATGCCAGGCCTCCGTCTCGTCAAAGATCGTGGTCAATGATTGCCACAGGAATTCCCAGAGTTTCTGAAGTGACAGGATTTCACGGCGGTCCACGAAATTGCGCGTACGTAGCATACCCGTCTGACTATTACACAGAATCTCTACGATATCGGTTCCCGTATGCAACATTCTCGGGGCCGGGGCAAAGGTCTTCATGTTGGAAATTCGACGGAAGGACCAACTCATACCATACATGGAGGTCGTGAAAAACGACTCGAGAAGGTAGGAGATTGCGTCCCGCCGTGCGAATTGACCACTGACGTTCTTGATGAGATCAACGGCGGCTTGGTAGGTGTTCAAATCTGCGGCGAAGAGGGTGGAGATGAGAGCACTACTGGTATCCTGGCTTTGGAAAAGAGGCTTCAGGTGTTCGGGCGGGAAATCGGCCAGACGTTCGATCATCTGGCAGGAAAGGCGAGTGAGATGACCATAGATCATGTTGAAATGTGTCTTCTCTTTACTGCCCTCGCCTTTGGGCGGAAATTTCTCCAGGCCAACGAGAGGAAGGACTCCCAGCAGAGCAGCTGTCGACAGGGCAAGGTTGTCTTGATGGAGATGCTTGATCACTGCCTCCCACACAGGCGCTGAGTAGGTGGACACGCCATGTGAGAGAGTGCCGTGCTTTAGAATAACCTCGTAGTCACTCTTCAACGATTGGCACTCTAGGGCTAGCGTGTTGCGAACAACATCCATGCATAAAGATTTGATTTCTTCTTGGCGGCCCTGCTCAATGTTGAACACTGGAGGATTGAGAATAACGTAGATAGTAGCAACCACGACATCCATGGTCTCTTTCAGGACGACGCTGTCAACGGAGCTTCTTGAGGATTCATGGTCTGTGAAACGGCGGAGAGTACTGAGGAGACTGTTCAGGCCAACGTGAAAGCAGTGGTATCGAGCAAGGTTGGGGTACTGGTCATCTTGTAGACGCTGCAGCAACTGTGTGGCCAAGTACCGACATGCAGAGGGTTGATGGTGGCCCTTGAGTGATGCCAGGAATGGGCTGATCCATGATAGCATATCTTTCAAAGCAGACTTCTCATACGCCTCACCTTCGCTGGTCTGCATGAGGAAGGCCCTGAATTGGTAACTGGCAAAGATCTGCTCGACGATGGCTTGAGGAGAGATGGTTTGCATGGCGTCCCAGAAATCACCAGGAGCTTTCTCCAGCAGGATTTGAATGGTATTCAAAAGGAATCTCAGTCCGGGAGTTTGTAGATGTAAGTGGTCCACGGACAGACGACAAGGATCAATATCTAAAGCACGGAGATTATGTGTGATTTGATCTTTTCTAGCCTCCGGACAATTAGCTGCATCCCACGCCACAATCGCTGAACCACTGCAAGCTGTGGTGGTAATTGATTAGCGGCTTGTGATCCAGCCTGCAGCGCACCGAGCAGACCATCTCGAATCGCCCATTCAAACTCCTCGCTCGTAGGGGGTCGAGCGTATCGTGTCCATGTCGAGATGGCCCAGAAACTGCGAGCTTGGTTCGAGTCAAACAGGAAGCGAGTGACAGCAGGAACATAATCAGAGATCTTCAAAGATCTCTTCGACTGAATGAGCTTGAATGGCTCATCAAAATGCTCCTGGAGAAGCTGTTCATTTCGCAGCATCGCCTCGCAACTCAAAGTCTCAAAGATGGAGAGCAATGCAGCCCGATCCAAGACACTGAGATTGATTTCTTGCGGAGGAACCTTTCTAAGTTGTGTCGTTGCCGTAGCCAGATTCCTTGTGATGCGCTTAATGTCCCATTCGTCCAGTCGCTGCGCAAATTCCTCGATATCTTCATCCTGGTACGACTCCTTAAGCTGGTCCATGAGCCAGACCTTGCCGGTGTAGTACTGCTTGATGCAGAGGTCGCACTTTTCCAAAGACTCGTCCAGTTTGCTCAAGACCCAAGTCTGTAGCTCCTCTACACCCTCTGCGTTGTAGGCGAGAATACGCATAGATAGGAGGAACTTTTCCTTGCGAGCCTTGGCTTCTGTCACGATGTCTTTAGTGCTCTTTCCATTTTCATCCGGCTGGCTCGGGTCATCATAGCGTCCATAGTCATTTTCGCTCTGTCTCGGGCAAAGAAGGTGGGTTCCTTCGGGGAGTGCTTTCAGCTCCCTACAAAAACAAATTTTCGTTAGTACCATAAGCCGCTGACAAGAAGCATGTCACCCATCTTCGTGCTTACCCGATAGCGTCCACAAATTCCATGATTAAAGTCTCGTGGAATACGAATAGAGAGATTGTTCCAAATATCCCCCGCACATTTCCTGGTCCACCAAGATATTCCACCTAGCACATTGCCTTGCAGTGATATCGGGCGAACTTTGGGCCAGGTTTGCGGAGAACAGGAAGCTTGATCCGCGGAGCTTGACGAGGTGACAATGAGGGGTTGGGTGGTAGGTTCCTTGGTGTCGGTAAACGTGGGATGTGCCCTGATAGGCAAATATCTAGCAGGCACTGTGGCACAAATCATCAGCTTCGTTTCAAAAGTAAGAGCGCGCCGATACTCAAGGCCATGCGAGCTGCAGTGAGAGCAGGACAACTTCCGACATACCTTTGAGCAACGCCAAGGAGACGAAGGTCAAGTGAGGATAGCTTTTTCGGCAAAAGGATCCACCGCTAATAGAAATAGCTAGATGCAACAGCCTCCGAGAGGTGTCTGTCGCTCGAAGCACCTCTCGACTTGAATGAAAGGAAAATCCCCAGAAACAAGACGCGGCAGAATCATGAGGATTGGCAGAACTTGAGGGCGGTGAGTTTTCCCGAACGCGTTGGACGCGCTTCACTTTTACCCAAGTGGGTATAAATAGGGTCTATATCTTGGATCCAAGATATTCTTCCACGATGTATATCAAGACATCAATACGGAGATCTATGAGACAGAGAGCACTTCTAAATTTGTCAATTTTCCCATTTACCATTTTCAATTATTCTGATTTCAAAAGCACGCCTTCTTGGAGAACGCCCATATAGTTGTTGCTGTTGAACTATAACTGCAATTCATTGCCTAAACCAATCAAGCTTACACTTCTGATAAAGCATTACGTTGTTTGCACGGTGAATACCTTGCAGAATCCATCACCGGCCAATCTACACTAAATAATATGCACAAGCTAGATATTCATGTGATATTCGCATTAAGTAACTTTCCTTCGTGGAATAAGATACATGAATATCATTCCCGGGCCATGCCAGCTCAGCCCCATCAGAAGCAACAAGATAAACACCATAGACTAGGGGGAAAAGAAAAGAAAAAGAAAAGATAATCAACGGAGTTATAACCCCAGCAAGCGGGAATCACGGAATAAGAAAAAGAGAGAGCGGGGGAAGCCATCAAATGCGAATTGTCATGCATTATTGCAAGAAGACAAAGAACGCTTTTGTACAAAAGGCAAATAGACACTATGAAACATGTGAACAGACAGGAGTACGGAAGCTGCCGAAGACTCCTTTGTAGTTTAGAGAGAATGAAGTTGGGGTTAGCAAACAAAAAGGGTTAAGGAAATGCGCCGAGCCTCCGACCGAGTGTTGTATACCGAACGCCTGCTTTCTATCAGGGGAATATCAAGGCTGGGAAGAGATATAAAGAAAAGGGGGAAGAAAGTCAAGAAAACACCGCAGCATATTGCTCATGAAGATGGAAAGGGTAGAGGACAACAGAAAAGATCCACGGGCGTAACAATAGCCCAGTGAAGGGATGAGAAAGTCGTCAATGACGGGTCGTCAGCGCTAAGTCTATGCAAAGGCCATGATGCAACACTCAAGCCATCTGTGCAGGAGGCTCGCCTGGGGAGCGGAAAGGATCTTGATTGGAACCTTGAGTATGGCTTGATTCCATCCGTTGAAGCCGAGCTGCTGAGGTAAAATCATTGCTTTGTTCAAAGCTTTGCCGGACCCGCTCGAATGAGTGTCTCGTTCGATCGTGGGAACGTCGGACATAATCCACCGATTGGGGTCGTGGATACTGATCCAAGCTCTCGGTGTAGTTGGTGCCGTTGCTACCATTCTGGCTGCGAGGGTTGTGGCCGTTGGTGTGCTGAGAGGTTGAATAGTATCCTTGAGCTTCGTCGGTGGCAGGCTGGTCCTGCTTCATCGCTGGTTGGATGGGCTTGGCAAGCTCTGAGGAGGTGGCCGAGGCATCACCGGCGCCAACGATCGCGGTGGCACCCACATTCGGGGGTACGTAGTCTTCGAATTGCTCTAGGTGCTTGAACTTGCCAAGAGTGACTTGCTCGCGGATGATATCGACATCCAGGGGGAAGAACACCTTCTGGATCGAGTTGTACATGAAACGCGGAAGCAAGGCGATCATAACGGTCATAAGCAGCACAATCCAGAAGCTAAGAGCACCATACACCTCACTTGCCGAATTGTAGAACTGACCAGCCGCTGTGAAGGACGAGTAAATTCCTGTCCAGAAGAAGATCAGAAGCGAACTGATCGCATTAATCAGACAGGTGAACCAGTCCCAGCGATAGGTGTTCATCATAATGTAGAGGTTGCTGGCGATGACGGCGCAAGTTGCGACCAGGACTCCCATACGGGTGCGATCCGCAATGTCTCGGCCACTCTCGGTAGCGAAGTTGGCTGCCTGATACAGCATGTAGGGCATGAAGAAACAAATCACAGACTGATATAAGCCATCGCCCATGTACATCCTAGCAAGTTCGTTAGCAAGAGTAGTAAGTAGATAGAACGAGGGAAAAACAAACCAGAACTTGAGCTGCGACCACTCCTTGCGCTCAATACCACGCATATACAGTTGAGGTACAGCAAGGGACACCCGATCATCGACGTCTTGATCAAAGATACCCATGAAGATGACCGGAAGCGAAGTGAAGGCCAAGTTGACCAAGACGATATATGTGTAGTCGAAGAGATAGGAGCCGTCGAAGTCGTTGAAGCAACAGTACCAGAAGAGAGCAAAGGTCCACACCAAGTTCTTGTAGAAAAAGTTGGCGGTACACTCTCCCAAACGACGATAGGACCATCGTCCGTGTACAAGGAGCAAGCGCTGGAGGAATCGGAACTGGCCAATAGCATAATCTGAGGACATGACAGCTTGTCGACCCTCCTCACCGGCGATACCGACACCGACATCCGCCTCCTGAATCATAGCAACGTCGTTGGCACCGTCGCCGATAGCCAGACCCATGATGTTCAGACCATGACGGACCATGTTGACAACGGCGGCTTTCTGGGATGGACTGACACGGCAGCAAAGAACAGCCTTGCACTGCTTGCAAAGAAGAAGGAACTTTTGCTTAAGCTCGTCGTCAAGCATCATCTTGAGAGTTTCACCATCGACGATAACGGCGTGGGTGGGTTCCGGTGGCGTGTGATCCGCACGGGCAGCAATGAGCTCTTCATCAGAACCAGTCAAACCGAAGGTTTGGAGGTTCTTGTCAAGCTCTTTAGATGCTTGCTCGTGCTGGCCCTCGGGGATGTTGAGAACGATCAGATCCATGTTGTTGTTGAGCAGATTGCACGAGAAACCAATGTTGATGGCAGTCTCGACCTTGTCACCAGTCAAAACCCACAGCTTGATACCAGCATCTGCGAGCAGTTGAATGGTATCTGGGACGCCATCTTGCAAACGATCCTCAATAGCAGTTCCGCCAATGAGCATCAACTCCTGCTCGATCTTGCTCGCAACCTCCTCCATTTTCTCCTCGCGGTCGGTGATCGAAGCAGCGGCAATGTCATGTTCGCGGTTCCAAGTCTGATATTCTTCTTCGCTGAGAAGACGGTCAGCAACGCACAGGGTTCGCAGACCTTCCTTGGCGAATTCTTCAAGGTGCTCCGCGGTCTGCCGTCGGAGCTCCTGTTGCTTGCCACGGGCCAGGCGCGAGTAGATGATACTGTCGGCACCCTTGCAGAAGAGACGGATAGTGCCATCAGGCATGCGAATAATGGCACTCATACGCTTTCGCGAGGAGTTGAATTCGAGGGTGTTCAAGACAGTGTAAGTGCGTTCCTCACCCAGGACGTTCAACAGAAGGTCATCACCAGCACGACCAAGGACGGTAAAGCCACAGTCACGGGCAGTGCCGACCAATGCAGCCTCATCGGGCGATTGCGCCTTAAACTCAATCTGTGGAGGGTCACCGGGAGTGTGTTCGGTGATGACAGAGTGACAGAGGGCCAGCGACAGCATGAAATGCTCCGCGGCTGCCTTTTGAGTTTGGCCGGACTGTCCTTCAAGATCCGCGACGAAGTTGGGAGCAATGAAAGTCAAATTTTCGTCCTTCAGATAGGGGTTGTCATGGATACGGCGCAACATTTCCAGCATCTTCTTTCCATCGGCTGCGATCTGTGCCCGAGCTACAGCAGCTTCTTCATCAGCATTGGCGCCTTCACGACGTCTCATGCCAATTTGAGCTTCGGTGTATGCCTCGCCATAGGCCATGCCATTGATGGTGGCTTTCTTGAACTCCATGACGTTTTGTGTAAGAGTACCGGTCTTGTCAGAGAAGATGTACTCGACCTGTCCCACATCATCTGAAATGTTCCACGACTTGGGCACACAATAGAGCCCAAGCTTTTCGTAGTACATGTATAGATCACTGTGGATAAAGACGGCCTGAATAGTACGGACGATTTCCAGAGAGATGTAGAGCGAGATAGGAACCAAGTTCTGGAACAAGATTAGAGCTGTCCAGAAGGTGACGATACCCGTGACGGGGGGCGTGCCACCGTAGGACCCAAAGTCGAAGAAGTCCAATGATTTGTCCGGGGCAGCCCATGCGACACCGTTAACAATACCCGCAACCAGACACATGATGAACAGGATGATAAAGTTGTAGATGACGTTCCAGTTCAGGTCCTTGGCCAGGCGAGCACGCTTGGCAGGCGTCGCACCAGCGTTGAGCATGATCTTACTCTCGCCGCCGGTGAAAACAACCACACCAAGAATCCACTCGGTGCTGCGCAGAGAACAGCCACGAAGCAGCATGTTGTTGATCGTGATAGGCTCGACCATCTCCTTACGAGGAGCATCTGGGAAGTTCGAATCACGCTGGTCCCAACGAATCGCACCGTTGTATGAGTAGAGGTTGGGATGAGGGGCTTCGCTCTCAATCGTGAACTCAGCCTTCTCACAGTCGCGAGCATGTCGAACTTGGCGACCACAGTGAAGGGCTTGGCGGACCTTCAAGTTCGTTTCACCATCCAAACCCTTTGTTTCAACGTAACAGGCACCGTCGGGATCGGATGTGGACAAAATTACAATATCGGCCGGAATTGGGTCTTCGTTGTACAGACGCACGAAGTCGCCGACTTGGATGCTCTTCCAGTAGTCCCGCTTGAATCGAGCGGTTCCCGGGGTCTGTTTCGTCTTGTCTAGCACACTGCCAGTCTTCTTATCGAGCGAAGTGGGCGACATGACACTTTCTCGAAGAGCGCTGTTAGGAGACAGGTATTTGTTCTCGGGAGCAGGCCAGTCTTCCCGGATTTCAGCCTGGGGCGAGGGAACCTCGGTCATCGGAATCGCAGCGTCGACGGCGATAGAATCCCGGTGCGAGTATATCGATGCACGCGTGGTCCCTGTCGTGAGGAAAGAGTCACGTCGTTGTCCGTCCTCAAGATCGTCCTCCTGTTCCTTCTTCTTGGTGAAGACTCTCTTGCCCCAGTGGTATGTGGCAATGGCGCCCCGCGTAGACGCCTTCTTGATGCGACGCCATAGCGAGATATTGTCTTCTGTCGAATTCACATTGTTCCATTCAACGAGGCGATAAACCGGGGAATTGTTCACTTGGTTGTCCGAGACAGTTCGGCCCCAATCTTCGATGGCATCCTTGATGGCGGTCACGACGATAATGACGATCAGGGGAACGGCGTTCAAACCGGGGTTGTTGGCACCGAAAATCGGGAAAAACTAAAGAGAGATAGGCAAGTCAGTATAGCTCTGTTCAAGCTCGTTCCTCGGCTCGTTGTCCGTTCTCCACTAGGGTCTCAGGAGTGGCGCATACGTTGAGAATAATGACGAACAAAAAGTAGATGTTCGCAATATTGTGAAACTGGAGCCAGATGTTCTTGGGAATGAATGTCAAGGCCGTATACTTGGCGGTACGGATCTTGTTTCGGGGATAGGAATGGATGGGGTGGCCATCCTCGTCTCGTTCGTTTTCGGGGACCGGGACGTTGAAATAGATCGTTCTATTCTGACCCGATTGCTGACTGTCGTCGCCGTTGGTGGAGGCGGGAGTGCTCGGAGTCGCAGACTTGCGCTTCTCATCCCTCAATTCCGAGCGCTTGTGAAAGCGCTCTATGATGGAGACACGTTTCCGTACGCCGCCGGATCCCGCATGGCGCGTCGTGGCCCATCTTTGGCGTTTAGTCGGCTTGGAGATGTTGCTAGTGACCTCCCGAACTTCGTTATTCTCATGACCACCCTCATTATTATCGTCTCCGGTAAATTGCACGGAAGCCATCTAGGCTACTGTTGCGCCCAGTAGGGGCCTTAAACTGGGAAGAGGACCTGTTGCAAGTAAGGGCGCAGGAGCATCCAGTTTGTCCAGGCCGAATTCGCCGTACGTTGCGATGTAAAAAATGATGACCTGGTGTCACAAGGGACGACTTGAACAGATCACCAAGCGCAGTTTCATCGAGCGATGGGAATTGGCCGTTGCGATTTCAGCGACGAGGCCGGCGCGCGCGGATGACGACGGGAAGGAGGGAGGCCCAGTATTGACGGTCGGAGCGGGAGACAAGGGTCGTATTATCCGGGAGTTGGGGAGGTGGGTAGATTAGATTAATCGAGGACACGGTATCACCCACGAGGGGCCATGCAAGATGGGGGGGGGAGAGAGGTGGGAGAGGAGAAGGAGGAAGCGAACGATGGAAGGGGTAAAGAGAGAGTAAGTTTAAAAGTTCGGTATTTTTTTTTCCTCGAGGAAGAGAGAGAGAGGGAGAGATGAGATGCGCTGAGCGGACCGGACTAGCTTGGGACTGGGACTATTATTGACTCGGGTGGGAGGTCCGTAATTACGGCGTCACGGATGTACGGCTCTGCTTATGTGGACTTGCCTTTGCGGACATGCCGGCTTGGTCAGCGGGTTTTGCTTGGCAGGATTGGTGTGGTCTTTTCTTTTTCTCTTCCCTGTTGCTTAACTATATACGATTCCATTCAAAGAGAGACTCTTACCCCGATTGCTGTAGAGGAAGTATCTCATCTATCGTAGCTTTCAATATCTAGACCTCTTTGATTGCTCAATGACTGACAAGAGGTCATACTTCCTACTCATGCACGCAACACGGATACGAGCCGGACAGAACCTTACGTCCGGTATTGAAACGGCAATACATTCCCAGCCTCATAAAAAAACCATTGTTTGGTTCACCTAAATTTCTGCTGGTGGCAATGAGGCCCTTCGGCACTGATGATAAATTCTGAATGATTCGGATTCATAATCGTCCTTTCTATGGTAGACCGGCCACAGCCACCTCGGTCGGAGGATGCTGCTCGATACGTTCTGATGATTCCGAATACGGCCGTTAGAGGTAAACCTCGTTGTCGATTTCAGAAATAGTTTTGGCCCCGACCCTCATCGCCTCATGCAGAAACAACACAGCCTTCGTATGGATAGGCGCCAGCGTGGAGGAACCCAAAATACACCACGTTGGTTGTGTTTAGCCATGGCTAGTTCCCCCAGACATGGACACTTAAGCATCTTGATCCCTAATGTACTCACGTACGGTGTGTGAACATACTAATTTCCATACAAATACTCCATGTATGGAGTTATGTCTTCAGCATCATCCAAGCCACCTCCAGGTTCTCTGTCCTCTAAATGTGTCCTCATCCAGGTACCTCGTTTAATATTCATAGAGGAACTAGAGGAGCGAACAGCCAAGGCACTAAAGGCTCTTCCTCATGCTACATCTAGATGTCAGAATCAAGTTGGTGCACTAATACTGCATAATACTAAGTGCATCCATCATTATGCTAGGTCCTCCAATTCCTCCAAACGGCCCCCGAGACCCCGGTCTCCGTGGGGGCAAAAGATGACCTCAGTTCCTGGCACAGAGGCCACCTTGCTCTAGTAATATACAGTCGTACTTAGTATTCAAGATCTAACCTCCGAACGGCGGACGGAGCACGGAGTGCGGACGGAATCTTTCGCTACCGACTAACTAGTGGCTTGGTTCACGACCAAAGTCCAGGACTACTGTTACCAGGTGAATAAAAACATCTCGGGGTCGGAGCATCAAGCCTGAAACCGCCAGCGACACGGCACGGGCGTCCGGTCTCCACCGGGCGGTTAGTCAGCTTCTGGGGGCTCCAGTCGGTTCCACGGATGGGTGAATTCATTCAACTGATTCGATGCTCGATGCTCCGTTCTGTCTGGCCTCGCGGAGTCGCGGCGGAAGAACGATGGACATCGTCTCAGGCTGGCTCGTGCAGAACAAAGAAACCCCCCCTCAAGAATACCTTCAGCCAGGTGCTTCCTCGATCTCTGTTGGCATCACTCTCGCTTCAGCTCACCCCCTTTTTTGTTCTTCGCGGAAGCCCGCGGTACTGGGATGGAGCCTCTTGGCTTGCAGGAGAGCGCACTATGCGTCCAGTGGCCCTTCTGGGCGGGACCCCATGGATGATCACAGTGGAATTGCCGATTGCTCCAGAACTTCTTGGGCTTTTCGGTACAGAATCCAGTCAATGTTGCCTGGCCTTTTCCCATTGAGCGCTTTGAAGCCTTGAATCGATGTCCAAGGCGGGTCCGCTCTCGCGTGGGCACGAGAGATTGCAGGAGGAGACCGCCCAGAGGAATATATCTCGATAGATATACGGAGGACAGCGTGACGGCAATCAAAACATGACAGCGCGTCGTCAGCCCGCGTGATCGACGACGAACCAAGGTGGAGCTGGACGGTGCACTGCCAGCCAGATTCGTAGACCTAAATCAGATCAACGGGCTGCGTCTAAATGTCTGTTCTTTGTACCCCTGACTCCCCGTTTTGCGTTTAATGTCCCCTGACAAGCGAAACACTCTTGTCTCGGCATGGGCGGCGGTTGGTAAAGCATGTACTCCGTAGATCAAACGCGAAGATGGGATCCTCATGGACCCCCGCCATTGCGACAGTGGCTGGTTAGAGAGTTTGTTAGTCCCGTATCAAATGAACCGAGTGGAGAGGTAGCACAGCATCTCTGCGAGAATCAAGAACAGATATCATGCCACTTCAAAGAAAGCCAACAAAGACCGAGAAGATCCTGGCTAACCCTTGAAGTATATGCGCCTATATACACCGGATTTTGTCCGCCGGGTAGGGCTTCCCTGTCTGGGCTGCCGCCGCTTTAATGAGGGCGACCAGGCTCAGGCTCAGTGAGTAAATGTCAGCACGCGCTCATGCTCAGTGATCTGATCAGTGCAGTCATGTGATCGCTCAGTGACCAATCAGCGGTGCTTAGTGATCGCTTGGTGGTAGATCAGTGATCATCGATGGGTGCTTAGTAATAGCTCAGTGATCACTCAGCCACTGCTTACTCACCAGGACTTATTATCCAATCAGCGAGCGGTAATTCTTTTCCTATAGCCTAAGTCAGACTATACCTAAAAAGGATATACCCTATAGGGTTATCTATTCTATGATACCTAGCGCGTTAATAGTACTTCTAAGGCCCTCCTATTCTAGAGGCCTCTATCTAATCAAAACTAGCCTAAACGACAAAAGTGAGGTAGCCTATCCTATTCAAGATTATGCAGTTTAAAGAGGCCTTTGCACTATTATACGTCCTATAACCTAAAATATTAAAGGAGACTTTGTCCCCTCTACGGCCCTATTAAAAGCAACATATATTTTATTACTTATATTGTGAACGGCTGAAGCAAGACTTAATTCAATCTAACTAGGCCAACATGCTGTTTACAAAAAGCTTAAGGAGGGGAAGTTTATCCTGCGCGTTCTCCACGTTAACATACCAAGGTCCCGTGATACACGTGACTAACATCGGGCACTAGCCCGTGACAATACCCCCTTCCTAGTCTTAACCTTATTAGGGGCACGACGGCATAGGTTTCGGTGCCGATTTGCTGGCGAATCACATCCGGAACGGCGCCGTGCTGCTCTTCAAAGGTATCCAAGGCGCTACAATCCTGTACTAAGTCTAGTGGCTGCCACGTCTGTTCTGCCTATCCTCTCTATTTCACTAACGCTTCGTCACGATATCCTCGCCTAACTTTCCTCCGTTGCACAGCTAGGATTTGCTTAATATCGTATTCCTCTTCACTATTAACTAGTAGTAGTGGTAGCTGTGAATCGTCTACTAGCTGAGATAGGAATAGGTCCGTTGCTACTAGGCGGACTAACTTAATATAGAACACCGGGTATATACTAGTAGGTATATCAAGTCGGACTGTGAACGGCGACGGGACGTCTACTACTCGGTATCGAGTATGTAGCTAATCTAACTTCTTTAACGGTCGCTATATACGTACGTTCCGAAGATTTAGCTAAACCTAGTTATCCTTTTTGTAGACAGGCGCTGCCTGTCGACGTCGGTTCGCTTACTCTTCTTGAAGGGCCTATATAGAAGTAATAGCAGCCTAGGCCTAATCGGTAGCTTCTTGTAGGCGATTCACGAACGTTTCGCCTGCCTTTCGTGGTAGGGTTAGGGCGTCTTGTAGTTACCCTGCTTCGTTAATACTAATCGGGTTAATATAGTAGCCGTAGGTAAAGAAGAATAGCGAGATTCCTGTTAAAGCGGTATCGCGATTATTAATTACTACAGCGACTATTAGTAGTAGATCCTTCTAGTTATCCTGTGCGTATATAGTGAATATACGTAGAATTCGTTCGATCTCCTGATTAGTACGCTCTGTTGTACCGTCGGTCTAGGGATAGAAAGCAGTAGATAATCGGCGTTGAATCGATAGCCTTTCGTATACCCTTTCCTAGAAGGCACTCACGAATTAGGGGCCGCGGTCGCTCACAATCGCTAGTAGTACCCTATAATATATATAGAAGTATATAAGGAATACCTCTGCTATATCCTCTGCTATTGTATTCTTTATTCCGATTAGGATCACGCCCTTTATCAACCGATCTGTTATTACTATATAGTTCGTTACTCCCGTAGGTCTAGAGGGTAGTAGCCTAATTATAAAGTCTACTAATATTTCGGCCTAGATTCGCTAGGGGATTAGTAGTAGTTTTAATAACCTATACTTTGTATCTTGCTATACCGAGCTCCGTCCGTATACTATATAGTTATAGAGGAAACGTCGTACGTCTTTCGCTGCTCCTAGCTAGAAGAACCGTCGAGATAGTATCGAATAGGTAGCGTCTCGCCTAGGATACGCCGTAACGTATAAATCGTAGATCTTCTATATAATTCCTATACGTAGAACCTCGTTGTCTGGAATCTAGAGTCGCTATCTAAAGTAAAGCACCCCTCGATTGTCTAAATAGTACTCTAATAGGCTAGTCTTAATATTCGTTTTAGCAGCAATTCGGCGCTCTCCCGTTAGTAAAGCGTAGGAGATTCGTTAGTAGATCGAGTCAGACGCCCTTACCTTTTTCTATTCTGCCTAAAGTTCCGGTTTATTAAAGAGGGGGATATCTCTTTCGAAATCGATCTCCTTACTAGGTTAGCCGTCGGCTAATTAGGGGTTTAGCCGACCTGTTTTAATCTTAACCCTTTTAAGTAGGATTCGGAAGCGATTCGATAGCCTTTCGTTAGTAATACTCTTAGGTATATCCTAACTCCGTCGTGATAATATATCCGGCCTTACTATAAGCTTACTAGGGCGATA